CGGGGGAGGGGGGGGGGGGGGCGAGGGAGGGCGCGGGCGGAGAGGCGGGGTCCTTTTTGATGTCGCCAATCTCCGCCTCGGTGGAGACCTTGACCGAGTTGAGGTCGGTGAGGTAGCCCTTCGGGTCCACCACCGTCTGCCCCGACACAGAGTCCGACATCTGGTCGAGCTTGACCGACAGCACCGAGTTCCTCGCCGCTCCGATGGCCTTCAGGTCCGTCAGCGGCGTCGCGCCGCCAGGCAACGGGGTGGCGGAGCCAGCCGAGCCGGGGAAGGGTGTGGCGGAGCCGCCGACGACGGTCTCCATCCCGCCGTTGATCATCTGCCTCGTGTCGAGCGAGTTGTGCACCTCCTGCTCCAGCCGCGCCTTCTCGAGCAGCGTGTCGGGCGTCGGCATGTACCGCTCGTTCCGCCGCTCGGCGGCGCGCGACTTGCGGTGCTCGCCCGGCTCGGGGAGGGTCTCCCACTCCTCGCGCGAGACGAGCTGCAGCTCGCGCTTCAGGTCGCCGAACTGGTGCTGCAGCTTTGGCCGCACCGCGCGGAACTTGTCGAGCGACTGCTTCAGCTTGTCCTCGCGCCGCGTGCGCCGCCGCTCGTCCATCTTTGCGTCCACCTCGGACCAGACGGTGTCGGCGACCTCGTCGTCGTCGTCGTAGGGGAGGCCCTGCGCGAGCGACTCGGAGTACCCCGAGAACTTGTCAAAGTTCGACTCGGACAGGTTTGTTTCTTCGCCCGTGGCGCGCGCTGGGCCGATATCTGAGCGGGTGGTGAAACCGGTGGCGCCACGGCCGAGACCGGCGACGTAGTTGGAGGGCGCGGAGCCGTTGTACGCCTTGGCGCCGCGGGCGCCGAGAGAGGACATGCCGCTCGCACCCTCGGCCGGCCTCCACCTAGCGTGATCCGCGATTTTTTTTAAACAATCCGGGAAAGAAAAAGAAGTGGGCCTGAGGTCCCCAGCGACGGCTACTCCGAGTCGCGGAGTTGCCAGCCGCGTGGACCGGAGGCAACAACAGCAGCAGCAGCAGCATGCTCGTTCGCCGCCTTTCCGCAAGTCGTCACATTCGCCGCCTGTCAACGACGGTGGACCAGCCACCGGTGCTTATCGAGACGGCCGGCCGCGTCGCCATCCTCCGCCTCAGCCGGCCTTCGAGCCTCAACGCGATGACGGCGGAGATGGGCGACGCGTTTGCCGAAGCCATCACCGAGCTCTCCGGCAGGTGCGACGAGATTGGGGCCGTCGTCGTGACCGGCGCTGGCAAGGCCTTCAGCGCGGGCGGAGACCTCCAGTTCCTGCGCGACCGCGCTGAGGACTCGGCGTGGCGCAACACGGCGGTGATGAGGCGGTTCTACGAGCGCTTCCTGTCGGTGCGGAAGCTGCCAGTGCCGACGGTGGCGGCCATCAACGGTCCCGCCATCGGCGCAGGCCTCGGCCTCGCGCTCGCCTGCGACGTGCGTGTCGCGTCACCCGCCGCCAAAATGGGCGTGACATTTGTTGGACTCGGTTTGTTCCGGTGGCGACGGTCGTGACGCAGCTCGTAGTAGACACCCGCATTGGAGCTCGTAGGCATCCATCCCGGCATGGGAACGTCGCACTTCCTGCCGCTGGCGGTGGGCGAGCAGGTGGCGGCGAGAATGGTGCGCTCTCCTCGCCACGCCGCCGCCACCGCTGCCTCCTACGCCGCTCTGTGACCCGCCGTCCTCCGCTTGCGGCCTCAGATGCTGACGGGCGAGGTCGTGGGCGGGGAGCAGGCGCTGCGCGAGCGGCTCGTCGCCTCGCTCGACGAGGACGCCGAGGCGGCGGCGGTCGAGGTTGCGGCGCAGATGGCGGCGCAGGCGCCGGCGGCGGTGCGCTCTTGCGTGCGCACGCTGCGCACGCGGCAGGAGGGCGGGCTCGAGGCGGCGCTCTGGCGCGAGGCGGACTCGCAGGCGCACTGCTACGCCACGGCAGACTACCTCGAGGGCCTGAGGGCGCTGACGGCCAAGCCGCGCGCGCCGCCCTCCTTCGCCGGCTACGAGGAGTGCTCGAGCGACCGCCCGCCCAATCTGGGATGAGTCGACTACTCGGTCGACCCCGTCGCGACCCCCAGCGGGCGAGAACGACACTTTATTTCAGCCCCCTGCAGTCTCAGCCTCGGGGCGAGCGCGGGGGGCAAGAGGCCGCCCAGAGAGTCCGCCGGGTGAAAGCACACGAGATGCCACAGAGACGCCGAGAGGGGGAGGTGGGTGGCGCGAGAGATCGCGTGCCCTCAGATCGTGCGGTCTTATATTAATATGATACAGGAGCGGTCTCGGCCGGGGGGGTGCGATGCGCCACACGACAATCACAAAAAAGGAAAACGCAGTCATGCCTCAGGCGCGTCATTTCCAGCAGGTGAGAGGTGTGTGAGGTGCCACCGACCGACGATCCGCAAGGGTCTGCCTCTTTCATCACAGGTCCTTGTCCTTGAGCTTGCCTCCCGCGGAGAGCCATTGTCGGTAGACACGGAAGAGGAGCTGCACGTAGTGGTCGGGGCGGGGCAAGGCCAACGACGCGAAGGCGGCGTAGTTGCCGACGTAAACAAAGAGCGGGATCACGAGCGCCATCGCGACCACCGCCGTGATTGGGAGCAGCGGGATTAAGAGCAGGTGCTGCGCCGCGTGGCCTGCAGTATTGCCAGCGAGCGCCTCCTCAAGCAGCTGCCACTTTGCGTGCAGCAGCAGGCCGTAGCCGCCGAGTATGCTCACCAGCAGCGCGAGTGCGCCGAGCAGTCGCGACAGTGGGATGGTCTTGCTCGCAAGAAGGTTGGCCGACATCAACGCGCGGTTTGGCTCCAGCGAGCGCTGTTTTCTTTCTTTCTGCATTTCTTTCCTCCCCTCCCTCCCTTGGCGGTCTGTTTCGTTTCGGCATTCTTTAAGCGCGTCGCGCTCAGGAAACGCGCGAGGTTGGACGTGGAGGTGTGCGTGCTGGCCGGATCTGGGGAGCGGGAGGGGCCGCTACTCTCGGAACTCGCAGGTGGTGGGATGTCGGCGGCTGCCGGTTTCACAGAAAACGACCCGCGGGGATAGGAAACTCAGCAGCGCGCACAGCTTAAAGCGGGCTTGCCTCACAGTCCGGAACGCAAGAGGTCCTCTCCTTAATCGGACACAAAGACGACCCCAAACGCAAACCCGCTGCCAAGCCGCCCAACCGCGACGAAGCCGCCGATCTGCTCGTCGTCGCCCACCGAGGCGCTCAGCGCCGCGTCAGGCCTAGTCTTTGCAAACGCCTTCCGCAACGCATCGACCGCCTCCTTCTCACACCCATCCAGCTGTTCCTCGAATGGCTGCAGAACCTTCTTCGGGTGGGGTCGGGGGGTGTTGCTGTGGGGGAAGGTGCCTGCGGCCAGCTCAAACGAGTCGGTGCAGCGCTGGACGTAGCCGAGGCTGCCGTATGCATCTCCCGCTGCGCGTCAGTGAGGGAAAAACAGGGCGGTCAGCGAGCGCTGTGAGGGACTGTGACGGGACTCGCCACGGCGGTGCTCGGGCCGCGCCTTTCCCGCGGTTGCGGTGCTTCGAAAACGCGTTCTCGAGGTACTTTTTCCAGCAGGCCCGCGCAAACACCTCGAGCTTGGAGCCGTCTTTCAGCCCCACCTCCTCGAGCGTGTAGGTCGCCGACCCCATCAACTCCTTGTTGTCGGCGCCGCCAAGGGCCACTCGAACTGGCTTGAACAGGTCGTCCGCCGCAGGAGGGCCCTCGGTAGCTGCCACCTTTTTGCCGCACCGGCTGCAATAGTTGGCGTCAGCGGTGAGGAGGTTTCCGCAGCTGCAGGTTGCGGGCTGCTCTGGCGCCTCCTTGCCGCACCGACTGCAAAATTTGCTGTCGGCGGTGAGGACGTTGCCGCAGCTGCATTTACCGCTTGCGCCACCACCACTGCCGCGGCCTGCGCGACTGCCACTGCAGCCAGCGCCACTGCCGCCGCCAGAGAACAGGCTTCGCACCCATTCTTCTGTCACGACTGGCAGACCCCTCTTCTCTGCCTCCTGGTGCTTCTTCGTCCCATAGCCATCCTCGCCACAAAGCAGGTGCGTAGCTTTTGAGATGGTGCCAATGTGACCGCCGTGGCGACAGATCTCTGCCTCCACCTCGCTCCGCTTGACCGAGAGAGTTCCCGTGAGCAGAAAGGTGCAGTCAGAGATGACCGCGCCCGATGGAGCCGGAGTCTTCTTCCTCTTGGCCGTGGCAGGCTCGACGGCGGGCGAGGAGCGCCGCTTCTTCTCTGGTGAGCTCTTCTGCGGACTGACATTTGGCGCAGGCTTGACTTCAGCGTACCCCTTTCGCTCCTTGCTCCGAATCTGGTCCGCAGCAAACTCAAGCGCCTCGGCCTTGGACGCATGCTCTTTCTTGTGCACGCGGGCGCGAGACGCTGAGAGGGCGCCGTATCGCACCGTCGTTCTCTTCCCCTCCGCCTCAATCTCCCAGAACTTGCCACCGGAAGCACTGTCCATCTCGAAACGGCGAGGAGCCATGCGATGAGACGCGACGGCGCTGGGCGGAGGGCGCGAGCTTCCGCGAGACTCGTCCGTCCCACGTCCATAATCACCAGCTGTGCCATGCGTGCCACGACGGCGACCGTGCTCGTCCTCAGCGGACTGGCAGTGCTCCCCGACACGGCCGGTGCAAAGGGGAGGGCTCACGAAGGCTGCAAGAAGTGCAAGATCGGGGTGATGAGGATGTTTGCTAACAAGACCCAAACCGGCCCCATCTCGCGCATCTGTCCAAACATCACAGCGGTTCCCAGCTCAACGCCAAACGAACGCGCGCCGGCTGCCTACTGCCCTGGGCTCGTGCGCGGTGAGGGAAAGTGTGTCGTGTACACTTTTGATCAGGGTGGAGACTTTGGCTTGGACAAATCCCTATCGTCGCGCCCGGACGAGCCAGGCGAGCCGTGGCGGCCCATACTGGCGACGAGACCCGGCGAGCTGTGGTCAGCCCCCGCTGCCGCCGTCTCAACTCAAAGTCCTATCTTCGATTGCACTGTGATGTCCTTCGACCCTTTCTGCTGCGGGTCGGCGCGCGAGATTGGCCCCAAGCACCGACTAGTTCCGCTTGGCCTCGCAACCTATGACGGTCTGATGGTGGCGGGCGAAGAGCAGAAGAATTCGTCTTATCCGGTGATGACACTCAAGACAATCATGGCGTCCAACAAGCACAGCAAGGTCGACCTGCTGAGGCTATACCTCGACGCGGCTCTGGACTGGAAGGCGCTCAAGAACCTAATCAACTCCGGCAGCCTCCGGCAGGTGCGGCAGCTATCCCTCAGCCTCGAGCTTCGCGACGACGACATGTGGGATGAGTATCGCATCATCCTCACATCGCTGCGCGCGGCCGGCTTCGTGCCCTTCTACATCGTCAAGCAGCCCACGGCGCGCTTCCTGGCGCTGCAGACGGGCAGGCTCTCACTGTACTCGTCCTACGAGGCGTCCTTCGGCAACACGAAGCTGAGGTCACGCCGCGGAGCCTCGTGACATTGGGATCGCGTCGTCGTAGACGTTGCACGTCTCGCAGGTGCTCTGCCTCCCAGCGTACGATATTCTGTGGATGTCGGGGGTCACACAGGGGCGTGTACGACGTGTAGAGCCACTAGTACCGTAGAGGCAGCCGCTGGGGGGTGGGGGCGGCGGTGTGGGAGAGATGTGTTAGTTACAGTATGCGACACAGAGAAAAAACAATACAACATACCGACCGATACACACATGGATCATGGTTCTGAGAGTACAATCAAATGCGCGCGCGGTCCGCCTGGAGTGTGGACACATCGGCCCCCTCGGCCTCGCAGCAGCGCGCAGGAGGGGCGGCGCGCCGTGCTACTGGCATCGTCTGCTGGCAGTCACCGCCCCGCAAACGGCTCCCCCTGGGCTGTCCGCATCGCATCGACGGGCTCCTCGAGCTCGGGCGGGTCGAAGAAGGCGATCGCGCGCACCTCGATCGAGCGACGCGGGGGCGCGTCCGCCGGCGAGCTCGGGTCGGAGAAGGCGGTGTGGAAGACGAAGCGAGGCCCGTCTTCCCGCTTGTCGTACACCTTGAAGACGAGGCACTCGTCCTTGGTCTGCCGCGGGAAGTAGTACCATCGGTGCGCGCGCGAGTGGCGAAGAGAGTAGTTCTCTCCCGTCCGGTCGGGGAAGCGCAGCTCGTAGGTGAAGCGGTCCTCCTCCGCGACAGACTTCTCGTCGCAGACGGCGAGCGGCTGCTGCATCACCGGGTGCGAGTCGTCGATCGAGCGCCACACGTTGATGAAGGCGAAGCGGCCCGCAGCGAGCTCCTCCACGTCCTCCGGCCTACAGGACCCGGCCACACCGACACTCAATCCGACTGCCCCTCCTACACAGGGCCGGCCTCGGCGCTGCCGCACGTGAGCACCCGCCCCCGCAGCCGCGAGTAGATACCCTCGGCGCCCAGCTGCTGCAGCCGCCGCGGCGCCCCCGACGCCGTGTAGTCGCAGTGCACGCGCGGCACCGGCGCCGCCGAGCCGCCCGCCGCCGCGTTGAGGTTTGTGTTTCCGCTCTCTCGCACGGTGTGGTCGAAGATGAACACGCGCTCGGCGCCCGACGCGGCCTTGACCAGGTCCATCATCTCGCCGTAGTACGTCGCCACCACCGCGTCGTCGTCCTCGAAGTCGTCGCACTTCGTCGGCCACGACTGCAGCGCGAAGCCGAGCGCGTCGAGCGAAGCGGGCGGGTGCAGCTCGCGCGCGTCGCGCATCGTCACCTGCGAGGAGGCGGGGACCGCGTCGGTGCCCCGACGGCGCACCCGCTCGTCGCCGCGCGCTCTCTCCTCTCTCTCTCTCTCTCTCCACTCCTCTCTCTCTCCTCCCTCTCCCTCCTCCCCTCTCCGCCCCTGCCTCCGCCCCTGCCACCCAGCCACCTCCCTCTCTCCCTCCTTCTCGTCGCGCCACCTCTGCGGCGACATGCTCGTCCACGACGTCCCCCAAGTCGGGCTGGTTGATGTACCTGCCGGTACCCTTGCCGGCGGGCGGCGGCTGCTGGTAGTTGAGTTGCACGGCCTGCGGCACCTGCGAGTCCGAGAGGGCGGGCGGGCGGGCGCGCGTGTGCGTGGTGCGTCTATGGGTCGCAGCGCGTCGGGGCGCAGAGTGCTGCGGGCCGCACCCCGTAGGTGAGCTTGAGCGTGGGGTCCGCGCTGGCCGCGATCTCGTCCACGATGGGCTTGAACTGGCCCGCCGCCTCCATCTCCTCCCAATAGGCCCAGATCTCGGCGCGGACCGCCTCGACGGCGGGCTCGGCCCGCATCGCAGAGTACCACGCCGCGAGGCGCGGGAAAGGCGTCGGCGCCGGGTCGGCGGCGGCGGGGTCGAACAGCTGCGGCCAGCCGAAGAAGCGAGGCAGCATGAACTGGCGCGGCGGTGAGGCAAGGGAGAGCTGAGAGCTTGCGCCGGCGAGGGGGCGGTGAGCCCGGCTGGCGGAAGGAGGGCGGGGCAAGCGAGCGGCGCGCGCCTCCATGAAGACACAGGTGGGGAACCAAGTCAGGTCGGCGAGAGTGAGCTGAGGGCGAGGGCGGCAAGGGAGAGGGTGAGGTCGACGGCTCTCTGCGCGTGGGTGTGCACACTCGGGTGCAGAGGACGCGGCGCGCCTGGCCCAGCAAGTGAGGCCCGCCGGCGGCGTCTGGGTCCCGCGTGAACTTGTCGAGGTGCAGCCGCGACACCATCGCCCGCCGCCGGTCGCTCGCCTCGAGCTCCGCCTCGAGCCAGCAGAGCTGCCTGTTCACAGCCGACGCCGTCACGCATGACTGCGCCTGTGCTCCGTCTCTCGAGCGGCAGAGCCGCCTCCAGATCTCGGCAATCTTGGCGGCGCGCGTGGGCAGGTCCATGCCCCGCTCGGGCCCGTGCCAGCCGTAGGAGAGGTACATGGCGCCCTGCGAGTGCGAGAAGCCGGGCGCGGTCGTGTTTGGGCTCGCGATGTACAGGTCGTGCACTCGGCAGAGCAGCTCCATCGCCGCCCGGCCCTCGGGCGTGCGCGGCGTGAGTCTCGGGCCGGCGTCGCCGTACTTGTCCTCGAGAAAAGAGAGGATGACGTTGGACTCGAACACGGGCGCTCCGTCGGGCAGGATGAGCGCAGGCACCTTGGAGAAACGTGCGGCGAAGGGCGGTGTGCGTTCGGGAGACGGACGGCGTGCGGCGGGGAGGACACGCCACCTTCTTGAGCGGGTTGACAGCCGCAAAGTCAGCCTTCTTCAGGTCGGGGTAGGTGAGCATCCGGCTCTCGATCGCGTGGCCCATCCCGCCCGGGCGCTTGAGTGCCATCCAAAGCCGCACACGTGCCGCATTGTTGCTGTGGCACATGTCGAAGAAGATTGGCTTCTCGAGCGGCTTGTCCAGCGGCGTCGAGGCGAGGGTGGAGCGGGCGCGAGCGAAGGCACGGTGGAGGTGTCGCATGTTCGTGTAGTGCTCTGACAGCGCGCCCACAGCTGGACGTGTCTTGCCGGCGACGACGAAAGAATTCTTAAGATACAAGCCGAAAGAATTCTCTCGACATTCTCGAGGTGGATATCCTTTGGCCGCGTTGGGTAGCGAGGAAAGAATTTGCGGGCGGCGCGCTCTAGTAACGATCCCGATCATCCGGCCCGCTGGGTGCGCTTCTTAGCTCCCCGGCCCTGGATGTGAGGCTAATGACTGCACTCCAAGTGCTCCAAGTGCCGTAAGTGCGGACTGGCGCGTGCTAGCACTAACACACGCGTGCTAGCCTCACACAGGTGACAGGAGACAGGTGCGGACTGGCGCCTGCTAGCACTAATAAGACAGGCAAGCCACCGGAGCCGCCTAAACCTAAGAACGGCAATTTATCAGAATACAGACAGCTGAGGGAGGGTGTAGAGGATGTGAGTGTGAGCGCTTCAGAGCTGTAGATAGAGATGTAGAGCGCTCTGGATGGAGCGCTGTAGAGCGCTGTAGAGCTGTAGAGCTCTACATCCGCCGTGGGACGAACTGCGTGCGTTGTAGAGCGATGTAGAGGCGCTCTACAACGTGAAATCTCTACAACAAACTCTACATCACGGGGGATGACATCCTGCCTCCCGGCACGCCGGGAGGAGGTGGTTGCTCCGCCGCCGGCCGGACCGCCCTCTCCACCACCCTCGCCCAGGGATCTACAACGCTGTCTTAAGGTCCGACAGGTTCGGCACCGGGCACCGCCTCGGTATACAAAATGCGCCTGCGGGCGGACCCTCACAGACCACAGATCACAACAAACTCTACATGATGAGCGGCGAACGAGGCACGGTCGCTCTCCGACATGAGGCGCGTTGCACTCGCCAGTGCTGCCCTGGCCTTCTGTCTGCCCGCCCAATGGGTGGGAGGTGCCTCTGCTGCTGTGGCATGCCTGGGAGGTGCCTCTGCTGCTGTGGCATGCCTCACGGCTGCGACTGGCCGGCGCCTCGGCGCGTCAGCTCGGCTCGGCGTAGCGATAGTGGCCAGCGCAACTCGCCTGGACTCAACGCTCAGCCAGGAGCTCCCGCACGCGCTGGCGCGAGTCATGGCGCATGCAACGCGTCTGAATGCTCGCCTCGCCTTGCGCAAATGCGACCGTCCTCGCCGCCGACAGTCCACCGCCTGCTAAAGAAGCACTGCGATGAATGCGGCACCGGCGACGCATGGCAGGCTGGTGATGACGCAGTTATGGGGTGTTGTGTGCCATCAGAGTGACTCTGTGTGTGTCAGGGATAGTCAGGGCCGTCCATCAGAGCTCTAGTAAGCTCGGAGACATCCCATTAGTGCGACTCGACCTCTTTGAGTCACTGCCTTCCCGGCGGGTTGGTTGTAGAGCCTCTACAACAAACTCTACAGCAAAATCGCGCCCTACAACGCTCTACAACGCACGCAGTTCGTCCCGCGCCCGATGTAGAGCTCTACAGCTCTACAGCGCTCCAGAGCGCTCTACATCTCTACAGCTCTACAGCGCTCTACACTCTACATCCTCTACACCCTCCCTCAGACAGAAAGCCGCGAGCAGAAGAAATACCGCGACAGCAGGGAAAAGAAAGAAAGAAAGAAAGCAGACAACCCAAGGGAGGGATGGGAGGACGGCACACCGCCACCACACAGGGATTTTAAGGAGAGGAGTGTGGTGCTAGCCGTCGCCCACCCTTGGGCGTCTGCCTCTTCCTAATCTCTCTTCGCAGTCCCTCGCCGATTCTCGCTGCAACCTTCATGCCACCTCGCGGACGCGGTCGTCCCACTCTCGTCGTTCTCTCTCCTGTCGCTTCCTCCTCTGTCGCGCGTCGCTCTCCTCTGCGTTGTGCTGCGACGACGACGACGCCTGCCCGATCCCTTGCTCTCGCTGCTTCTCTCGCCTTTCGGCGTAACTCCGCTCTCGTCGCGGCGTACTTTGGCCCCTCGAGTCTATCAAGCTGTCCCCTCGCGCAAGGACGACTCTTCTGACATCCACTCCGATCATTTCACATTTGCCGCCAAGTCATGTCGTTGCTCAGAGGTCCACTCTCGTGTCGGAAACTTGTACCTCCACCGATGATGCTGGCGCTCTGGGGTCCCTTCGTTCGTTCGGGTGCATCGTGACAGCTGACGTGTGACGACGGGCCTTGAGCACTTGAGCACTTGATAGGGTCGATTCCGCATGGTACGGGACCCCTCGATCGTCTCGCCCGACGGGCCTTGCTAGTGGCGTGTCGTCCTCGTCGGAGTCGTCTTCCCCTTCCTCCCTTTCGTCTCTACGTTCAGCGTGGCTCACCCTCCATGCCGTGAACAGGCGCCCTATATCCGTCCTACTCGAGTACTCGAGTACAGTATGTTCTTCTCTCGCTCCTCTGCCCGTACCTTGTCTTGTCGTTGTTTCGCACCCATGCATGTCTGGATGGCGATCAAAGCTGCCTTCCCCACTACCTGCAGTTCCCTCGTCACCTCTCCTGCTGGGAGTTACCACTCCCTTGGTTTTGTTTTTACACTTTTTTCTCCTTTTGAGACCGGCGGGCAACATCCGAGCCGCCTTGCTTTCCGACAAAGGAGGGACCTGACGATGTTGACGACACTGTCCGCCCTCGCGCTAGGGTTCGCCACGCACCCAACCACCCTCTCCATCGACTCGGCCTCTCCGCAGCCACGTGTACAAACCTTTGCCGTTCACCCAGATGCAACGGCGGTGGCCCGAAGCACCAAATGGTCGAAGACGCTCGACTCGCCCGAGCTGCTTATGTCAATGCCCTTTGCTGAATCGACTGCGATCAAGGCACGGGGTACAGCAGTGAGCGGCAGCAGTGAGGGCAGGACGTCTAGTGAGGGCAGGACGTCTCCACAAGAGAAGCAGAGCCACGTCGGCGGCTACATGATTGTCTCCGCCGTCATGTTGGTGATGGTTCTCGCCGCTGCAGCGGCACGTCGTCGTGAACGCGCCGCTGTGATGCGCTTCGACTTGCCACTCGCCCGCCCGCTTCGAGCCAGCGAGGCTCCCACCGCTGAGGTGCCGATTGCGCCGATCTTGCTCTGCAAGGAAGAGGCCCCTGGCGTCTTTCGCGAGGACACTACTGGATCACACGCCGCGTGAGCGGCGTGCTATTAACCGCTGCTCTGCTGTCGATGAGGATCACCGGTCCGCTTGTCGCCTGTCTGTATCGACGAGGCAGAGGCCACTCGTGCACGAGCACCGTCTGCGGACCTGTTTTAGTCGACGTGTTCTCTCGTCTCGACTCCGCTCTGTGCGCGTAGCGGCTAGCGCGTTTTTGTCTGTGTGTGTCTCCCCGTAAGCGAGCATAGTCGCTCATGTGTACTTCTGTCAATAACTATTCTACATCGCCCAACGCGACAGCATCAGCGGAAGTACACGCAACACGGCTAGGTGTGCCCATTCGCGAGAACTCGTGGCACCGACACAGTCCGCACCAAAGCGCGCTGCCCTCGCAGCCCGTCGCTGACACCCCGTCCCGATAAAGCACACCAAACGGCGGCAAGCTACGCTTGCCAGCCACGCCCTCGCCACCTCAGTCGCACGCTGGCACGAGCGCTGGCCGCTCCCCACGCTGGCGGGTCCTCTCAAAGGACAGAGCTGCGTTGGCCATCGCGGCGATCTCGGCGTCGGAGGGCATCTCGAACTGCCTCGCGGCTTCAGCCGCTGCGCACTCAGGCTTGTCCTTGGCCTTCGACAGGAGCTGTGCCTGGATCGCGATCGCGCCAGCGCAGCCAGCCAGCATGAGAGTGGACTCGCCCAAGATTTTGGAGAACATCCCTACGGCGCGGCCAACGGTCAGGGCGGTCAGTACTGCTACTGGTTGCGCTGCAGGGCGATCGAGCCGAGCAGTGGCGGTGTGGCGGTGTGCGCGGGGGCGGTCGTTGTGACGTCGTTCTGGGGTGCGGGCGAGGGCGGCAGGCACGCTTGCCTGGAATCAATTTGCAAGCGCACAATCGACGGTTTTTGACTGTTGACGGGCGTTGTCAACGCCAAACTTCTCCCAGAGCATCTCTAGATTCCCCTCATTAGCCCGACACCAAAAGAATTTTACAAGAGATGTGTCGCAAGTTGGTCTGACTGACTGTCTCCTAACAAACCTGCCATGCCCAAACCCACCGCAACCTAGACCGCAACGACCAACGTCACAAAACAATCTCTCTCCCAACGTCCAACGAGTGGGAGAGAGAGAGAGAGAGAGAGAGAGAGAGAGAGAGAGAGAGAGAGAGAGAGAGAGAGACGAGTGGTACGACGAACGCACGAACCCATCAATCAAATCAAAGTTCTCTCGACATGCACATGCACAACATGTGCATGTGCATGTGCATGTGCATGTTGTGCATGTGCATGTTGTGTATGTAGGAAGGTGAAGAACAGTCAGGCTCGGACTGGACACCAGCGCTACCTGCTAGGTAGGTAGGTGTTTTGGTGGACGCAAGACAGGAGATGACGGACGGCACGCTCGCTGGAGCGACACACAGACAGCTCACATGGAGGACCTCATGGCTGGCAGTATCATACAACCGAAGTACGACCGGCCCTCGGAGGGCGCCAGCTGCTCTCGACTCGAACGGCTCGCTTTTGTTGAACCTCGTGCTCCTATCTAGGCGACGTGCCAACTTCCAAGGAAGTCGCATTCGCCGAGCGTTTTCGCAGCGCCGCCGCGCCCCACAAACAACCATGAGCGGAATCAAGCACTGGCTGTCCACCTGGCGCGCGTACGACATCGCCAACACGCTCGCGGCCGCCTTTGTCGGTGCCAGCCTCTACGCGCGGCAGCAGGAGCAGCAGCTCTCCAGCCACGCCGACCCGTTCATCGACGCGACCAATGTGACGGCGAAGCCAATGCAGCAGGCAATGGCTGAGGCGTGGGACGCCGACCCGGGCGAGATGGCGGCGGCCACGTTTGAGTTCTGGCTCTTTGTGTTTGCGATGGGCAGCTCGCCCATCGCGTGGATCGTCACCTACGCCTTCCAGTCCGTCACGCCGGCGACGTGGGCCGCGTTCCTCCCTTGGGTTGCAGTCACCTTTGGCTCGCTCTTCAAGGGGCTCTCCGTCATCGCGTGCGCGGCGTTCGCCGGGACCTACTGGTTTCACGGCCTGCTGATGCTGCCGCTCGACCTGTACGCCACGCCCGATGCGCTCAAGCAGCTGATGGTGTCCAAGGTACAGCCGAACAAGCGCGTCGACCCGCACAAGCTTCCCAAGGCGGTGCTCAACATGGTGGGCAATCTTGTCTTTGTCGCCTTCCCGATCGTCACCGGGCTCGTGTACGCCTCGCTCAAGACGGATCACTTCCTGCGCGTCGACGAGGGCCTCCCGTCGCACAAGGAGCGCTGCCTCTGCCTCGCGTCGGTCATCATCGGCAACGAGATCCTCTTCTTCTACTCGCACTGGGCGCTGCACCACAAGGCGCTGTACGCCAAGATCCACAAGAAGCACCACGAGTTCACCGCACCGATCGCGCTCGTCGCCATCTACTGCCACCCGATCGAGTTTGTCCTCTCGGACATCGTGCCGCTCGGCGCCGGGCTGATCGTCGCGCACGCGCACGTCTTCTTCGCCCTCATGTGGATCGTCACCGCCGTCATCGGCACGCAGGTGCACCACTCGGGCTTTCGACTGCCGTGGCACTTTGGTCCGGATGAGCAGCCTGACTTCCACGACTTCCACCACCAGAAGTTTACCTGCAACTATGGCCACCTCGGCATCCTCGACGCGCTGCACGGCACCTCGAAGATGTACCTGGACCACTGCGCCAAGCTCGCCGCTGCCAAGCAGAAGGGCGAGTGAGGGGATTTGGCCGGGTTTGTCTACGTACCTCTCCCGGTCAGCCTGGTACAGTATTCCGAGCCGAAGTGCGCTTCCGCTCCCTTCTCCCGCTGGTCTCTCTTTGTTAGTCGTACGTATCTCTCAGCGTCTCATCCGTCGAACTCGCGCTGTCTGCGAGCGGCCCGACCCCGTACCGTTAATTCTTGTGCGCAAGCCAGTGACGCCGGTCAGTATGTTTTGCGCTGCAGATACTTGTTTTCAAAGACAAAGTGTGGTCATGGTGTGTGCGTCGGGGTGTGACACGCCGAATATACGTGTCTCAGCTTGGGACTAACTTTTTGGTCTTGCGCGCGTTGCGGCGGCGAGTATTGTCTCATAAAACCCCTTGATGATACTCCTTCCTCGCTCCTTAAAATCCCTGTGTGGTGGCGGCGTGCCGTCCTCTCCCATCCCTCCCTTGGGTTGTCCGTTTTCTTTCTTTCTTTTTGGTCTGACTGACTGTCTCCTAACACACCGATCGATCTAAAACTCCGAATCTCTAACTCTACGTATATACTGAGACGCGCGCACAGAGGACGTCGCGTCGCTCTCTCGACGAAATGTGAAACACTGACACATCTCTGCGGGCCCGTAGCGCCGCCAGAGGCAGAATAATAATGTGTCACGCTCGGACTTCCTCGGCGCCACCGGCGTGAGCGTGGAATCCGGCGGACGACAAGCCTGAGCTGTCTTCGGCCGTCAGGTCCGGCGGCGGCACCACGCAGCCGCGCATTGGGCAGGTCCACGCCACTCCAGCAGCGAGGATCGAGACGCAGAAGAAGGCCATGATGCTGTAGCCCATGATCTCAAAGTTCGCGTTGAGCGTGGCGATGAGGTGCCAGAAGACGCCGCCTCGGATATCCCACTCGCGCTGGGCAAGGCCGAGCAGCTCGATGGTGCCGATGGCGACGGCGATCAAGGACGAAGCGGCGGTGAGGTACGTGTTGAAGGTTGCGCGGCTGCCCGCGCGCGCGGCGGCGCGGTACGCGTAAGACATGGCCAGCCCGTCGAGCGTGTCGATGAGCGACATGCCGCCCGCGAAGAGGAGCGGCAGCACGAGCGTGCACGCGGGCGGGATGCCCTGGGCCGGGCTCATGGCAGAGAGGGCGAGCAGCGCAACCTCGCTCGACGTCTCGAAGCCGAGGCCGAAGAGGAAGCCGAGGCCGGCCATCTTTGCGGGCGAGTCGATGGCCTCGAGTAGCTTTGGGAAGCAGCGCTCTATGAAGGAGGTGGAGTGGGTGTGGCCGGCGCTCGCGCTCGAGCGGTGCGCAGCGAGCAGCGAGAGCAGGTTGACAAAGCCGATGAGGAAGAGGACCGAGGCGCTCACCGCCGTCGAGACAACCGCGCCGACGCCCTCGAAGACGCCGCTGTGCTTAAGGTAGCCCGCGCCGCAGGCGGTCGCCACGCAGATCATACCGACGACGGAGGAGTGACCGAGGGAAAACCAGAGCCCGGTGAGCTGCGGCTGCTTCCCGTCGGCGATAAGCCGCCTCGTGACATTGTCGATGGCGGCGATGTGATCCGCGTCGACAGCGTGTCGAAGCCCGAAGGAGAGGGCGAGCAGCCCGGCCGAGAGGAGGGAGGGATAAGTGCGTGCGATCACAAACAGAAGCGTGAGGATGCAGGCGTTCACTCCTATCAGCGCGGCCACTATCCGCAAGGCCCGCAGCTTGAGTGCGTGGTCACTGAGGAGAACACAGCCTTTGCCTGTGGCCAGCAGCGGCTCCTGCGGTGACGCATCCAGCATCCCACACGTGAAAATGCCGCGCGGGCTGAAATGTGAAAAAGAGAATTTAACCACGGTTTCCCCCAGTGCGCGCCAGGACGAGGCGTGCCCGTTTTATTTATTTATTCGCCAGGACGAGGCAGAAGAGAACGACGCGACAGAGGAGGAAGTGACAAGGGAGAGAACGACGAGAGTGGGACGACCGCGAGGTGGCATGAAGGTTGCAGCGAGAAGCGGCGAGAGACTGCGAAGAGAGATAGGAAGAGGCAGACTCCCTAGGGTGGGCGACGGCTAGCGCATCACACACCTCTCCTTAAAATCCCTGTGTGGTGGCGGCGTGCCGTCCTCCCATCCCTCCCTTGGGTTGTCTGTTTTCTTTCTTTCTTTTCGCCAGTCCCGTGCCCAGTGTTGTGCGAAAAAGAGAATTTTACAACAAAACTCCCTCGCACAACACTGGGCACGGGACTGGCGCGCACTGGCACTAACACAGGTACACCACTGAAAAAGAGAATTTTACACAATCGAGAGAGAGATTTTAGCAATGCCAAGTTTTGTTTTGTTTGTCACAATAGTGCCTCGCCCAGTGTTGTGCGAAAAAGAGAATTTTACAAAAACCTGTGTGAAAAGAGAAAGCGAACTTTCCAACAACGCACTCTCTCACATGACAAGCGATCCCACGACAGCGATTGTGGGGACTACATGATCCTTACGTGAGGGGTGGAGGGGCCCGTCCGCGGAGCTAGGCGGTACGGGCGCCCTCCACTGCGGCTGAGCGCAAGAAGCCGTCCGCCGTTTGCTTGTTCGAGATTTTTAGCAATACCTTAAAGAGATGTTACAGGCGGGTAAGGTCCGTTAGCGGGAGATCGGCGGGAGCGGCGCACGTTTCGAATTCGGCGGGCGTTTCGAATTCGTCGACGGACCGTTTCAGGTCTCTGCGCTCCCGTATGAGCGAGGCTGCCGACGCTGCCATGATTGAGGCTGCCGACGCCGACGGGCGGCTGCGCGACGACCCGCTGACGGACCGCCCCGTGGACGCGGCAGCGGCGGCAGAGCGAGAGAGATCGGCGAAGGCGGCCAAGCTTGCTGCGCAGACCGCCAACGCGATGGTCGCCGTGCAGGGGCAGCTCAAGTTGCGGGGACAGGCAGCGGACAAGGCCGCGCACGACGCCAACGCGGAGGCGGGAGCGCCGGTGAAAGCGTCGTCTATGATGGTCAATACCAAACAACTCTAACACTCACACGTCATTTGGGGCCTGGAGCCCTGTTCACGCGCGCGCGAGACGTGCAGACAGGGTTGCCAGGTGAGAGCGAATGGCGCGGTTCACGCCTCGCACAACAGAGAGAGAGATGCGCTCTGCATGGTGGGACATAAAAGAGAGCGAGTACTTGGGCGAGTAGGCCGTGCGGTCGACGCTGCCGCGCGCGACTTTGCGCGCGAGGCGGCGCAGCTTGAGAACGGCGGTGGGCGAGAAGCCGCCGCCGAACGTCTCGTGGAGCAGCAGGTTGAAGTTGTTGCGCTTGACAAAGATCGCGTCGTGGTAGAAACCGCGATGCGCCTTGACGTAGCCGTGGCCGTTCTTGTGGTCGAAGGGTTTGTTGTCTTGTTCGTGACCCAGTTGGTGCGCATCTTGCGCGCCTGCTTGTTGATGTTTTCGGCGTCGCCCGCCACCGCCGCCATGGAGATCTGCTGCGTGTGGTGGACGACGAAGGAGGAGGCGCTCGCCGACGCCGCCCCGTACACCGTCCGGTCCGTGTTGGTGCCCGCCGCTACCTTCCTTGGCGAACACGTGGAGGAACTGCTTGGTGGGCGGCGCAATGCCACCCAAAGTTTCCACGAGCACCAGCCGCGTTATGGCTTTCTTGACCCACTTCGCGTCGTAGTACTGCGCCCCCGTCCACTTCCAGCCTGTATTCTTCTTGACCCACCCGTCTCCATACGCGTGGTCTTTGACCCATCCCTTTCCAGTCGAGTGGTCGAGCGGTCCGTCCACCTGAGTGACGGCCACGCTCCTTGCAGAGAGAGAGATTTTGTTTTTGTTCCTTGCACCCCACGACCGCCGTCAACGCCTTGTCCAGCGTGTTTCCAAACCCGTAGAGCGTAGAGGTGGCCCACCGAGACGCCACACTGCCACCATTGTCCCACGAGCCCCTCTCCCCGACGTCGTCGACTTGATGAGAGGTTCCAGCACTTGACCTCGTAATGCACGTCCAGGTACATACTTACGCAACACACGGTCACGCACCGACTGCAACCCCGAGGCGAAGGGCGTACGCACATCCCACAGGTCGACAACACAACAAAGCAAGCCACTCTGAGCGGCTCCGACAGGCACGCACACGGTCCACTCGGAGTGGACCATGCTATTGTGCACACTGCTCCCACACGTTAGAAAAAGAGAAAACAAAAGTGCTCACATGACAAACGATCCCACGACAGCGATTGTGAGAGTTAGAGTTGTTTTTGTTTTTGCGATTGTGGGACTACATGATCCGCACGTGAAGGGTGGAGGGGCCCGTTCGCAGAGCTAGGCGGCGCGGGCACCCCCCACTGGGGCCGAGGACAAGAGGCCGTTTGCCGCGTGCTTCTTCTTGAAAAAGAAAACTTTGTACTATTAACAACGAAGGCGCTCTCAAAAAGAAAACTGAGAACAGACTTTGTCCGACGGACGCGTCCCCGGCTGACGCGGTCGACGAACCGGCAACGTAGCGTGTCAGGCTTTCTCGCCATGCTAGGCCGGTCGCGGCACAGAAGCTCTCCCTCGAGTCCTGATCGGTGCCAGGTCTCGAGCAAGGCGCTCCCGGAGCATGCAGCTATGGCGCGCCTCGCCGCTCTGACCGAAATGCTCGTCGACATCAGACGAACGCAGGCCGAGCAGCTCGGCTGCGCCAGTGGCGTCGAGCGGGCGGGCTGCGACTTGCTGCTGGAGAAGCAAGTTTGCCAGCTGCATGGGCTTGCGCGCGGCGTTGTCGGCGACATCCAATCGCTCCGACTAGCCGTCGCCTCGCCCTCCGCCACCGAGACAGAGCGGCGCATCCTGCGGTCGGCAGAGTGGCTCTGCTCGCGCCGGCTGATTGAGGCACTTGGCGAGCTCGAGGATGCACAGCGCCGCCATACAGCAGCACGGCGGGATGCGGCGGAGCGCTGCGGTGGTGCACTGGAGCAGGCGTGCGCCGCCGCAAAGCAGGAACTCCTTGCCGCTGAAGAGCGCGAGGCGCGGCTCTCAACTCACGAAAGACAGGTTGCGCAGCTCGAGAGCTCTATGGTGGAGTTGCAGGCGCTATTCGAATCGATGGGCCTTCTCGTCGAGGCGCATGGCGCAGTGCTCGATAATGTCGAGCTTAGCATCTCCGAGGCTGCGCGGCGGGTGGAGGCGGGGACGAAGCACCTCCAGGCCGCAGCGAGGAGCAAGAGCGCGGAGCGGCGGAAGATCGCCAAGGCGATCCTCATCGCTCTTGCCGTGCTGGCAGTGGTGGCGGCGGTGGCGCTGTAGGGGTCGCCGCGGAGTCTCGCGGGCCGCGGGGGCGCGCGGGGGGGGCGGTGGGACGTCGTTTAAGACCACGCTCTCTCCTCTCTCTCCTCTCAAGCTGCCACTCTGTTCCCTCGCGCACGCACAGACATCCAGAAGCCTCGGAAGAGCTCAAGTAAACACGGGTGCAGCGGGCTCCACACGGCTGAGGTGAGGAAGTCTCGCCCCCCCCGCCACTGCTCGCCGGAGGGCAGCGGGCGGAGGAGGGGGGCGCCCTCCGGGGTTGCGCCTCTACTTCCACCACGGCGCGAGGTCCGTGCGGAAGTCCGTCTCGGTCCACGGCGACAGCACAACCTTGCCGTCGACGTCGTTGACGTGCGCGAGCGCGAGCGAGAGCGGCGCCGGGCCGCGGATGACCTTGCCGTTGAAGTCATACTGCGAGCCGTGGCAGGGGCAGATGTACCTGCGGGTGAAGCGGGCGAACGGTGGGGAAGCGTGAGCGGCCGATCCTCCGATCACCACTGCGCGGCGCAGCGATCGGCGGGGGCCACAAGTCGCGAGGCGGAGGGGGCGGGGGCGCGCACTTGAGCTGCGCGCGGTTGAACGGGACGACGCAGCCGAGGTGCGTGCCTGCGCGGCGGGGGTGGGCGCGCGTGTCGGCTCCGCCGCCAGAACCTCTCCCCTTTGCAGCCTCTTAACCAAGCCGCAGGGCTGGGGCGAGAGCAAGGGGGCGGCGGCTGGCAGCGCACAGACGGCGTTGATCGCGAAATCGTAGAGGGTCTTGTCCTCCTTGACAATCAGGTAGTGGGCGTCGCCCTTGAGGCCCTCGACCAGCGCCCGGCCCGGGTACGGGTTGGCCGCAATCCACTTGGCAGCCATCACATCGGCGCCGAGGGCATCGCGGGCGGTGACGCCGGCGCCGCCGCCGCCGCCGCCCGGCGGGACCAAGAAATAGATGTAGCCGCCCGCCAGCCACAGCACCGGCACGCCGGCGCCGCCGAGCAGCACCAGGTTCATGATGGTGCGCCGCTGCATATCGGGGACAAAGTCGTCGGCGCCGACGGCGCCCATGCTGAGCGAGGCGCGCGCCGGCACGGCGGCGGGGGCGCGGGCGACGGGGGCGATGGCGGATGCCGGCCCCGCGGCGGGCAGGGTGAGCGCGAGGGCCGTCCCGGCGAGCAGGCCTAGCATTTTCAGATCTTCGGCTGAGAATCCTCGCGACGCTGCTAGGTTTTTCTTTTTTTCATCGCAAGAATATTCGCCTGGCTCGGAAAATAATTCGAAAACCACGTTCGGATCGCTCCTCATCGCAAACCCCGTCAGCAGTCCTCCTCCGCAATGTCATTAAACGCTAAAGAAAGAAAACCTTTGAGCACCAGCTCATCACCGGGGCTTTGGTACCTCAACGACACCGACCTCCATCACGATGCGGTTATCCTCGCTTGCTCTCGCGGCTCCGTTCCTCGCAACCTCCGCCCTCCCGCTCAGCGCGCGACCGCCCACTGCGGACGCCGACGCACTGCGCCACTTCCGAGCGGTCGTTTCCCGGGCGCGGTCTGAGTCGGTGCCGGACGAGGAGGAGCGGCTGCCACTCACGCCGTGGTATGTGACCGGCACGCTCCTCTTCAACCTCGCTGCCCACCTCGTTGCTACGGGCGAGGTGTGTACCGTTCTCAACATGCACTCGCCGTCGCTCTATCCGCTCGGCGTTGCGGGCGGAGGCTCGCTCGGCCTAGCGCAGGTCCTGGTGTGGGGCGTGCCCGGTGCCTTCTCGATGGCGGCCGTCGAGCTGTGGCGGTGCGGCGACGACTGCGCCGTGCCGGAGGACGATGCGGACTGCCCTCGCTGCTCGGCGCTCGTCAGCCCGTTGCTGATCGGGACGGCTCCAGTCGCCGCCGTGTCTCGCGTGCTACTAAACGAGGCGGGCGTGGGGGAGCGGGTGGTGCGCGTGGTGCAGCAGTCGAGCGACGGGGCGAGGCAGGCCAGCACGGTGGCCCTCGCAGCCGGGGGTGCCCTCGCGTCTTGCGCGTGGGCGCAGGGCGTCGTGCAAACCTACCTGCAGACGTGGCTGCGGCAGGCGGCTGCGGCGGCGGCCACGGCGTGCTTTGACGCGGCGCAGGCCTCCTCGAGCGCGGAGGCCATCTCCAACTCGGCCGCGACACTGCTGACGGTGCGAGCGGCGCTTGCGCCCGCGGCTGCCGTCCTCGTCACCGCCACGCTCGTCGTCGCCTTTGAGACTGCGACGGCGAGCGTGCTGCAGCCGGAGGCCGTTGCGAGGGCGCGGGCGACGGAGGAGGCGCTCGAAGCGGCGCGGGAGAAGGCGGGCCTCTTCTTCGCGCTCGAGGCGCCGCCCGAAGAGGCGCGCCGGAGGGCGGTCGCCTTTGAGGCGGAGGCAAAGCGGTGGAAGCTGGCGAGGGAAGAGGCGGCGAGGCGAGACACGGTCGCGAGTGCGCTGCGCGCCACCGTCGCAGCGTCGGTCTTCGCCGCGAGCGGCGGCTGCCTGCTCGCCCCCGTGGTTGCTGGCCTCGGCGTCGCCTTTGACCCGCTGCCCCTCTGGGACCGCGCCAGGGGGCAGTGGGAGGGGCTCTCGGCGCACCCCACGCCGCCCATCGAGTGGGCCGCCTACTTCTCCCTCTGCGCTGTCGCGTGCGGGTGCGCGTCCGTGCTCTGGTGAAGAGCCTGAGGAGACGGGGCAGCGTCCGCCGCGGCAGCGACTAGCCGGCGACCTCTCGCGCGAGCCGACAGAGCGCTTGCGGGGGGGCGCCGAATCATTAGACTCACACGCCACGAGTGACCCGGTGCACACGCCGGCCGCGCACAGGCCACAGCGCACAGGCCCACAAGCACAGCCCCGCCGAGGCAGAGTATAATAAGTCCCGCTCGGCTTGGCGTCCGCTATCGCACATCTGTTCTGATGCGTTTCTGTGTTCTCTCTGGTCTCTTACGTCTTTAGTCTTTGACACACTTGTGTGAGGCTGTTATAATACAGAGAACAGGCCGCTCGGGGAACGGACGCAAGAGCGCTCGTCCTAGCGAGACGCGACGAACGACGAACCCCGCCTGCGGCTGCGCCTCGACGCTCGAGCCTCGACGAACATCGAACACTCTGAGTGACACACACGACTCACGAGTCGGGGCAGTCCGCGCTCGAGGGGCTCGAGCGTGCGTGTTGTCAATATGTTCTTTCGAAGAATCATGAATCTCGATCGAATATGTTGGTACAAACAAAAGGTCGACGGGACGGGGGAGCTCGGGGTGTCAATGAAGGTACGACGCACCGTTGCAGTCGAGCACTGCGCCCGTCGACCAGGCGCCCTCCGGACTTGCGAGGTGGAACACAGCGGCGGCCACCTCTTCCGGTGACCCCACGCGTCCCCACGGGCTCTGGCTGCGGATATCGTCCCCGCGCGGAGAGGCGAGCACCTTGCGAGGAGGGTGGCACATGAGGGAGAGAGCGGTTTGTGGCAGATCTCTGGAGAGAGGTGCGGATCATGCACCTCGGCTGCCATCTCGGTCGCTATGAAGCCCGGTGCGACGGCGGAGACGCGGATGCCGTGCGGCCCGAAGGCCTGAGCGAGGGAGCCGGTCAGCGAGTTGAGGCCCGCCTTGCTCGCGCCATAAGCGGCTGCGATGGGTTCGCCGCGGTAGGCGCCGCGAGACGAGACAAAGACGACAGCGCCGCCGCGCCCGTTCTCGCGAGCGGCGCTTCCGAAGGCAAAGGCAAGCTCGGCGGGCGCTGCAAGGTTGGTGCGAAGCACGCGCTCAAACGACGAAGACCAGTCCGCCGCAGATGTTGTCTCGACTGGATGTTCCTCATAGACACCGTGGTTGATTATCATGCAGTCCAACGCCTCGCCGTAATCGCTAACGGCCGCCATCGCGTCCGCCACGAGCTTCCCCGGCGCACCCGCCTCGTCGAGTGCAGACTGGATGATCGCGTGGCCGGTCCCAGGAAGCGACTCGCGAACCGCCTCTGCCTGACGCTGATCACTTCGAAAGTGTACCAGGACGCGGTCGCCATTGGCCGCGAACCGTTGGCAGCACGCGGCGCCGATTCCGCGGGCGCCGCCGGTGACGAGGACGGTGCGGCGCCGCGGTGAATCCGACGCCGTCGAGGCGAGGAGGAGGCCGCAGAGCGCTAGCAGCGACATTTTTACACACAAAATAATGCCGCGCGTTTTATGCTCGCCGCTTTTCTTTCCCTAGGGTGGGCGGCGGCTAGCGCATCACACCCCTCTCCTTAAAATCCCTGTGTGGTGGCGGCGTGCCGTCCTCCCATCCCTCCCTTGGTTGTTTGTTTTCTTTCTTTGTTTCTTTTTTTCTTTAAGAGGAGTTGCGAGTGAGTAGTGAAGTAGTCAGTCGTGCTAGTGTGCGCCAATTCACGTCGGAAAAAAGGAGAATTCGCGGGTGCAGGACCCCGCCCAGGAGCGGGAGGAAGAGTAATGGCGTGTCCGGCACCCATCCACCTGCTCCGCTTCCCGCAGTGGCAAGGCAGCGACGCGCACGCACACCTCGCCGGCGGTCGAGCCGCGGCTGCGATCGTCGAGAGCGTGCTCCAGCCCTCGAGCGTCTCTGCCGTGCCAATCTTTGAGGCGGAAAACAGCTGCGATCCAGGCGTCGATGCGAAAGGGCAGTCGCAGTGTGTCCGCCACTTGGAGGCCATCACGCGCCAGGCGCGGGTGGCACGCGCTCAGCTCGACGAGCTGCCGCCGTCCGCACGCGTCTTCACGTGCGGCGGCGACTGCGGCGTCGAGGTGGTGCCCGTGGCGAGGGCCAGCCGGTTGTGGCCAGGCCTCGCTGTCGTGTGGTTCGACGCGCACGCGGACCTCAACACTCCCGCTTCCTCTCCGAGCGGCCACTTCCACGGCATGCCGGTCCGCACGCTGCTCGGCGACGGCCCGCCAGAGCTGTTGCAGCTGCTGCCGTCGCGGCTGGAGCCGTCCCAGCTCATCTATGTCGGCGCGCGCTCGCTCGACCCTCCAGAGCAGGACTACGTGGACTCGCACGCCGTGACGCTCCTCTCCGCTGAGCCGGCCAGCTCCCTCCCGGACAGGCTCTCCGCCGCCCTCCGCAAGGGCCGCTTCGGCGCAGCGTACGTGCACGTGGACCTGGACGTCCTCGACCCGTCCTCCTTCCCGCACGTCTGCTGCCCTGCGGAGGGCGGCCTCGCGACATCCACGCTCGTCGCCGCCGTCGCCGCCGTCGGAAGCGCCGTCCCCGTCGTCGCCGGGGCGGGACTCACAGAGTGCTGCGGCGACCCGGAGCCGTCCCGCCCCGAGCTGGAGGCGGTCGCTCGCGCACTGGCGGAGCTGCTGCTGCCGCGGCCAGATCCGCCCCCACCGGCTCCCATGTCGCTGTCGCCGCCCGCCTGGCCGGCGCACTACCGGCCCATCGCGCACGAGCCCTTTGGCGACGGCGGCCAAGCCACGCTCGACACGCTGGCGCGGTACGTCGAGGCGGATCAGCCAGTCGTCCTCACCGGCGCAGACATCGTCGACGTGGAGCGCTGGTCGGACAACGCAAAGGTGGAGGCGCTGCTCGGCGACAAGGCGGTGCTCGTCAAGCGCGCGCGCGGCCGACGCTTCCGCTACTGGGCGAACGACGATCCGGGAGCGCGGACCGCGCCGGGCGGCGGCGGCGGCGGCGGCGGCGGCGGCGGCGCGTTTGGGTTTGAGCCTCCGACGGAGGAGGCGTCGCTCTCGTTTGGCGAGTTCCTGGCCGAGGCGGAGAGGCTCGCGGCCGGCGACTCGGCCGAGCGGCTCTACCTGCAGGAGACGATGAGCGGCCACCCCGAGCTGGCGGAGGAGTTTCGGAGCTGGAACTGGCCCTTTTTGCTGCAAAACTCGAACCGGCACCGATGGGGGCTGCCCGACTCGAACGAGCTTTTCATCGGCATGCAGGGCGCCGAGACGGACGCGCACTACGACGAGCGGCACAACCTCTTCTTCCAGGCGACACCTCCTAGACCTCCTAGACACCTCCTAGACACCTCCTAGACAAACCTAGACCACCGAGCGGCACAGCCTCTTCTTCCAGGTGCGCGGCCGCAAGCAGCTGCTCCTCTTCCCCTTCGTCGAGTACGAGAAGCTGTACCCGTTCCCCGTCACGCACCCGTGCGACCGCCAGTCGATGGTCGACGTGGCGCGCCCCGACCTCGAGGCCTTCCCCGCCTTCGCGACCGCCTCGGGCCAGTACACGACGCTGCAGCCGGCCGACCTCGTCTTCCTCCCCTACGGCTGGTTCCACTGGCTGCGCAACGACGACGCGCTCTCGATCTCGCTCTCGTTTTGGAGCCTCTCGACCAAGAAGGAGCGCGTGCCGGACGTCTTCTCGGCGCACGACCTGACGCTCGTCAGGCGCAACCTGGAGAAGCACATGGCGGCGCGCTTCGGCGCGGCGCTGTTCCCGCAGCGCATGCGCCGGCTGCTGCGGCTGATCGACGCCGGCCCGGGCGGCGAGACGAGCGACGGCGTGGTGGGAGAGGTGCTCGCCGAGGCGCGCACGCTGCTCGGCGCTGTACAGGTCGCCGACCCCGAGAAGCAGGACGAGTTCCTGCGGTCGATGCTGCGCGTGCGATTCGAGGGGGAGTGGCAGGCGCACGTCTGAGGTTGCGCCTTCCGGCAAGGGCAACGCGTGGCGAGAGCGTGCTTTGTCGATCCGACGATCGCAACGCGTTTGTTGTGTGGTGTGCAGCCCCACGTGTGTAGCTAGTGTATGTGTGTGGGAGGGTGTCACGTAGGAGGGGACCGATACGTACGGCTTTAGGGCTTAGAACGTATAGGTGGTGTGTAGAGGCTGTAGCTCCGAGACCCCCGCGAGACAGTCCACACACACTCACAGAGCTCACACACGACTCACGAGCGCACAACACAGAGATTAATTGAAATTGTGAGGTCTCGAGCGTCGAGGGCTCGTTCTCAAAATGTCAGACATGTCTCATGTGCGTGTCGGATCCTCGAGAGGTCGGATCTCGTCTCGCATTGATATCAGATGGCATCATCGATCAACGATCCGTCATTCACATGCGCGCGCCGGCGTCCGCGCGCGCGGCGCGCCCCGCGGCGCGGCAGCGCGTACGACTACGAGCCCAGGACGCGCCGCGCCGCGCGGCCGGGAGCCGCACCCGGGAGCCGGCAGCGCACTGCGCAGCGGCCACGACGACCGCCAGAGCAATACCAATAGGTGCCACTGCGCGCTCGTCTCCGCGCGCCGCTCTTCGTCGTCCCCATTTTTAGCCGTAAGACATCCTGGCTCGCACTATGTTTGCCGTACCACCACACACCATCGTGTCACGATTACATCGAGCTCATGCGCGCTCAACTCACCTTTCGAGCACCCTCCGACCCACGCGCTCCGCCTTGAGCAGCGCAAGGCGCGCGAGTGGGATGCGGCGGGCCTGCCTTGAGATGGCCGGCGTAGCGGCGACGGTGAGGGCGAGTCGGGCGGGGCCGACGACCTCGACGACACCGAGGGCGACGGCAAGCTGGCCGCCCGACTGCGCCTCGCCGGGGATCCAGTCCGGCAGCCCCGAAAGCACCTCCGGCCCAGCGAGCGAGACGCCGGCGTAGACAGCGGCAAGCGAGGTGATCCAGACGGAAAAGTGGAAGAGAATCGCAACGAGGCCGTACTCGCGCAGCAGTTCGCCAACTCCCATGTGATCCGCGCCCGGCGCGCTCATCTGCGCGCCTGGCATACTCCGATGCTGAGCAGACGGCGGGATCAGTCCTGCTGCCTCGTTCGAGGCCGCCCGCTGCTGCGAAGCAGGGAGCGGTCCGCGGAAGTCCGAGGCAAGCGCGCTGGCGGGAGTCGGGGCAGCACGGAATGCTTGCGCTGCCGGGGGCAGCGTAAGCAGCAACAGGCTTGCCAGCCGCATCGCCACAAAGAAGCTTCTCGGCCCGTCGGCCAAGGCATGAAAAAGAAAAAAACTTATTCTGTCTCTCCTATATGCGAGAGAGATCCCCTGTGCCCTGTGCCCAGCCCTCTCCGCGCGGCGATGCGCCCCCCCCCCCCCCCCCTCGCTTTTGCAAAATCCTGCAAAGGTGGGCGTCTGTCCTCGACCCACAGCCCTAGCTTGGGATGTCCGTTTATTTAATTTTAATTCGTGTCCTCCTCCCATCCCTCATTTGGATTTCTGTTTTCTTTCTTTCTTTCAGTGAGAAGCTGGAGGCAGGTTGTCGCTTGACCGACGGCTTCTGAGGAAGTCGTCGCCCGCGCCTTGCCTGTCGCGTGAATCGTGCTGTGCGACCGCCTTGTGTTGTAAAATTCGTTGCCCGCAACAGACTGTACGCGTGGGTGCCCGAGGCTCTGCCCATTCTCACCCCCCCGACCGGCGTCGAACTCATCGGCGCGGGCTCTCTCGGCTACGGGACCGGCCCCAGCTTCGGCTGAGGGCTAAGCTGCCCAAATCACTGTGAGAGTCGTGAGTTCTTGTTGGTTTCCTAAAATCTCTCTCATGTGCACGGCTCAGGAAGTCTCGATCCTTCCTCGTATCCAAGTATCATTCTTCGCATGGCGGACTACTTTTCTCTTTTGTTCACGACCAAGGCGAGGAGGAGGAGGACGAATACCCAGAGCCACTCGTCGTCTGTCTGGCAGCGAAAACGGAGAAGGGGAAAAGGTCCTCACACACTCTCCACACACACACGAACGACACGCGCACACATATAAGAGGCCGCGGGCGGATCCCTCGTCGGGGTTCCCGGGAAACGGGTAATTTGTAAATTTGCCGACAAGACGTGATGAATCGGATTCTGGTCGTTTCATGCATCGCGAAGTCGCATACCTTCGCCGTACTTCCCTGCGCCATTAGCGCCCCTGCCTCAGGCTGTCGGCGTCGGCTGGCCCTACGTGCTCGGACACACATGCCCGATCTTCCTCAAACCGCGCGCGAGGGCGCCCTTGCGCGGGCGCGCTCATCAAACCGCCTTTCGTTCTCGCCGGACCCGAAAATTGAGATTGAGCATAATGATGCGGAATCTGAGTTCGAGGCGGCACTCTCACGCCTCGAGGCAACGTCACCTCAGCAGGTGGCAGCGAGGACGCACTGGTCTCGGATGCCATCTGCAGACGAGATGCTGGTGATGCAGTTCTTTGAGAAGGGCGGCCGCCAGCCTATCGTGAAGAGTGCTGTCAATGCCAACCCTACGCCGCCGCTGTCTCTCTGATGACATATACTGCTGTTAAGCTGCAGACAACGCAGAGTCACAATGGAGGGAGAGGAGGACGCGCAATGCTAGTTCGCCCTGCCATCGGAGGAACGAGGGCAGTCACCGGTCCGGTGCCGGTGGCACAGTCACGCAGCGGACTCGAGGAGGCCAAGGCTGCGGTTGCAAAAGGGGTTGCTGCTGGAGCCACCAGCGGGCGAGAACACGATGCATTCCACAGGCTGACGCAGTGCTTCATCTCCGCTCTTCCCCGCCCCGGACAGCGACACTCTCCCGACTTCTCGCTGCTCTGGAGAGTCTGGAGTGAAGGCTTCCGGCGATTGGCGCCCAAGCTAAGCTTGGGGGCTGGTGAGGTGCATAGGGCGAGTGTGCGGGCGGAGAGTGGCAAGATCGACTAGTGGAGACGCCACGTGCGGGACGTTTCTGCGTTTGGGTCTGTGTCGAGCTCGACTCTGATACCTGTATCTCCCCTGGGCACCTGCGCGTGCTGCGACCTGCGACCTCTCCTGCTTGGGTATGTCAGTGTAATTTGCTGTATATCCATGTGCATGCATTTTGTATGTACACACCACCACGTAAGTGACACAAAACACACCTGTCCTGTCGGCGCCCTACGGGGCTAGTACTGACTCTGAACTGACGACCATGCTGCAAATTGGGCCATGCTGACGACTTTCTCACTGCGTGCGCCTTATATGCGATGCAAAGAGACCAAGAGACGAAGCGCGCGCTGTGTTAGAGTAGTGAGAACGACGTAATCGAAAGCGGCGGCCCGGTCACCCGCACGGCGCCAGCAGCAGCTCGGTCACGAGGTTGGCCGCGAGAACCGGCACCATCTGTACGAGCAGCACGACAAATACCACCAAAGAGATGGTGAGGCAGGCCGCGCAGCCAAACTTGGCGCAGAGCTTCGGGCCGAGGATGTAGTACATATTGCGCAGTGGGTTGAACGACCAGCGCACGCGCCCGGTCGGCGGCGGCAGCTTGGGCATATCGTTCGGCTCGGCACGGCCAGCCCCCGCCGGGAAGGCCTCCGCCACCTCGGCGGGGACGAGCTCGACGGAGACCTCGACCCAACCGGCGCTCTTCGGGCGGCCGGCAGCGCCGCTCTTTGCGTGGAGCGGCAGCCAGAGCTTCTGCGCCTCGCCAGAGACGCACTCGAGCGGGGCGGCGCTCTCGCTCAGCAGCCGCGCCAGCGCGGTGCGGACGCTCGTCTCCGACGGCGGCCGCAGGCCCGGGTCGCCCTCGAGCTGGCAGCCACTCAGCGCCGACGAGCCCTTGCGGCCGCGGCCGGCGGCGGACGCGCCGTCATCCCCGACGGCGGCCGCCGCGTCGGCGGCGGCCGCCGCCTTTGCTTGCTGCACGCGCGCGCGGAAGGCCTTTGCGAAGAAGCGCTGCAGCGGCACCACCACCTCGCCGATGTTGTCGTTGTACTTGAGCACGTCGCGGTCCCACAGCTGCACCGTCAGCCGCTCGTCCACCCGCCGGCGGTGGCCGAGCCGCAGCGGGAACTTGCAGCGCCAGTTGAAGGAGCCGCAGCCGTCGCGGCAGCGCCAGTGCGTGTCCGTGTGCATCGCCGGCGCCGTGCCGTAGGCGACGACGGCGTAGAGGTCGTTCATCTCGGTGAAGTAGTCGTGCGGCAGCACGTCGCGCGTGCGCCACACGATGACGCGCAGCTCCCACCGCTGCTCGCCCGGCGGGGCGATGTCGCACGGCGGCGGGGGCGGCGCCTCGACGTCGAGCGGGAAGACGTCCACCCAGAGCTGCAGCCGGCCCTGCGGGTTGTTCGAGTAGGGGGAGTGGAGCGGCCGCCACTCGAGCGGCTTGAGGTCGCCTGGGAAGGCCACGCGGCGGTCACGGACGGCGCCACGGCCCCACACGCACTCGGGAGTGCGCTCACCCAGCTCGCGCCACTCGCGGCTAAAGACGCGGTCCTCGAGGTCGACCTTGGTGTAGCCGATCAGGTCGTCGCTGTCGAGCAGGTCGTGGTCCATCACCTGGCCATCACCAATCGCGCGGCGGTCAGGCGGCTGTGAATGCGAGAGGCCTGGGGGGGGCGAGGGTTCGCGGTGTGTCGCCTCGATCCGCAGCTCCGCCTCGCCCGGCAGCGTGGCGCGCAGCTCGAAGCGCTCGTAAAACTCGGCGTCCGTCACGCGGCTGATCTTGCGCTCGCGCGTCGAGATCGTCGTGTCGCCGAGCGTGATGCGCAGGTACGGGTCGCTGGTGCCCGAGGCGTCTGCGGGCATCAGGTGCTCCGCGCGCAGCACGTAGAGCCGCACGACGTGCAGTGCGGGCGTGAGCAGCTCGGCGAGCGGCACGGGGAGCTCGGCGATCGGCGCGTCCTCCTCGCGCCGCACCACCCGCAGCAGCCCCTTGAGCGAGCCGCACACCGCGCTCGCGCCCTCCGAGGCGAGCACCTCCCACCGCTCAAAGGGCCGCTCCTCGATCAGCGCCTCCAGCTCGCCCGGGCACTCCATTCGCCCGCTCAGCCAGTCGGGCACGAGCTCCTCGTCCTCGTCATCGCTCCCCTCTCCAGCCTTCTCTCCAGCCTTCTCTCCAGCCTTCTCTCCAGCCTTCTCTCCAGCCCCCACTCCCCCGAGCTCGCTGACCCGGACGCTGGCGCAGCCGGGCGCCCCCTTCCCCGGGGGGACAGCGCCGCCGCCCCCGCCACCCGACGGACGGCTCGACAGCCGGCCCGAGCGCGCGGGCCGCAGCCCGACCAGCACCGCCACCATGCCTCCCTCGCGCAGCTTGCTCCTCGCCACGTCGCGGCTGACGAGCTGCTGCACGCGATACCACAGCCGCCGCCGCACCGCCTTGACGCGCGGGTTTGGCGCCCAATGCGGCTGGTCGAAGCGAGCCGCGTACTCCCAGCCGTTGCCGTCGGTCCTCTTGGACTGCTGGACGGTCCACTCGTCGGCCCACTCCCACTCGGCGCCGCGCAGCACCGCCTCCGCCTTCTCCTTGGCAGCGCCGCGGTGGTCCGACCACGGCGGCGGCACGGCGATCGTCGGCACCCACGCAGCGCTGGCGGCGTTGTACAACTGGTTCTCGTAGACCACGCTGCGCCGCTGGTACTCGAGGGTGCGCCGCGACTGCCACGGGATGCGCGCCGAGAAGTCGACCGAGGCGACGCCGAGCGTGAGGGCGGCGACGCCGCCGAAAAGCTCGTCGAGCACGCGCGCCTCGAGGCTGGGGCAAAAGATGTGGTTGTCCGGCAAGTCCACCGGCACCAGCACTTGCTCGCAAAAGTTGGGGTTGCGCGCCGACGGCGTGTTGGAGCGCGACGTCCTGCGGACCGCGTCGACGCGGTCCGACTCGCCGGTGGAGAGGGCGAGGCACGGCTTGCGCGCCGCGGGCTGGTGGTGCGGCTGCAGCTCGCGCAAGCCCAGGACGATGAGCTGCACGAACGCGCGCCGGCTGCTCGGCCGGAGCATCGGCATCGGCGGCGACGAGCCGGCGGCGGAGCCGGCGGCGCCGCCCAGCGAGAGGAGCTGGAGCACGAGCAGGACCTCCTCGCCGCCGCCGCCGCCGACGCCGCCGCGTGGCTCGAGGGCGTGCCAGCGCGGCTCCGGCAGCGGCGGCTGCTCGTCGCGCGAGTAGTCGAGCACCAGCGCGTCCGCCGGCCGGAAGCGCACCATGCCGAGCAGACGGCCGCCCTTGGCGTGGAGAGAGAGCACGGCGTCGGGTGCCGTCTCCGGCTCGAGCGAGTACACCTCGAGCCGCAGCGTCTTGTACCAGTGCGGGTTGCTCGAACCGTACACGGTGTCGCTCTTGACAGAGTGCCCCATGAAGGAGAGGCGCGCGTACGTGTCGGGCGCCGAGGGCAGCCTCCGCGCCTGGAAGAGGTGCAGCCGGAGCTCGAGCGGCAGCTTGATGCTCGGTGGCGGCAGCGTGAAACCGCGCAGCGCCTAGAGGGAACCCACTCTCTGCTGGGTCTCGGCTGCATCTCGCATCTCGAGCCGTCCAGCCGCGCGGCGCCTGCGCCGCCTCGACGTACTCGGGCTCGGGCCGTTCCACCGGCGCGATGCCAACGCAGAGCCGGAGCGACGGGATGCGTGCGCCGGCGCCAAACGCGCCCGAGTCGTAGCCGTCGAGCAGCTCCCAGGCGGGCTCCATCTGGCCGCGGGCGGCGAGCAGCTGCGGCGCGGAGAGGCGGAGGAAGCCGACGCGCTTAAGGCCGCGGTCGAGGGAGAGGTCCGCCGCGTCGAGGGCGGCGGAGAGGGCGTTCGAGGGGCGCGTGTCGTGGCAGAGGTACACGAGCACGTCTGGCAGCTGGTCCGAGATCTCCACCGCCGGGAGCGAGACCTTGAGGTCGCGCGAGCCGGTCGGGCGGAGCTCGGCGTACCACTCGACGAGGGAGCCCGCGTCGGCCTGCGCGGTCGGCGACAGCCAGACATACGGGCCCCAGTGGAGCGAGACGCAGAGCCGCTTGCCCGCGAGGGTGTCGGAGCCGACTAGCACCGCGGCGCGCAGCGCGTACTCGTCCGTGTCTGGCTCGCCGTGGTCGGAGCCAAAGGCGCCCGCCTGCGAGGGCGGCAGATCGCGCACGTACGGGATGTTGCGCAGCTCGAGGGCCGGCTCGGAAGGCGCGCGGTTGAGGCCGAGGAGCAACGCGCCGCGCCACCAGCCGAGCGGCTCGCCGCGCGCCTGGGTCGCCGCGTGCGCCCGCGCGACCCCCTCGCCCGCCGCCTCGCCCGCCGCCTCCTCGCCGCCTCCGCCGCCGTTGTCCGAGCTCTCGGCAGCGTCTGGGGGCGCGGGCGCCGCGCCGACCGCCGAGCCCGACGCGGCGGCGGTGGAGGTGTGCCGCTTGGAGAAGGGGGAGTAGAGCTGCAGCCAGCGGTACTCTGGCTCCGCGTCCGCGGGCACGTCGGCGAAGGAGAGGACGGTCGACGCGACCAGCCCGCCCGCGGCCGAGCCCGCCGACGCGTCGGCGACGGCGAGGGTGATCAGGTTGCCGCAAGTGGGCTCGACGACCGGGAGCCAGAACTCAGTCAGGATGGCCGGGTTGCGCGACGAGACCGGGCTGGTGCGGACGCGGTGCCCGTTGAAGGAGACGCGCACGTACGCGTCCATGCCCTCGCGCCGGCCGCCGAGCAGGCTCTTGCTGCTCTGGCTGGGCACCAGCCCCTCGGCCCGCCGCAGCGACACCACCAAAAAGACGATGCGCTGCGGCACCGACGGAGGCATCAGCACGACGCTGCCCTCGTCAGCCTCGTCGCCAGCCTCGCCAGCAGCCTCGCCGGCGGCCTCGCCAGCAGCCTCGCCAGCAGCCTCGCCGCCCGCCGCAGCCGCGCCCGCCGCAGTGCTCGAGGCGACTGAGGCGGCCGAGGCCCGCGCAGCGGCTGGAGAGCCCGGGACGGGGCTTGGGCCGAAGCGGCCCATCGGGCGAAGGGCGTCGCCGGGCGCCACCATCTGCAGCGAGACGCGCACGAAGGCCTGCACCTCGCTCCTGTGCGGGTGGGCGAGGCCGAGCCACGCCGAGCGGAGCGTGCGCTCGGGCGCGTAGAAGACCTCGAGGAGGTCGAGCGAGAAGCTGCCGATGAGCGCCTTGCGCGCGAGCGTGTTCATGTCGTACAGCGAGAAGGCGACGGAGCGGCGCGTCAGGTAGGCGCCGTCCGTCTCCTTGCGCGAGAAGAAGAGCGTCTGGTCGAAGAGCGGGTTGCGGGTCGACGGCACGCACCGGGTCCGCTCCGTCGCGTCGAGCGCATCGACGAAGAGCGCGCAGTCCGCCATCCCGTTGGCGTCGCGGCCCTGCACGTCGCGCGCCTCCGCCACGTAGACGAGCAGCGTGTACTCGCCCGTGGGCGGCCGCTCCTCGCTCGCGCCGACGCCTCTCCCCTCGGCGGCCGCCGCCGCCTCTGCGGCGCTCCACTTGTCCGACTTGACGCGCATCGAGGCGGGGAGCGGCGCGAGGGTGCGCTTCAGGTTGGGCGCGTCGTGCGTCTCGCCGCGCACGACCGCCAGCTCGCCGTACAGCCAGCGCAGCCCGAGCCGGACCGCGCCCTGCGACGAGAGCGTGAACCACCGCTGCAGTTCGGCCTCGCCCTTCCACGGCAGCTGGCGGAGCGGGAGCGAGACGGAGCCGAGGTCCTCGTCGGAAGTGAGCGCGTTGTGGTCGCGCAGCAGCACGCGCAGCGTCGCGGCGCCCGAGCTGACTGGCCGGAACTCAAGCGTCACGCCCTCCGTGGCGCGGCCCGCCGCCGCGTCTTCGGCCGTCGCGGGCTTGCCGTTCGGGAACGCGTACCAGGCCGGGTCGAGGTTGTTCTCGAGCCAGTGCGTCTTGCGCGTGATGGCGCGGCCGCGCGTCGGCGTGACGGTCACCGCGGCGTACGGGTCGCTCTTGTCGTCCTTGAAGAAGGCCGAGTTGGCGTCGGCGTTGCGCAGCTTGACCGCCTCGTACACCGTGACGAGAAGCACCTCGCGCGCACGCCCGCCCCGCCCCGTCATCAGCCGCGTCGTCTCCTCCGCCTCCTCCGCCTCCTCCTCCGCCGCGCGCGCCGCCTCCTCCACTGCCGCCGCCTCGAGCCGCCGGTTCTCCGACAGGAGCGCCGACATGTCGAGCTCTCCCATCCCGGCCGCGATCTCGCTCGCCTTGCCGATCGCGGCCCGCAGCGTCTTTGTGAGTGCCGCCTTGCGCTCAGGCGTCGAGGTGTTGAAGGCGAGTTCGCTGTCGCCGGGCAGCCGCAGCGCGAAGCGACACGGCTGCTCCATCGTGCCGCGGTCGAGAACCTGCGCACCGGCGCCCACCGTCCACGACCTCTCGCAGCTCACCTGGAGGGCGAGGACGAGGCGAGGCGCGGGTCGCCGAGGGTGGTGCGAGGAGGCGACCTTTCAATGGCCTCTCTCTCGCGGCTCACCCCCGACGAGCTTGGCGAGAGCAACGACGCCGCGAGGAGAGCGGTGCCTCGCGTGATGTTTGGGCTGCGGAGGGGGCTGCCGTCGCTGCCGTCGCCGACGGCGGCGACGCGTGGCTCGCCCGACAGCTGCAGCAGCAGCGCCTGGTGGTCGGGCGACAGCACCTCCGTGAGGCGGTGGCCCGACGGCAGGAGGAGGGCGGGAGGAGGGAGGAGGGCGGGAGGAGGGAGGAGGGCGGGAGGAGGGAGGAGGGCGGGAGGAGGGAGGAGGGCGGGAGGAGGGAGGAGGGCGGCAGAGGAGGAGGGCGGGAGGAGGGAGGAGGGCGGGAGGAGGGAGGAGGGCGGGAGGAGGGAGGAGGGCGGGAGGAGGGAGGAGGGCGGGAGGAGGGAGGAGGGCGGGAGGAGGGAGGAGGGCGGGAGAGGAGGAGGGAAGGCGGAAGCCTCTGGCGGCGGCAAGCTGCCGTCCGCTCGCTCCCTCAGCCGCGCCACGCCCGGCCGGAGCAGGACGTAGTACCTCTGGAACCAGTTGGCGCCCGTCTGCACCACGTACCTGCCGACGAAGCCGCGCCACGCAACCTCGGAGAGGAGGAGCGAGCGGCTGTACTCGCCCGGCACCGCCAGCTCCTTGGGCACACTCCGCACCACCAGCGTGTGCCTGCTCTCCACCGACGAGCGCCGCTCGTCAGCGCGCAGCGGCGAAGTGCGGCGGTACCAGCGCCGCCGCCGGCAGAACATGCGCCGGCTCGACGGGTTGGTCTTGCCCTGCGCGAGCGCCGCGTCGAAGGAGGAGAAGAGCTGCGCGTAGAACCAGCCCTCATTGTCGGTACCGCCGCGCGCCGCCGGGGTGCGATCCTTGATCCACCCCTCGCCCGCCCGCCAGCCGCGGTGGGCGGGGCACTGCACCTGCTCGAGCTTGGCGCCCAGGCTCGCGCCGAGCCGAGCGCAGAAGTGCGGGGGGTCTGTGACCATGAGGTGGTTCGAGCCTACACCAAGTCTCTCGGAGGCGCCTCGGCAAGCGTCTCGGACGAGAGTGCTGTGGGCGGTGAGTTGAACGAGCCCCACTCGGAGCGCACGGAGCTCCAGCGCTCGTTCTCGAAGACCTCCACCTCGTGCTCCGCCTCCCACTCGCCCTCGCCCTGCGCCTCGCGCCCCGATCCCGAGCCGGCCGCGGCAGAGGAGGCGGCGCAAGCGGCGCAAGCGCCGCCGGCTGGGGCTGGCGGCGGCGGCGACGGCGGTGGCGGCGCGGGCGGCTCTGCGGGAAGCGCATGGAAGAGGACGTCATGCGCGCCGCGCGTCTCGTCGGGCCACGGGCCTCCCGGGTGTGCGGTCACGCGGCGCAGCTTTGTGTTGAAGTACTCATACACCGCCACCGTGCCCTGCGGCGGGCTCGCGCCGCCGTCCGCCGGGTAGGCGTAGAACTGTACGCTGTGCCGCTCCTCGCCCTGGCGTGGCCCGCCGGTGTGGAAGGTGAGCTGGCGCAGGTTGGGATTCCAAAAGTCGTACACCGCCACCGCGCCGTCGGGCGGCGGCGCGGCTCCGCCGGCGGGCGGCACGTCGGCACGGAAAGCGGTGAACTGCGGTCCTCGCTCCGCCTCGTCGGCCCAGGCCTGCCCCGCGTGGATGGTGAGCTGGCCGAGCTTCGCATTCCAAAAGTCTTTGACGAGGACGAGCGAGGAGGGGTGCACGCCCGCCGGGAGGGAGTAGGCCGACCAGCGCGGCGTCAGCTCATACGCGTCGCTCGACGAGGCGGCCGACTTGCCACCGGAGCCTTGCCGTAGGAACGACTCTCTCCGCTCGACGGCGCGGCCGCTGCCGCGCGGCCCCAGGTCGATTCGCACCGAGCGGACGTCGACGCTGAGCGAGGATGGCGGGCTCTGCCCGGCCGCGTGTGACAGGTCCGGCGCGGAGTCCTGCTGACGGTACTTCTGGCGGAGGTGAGCGAGCCGCTTGGCCTTCTCTGCCGAGACGGGCACTGGCGACGTGGGTCCAGTGGCCAGACCGCCGCCGAGGCCGAACGATCTAGAGCTGAGCTCCTCGGACACCCGCGATGCATCAGACGCCACTGCCGTGCCGCCTAGCAGCGAGGCAGTCGGGCTCTCATCGTCGTCGTCTCGTGCCTCCTCCGTAGGAACAGCGCCGTAGCGGGCACGCAAGCGTGTGGCCGTCATCGCTACCTCCTCGGAGATCGACGGGTGGAATGGAGGCTCCGCCATCGACGGGCGGTGGAGGGGAAGGTGCTGATAAGATAGATATCAAGCAAGGCGCGGCCCAGCGCGAAAAGAATTAGGAGCGCGGAGGGGGGGCTTGGGGTCAGCTGTCGGAGGAGGTGAGAGACGAGCTGACGCGGCCTCTGCGGGTAGAATCGGGACGTACGGACGAGCCGAGGACGATAGAGAGACCGCGGGGGCGGGCACGAGTCCTCGACCGAAGAGAGCCGGCCTCACTTCACGGGGAGGGGCGGCGTGGCGATCCAGTGCCGCCGCCCTCGCCCGAGGAGTTGGGCATGGGACCACCGGAGGTGGAGTCAACAGGAGCAGGCAGAGTGGGCGAGACGGCGGCGGGGCCGCGGCCGAAAAAGGCTAGGAGGGGGGGTCGGGCCCCGCATCCGTTGCCCAACCAGCGGAAAGCGAGTGGGGGGAGGACCGAGGGGATAAGAGGGCCCCTCCAGACCGAGGGGGGGGAGGCCAGACCGGGAAGCCTCGAGGGGTGACGTCGAGTGAGGATGTACGTCGTGTGCGTGTCTGGTGTTTATTAGCTCCGAGTAGAGGGGGCGCTCCGCTGCTAGGGGAAACCTGGAGCGCGGACTAACCCTCGGAGACCCGTGTTTACTTTACGGCCCTTTCCCTGCGAACGCGCACCCCCTGGGCTAGGGCTCTCTTGCCCGCAACCCGATGCCAATCATCCGGCCCGCTGGGTGCGCTTCTCAGCTCCCCGGCCCTGGGTGTGCGGTTGCCGACTGCACTCCAAGTGCTCCAAGTGCGGAACACTGGGCACGGGACTGGCGCGCGCTGGCACTAACAAGGTGCGTTCCAATGACCGAGGAGGAACTCGCCGAACGGATGGATCATCACGGCCGAGTCATTCAGGCTCGAGGTTCTCGAGGTTGATATCCTTTGGCCGCGTTGGGAGAGAGAGAGAGAGAGAGAGAGATTTGTTTGTTGCGTTGGGTAGCGAGGATTGGTGTGACGCGATCCACGCAGGCGTGGTTTCTGACGGCCGACCGTCAGTGCACGGAGTTGCCCCTTCTCCGACTGCCCCGGCTAGTTCACGAGTTTCGCGGGAGTGACCCCATGCGTCAAACCCGAGACCTAGCGCGGGTGGGTTGGGGGGGGGCTCGCTGCAAGGAAGGGCTGCGTAAGAAGCCGATCCCCGTAGTCCGCCCCGCTCCTCCCCATCGGGCCGCATGAGCGGCCGCGCCTCGCAGATTCGTTTCTCGCGCCTGGGTCAGGCGCGCGGGGCATCCCCCGGGTCGCTCGACCAGCGATCCGAAGAGTGGCCGCTATGCGAAGGGAAGAGTGGGGCTGTGATTGACGCTATTATTGCCGTCGAGGATGCTGAGGCACGCGAAGAGGGAATGCTATACGCCGCGGAAGCTGCTGCGGTAGCGGCTGCCGAGCACGACTTATTTTGATAGTAATTAATTCCTTACCTTCGGTGCGTATCGGTGTGTGTATTCTGTCGCAACACCGCGTAACCTGTGTACGTTTTGGAGGCGCTCGCCGCGTGCGGCGATTGAGCGCCTCCCTCTCTCTCCGGCTGCGCGCCTGACCGGTGGGTGGCCTCCGAGTCGGCGTCTAGCGCGCGTGATAAGGTTTTTGCTCGCCTTCCCTGGGACGCTGGGACCCCGTGTTGCGTGACTGTCTCTGTGCGATTTCGGGCCCGGGGTGGTGCGTTTATGTGTACGTTATACCCTGGTATACACCGCTACGTCAGTACACTGAGACCAGTACGTTATACACACGCCCGCGGCCCGCGGGCCCCGCGCGCGTCCGGGGTACACGGATCGTCGTGTGCGCGAGAGAGATTTCAGTGCTCCTCGTCGAGTGTGTACATGTTGTAGTGGCTGAGCCGATCGGACCGGCTCGAGGCGTCACTTCCTGCTTATTATATGTTGATTGTTGTGGAAAAGCGTAAATGACCGAGACCCTGTTAGCCTCCACCGACCGTCCGCCACAGGATCCATCGCCAGCCCGCGAGCACGCTCAGCGACCCCGTGAGGAAGCCGAGCTCTGCAACATCCAGCGGGCCAGGGCCGATCCCGGCGCTGGAGAGGAGGAGCAGTCCACCCTCCGCGAGCGCGACCGCTCCTGCCCACGTGGCGATACAGGCGGTGCCGGCCTGCGCCGCGTCGCCTCGCGTGAGCGACGGGTCGTACAGGCGCAGAAGGAGCGCGGCGGCGACCCAGGTGAGAGCGAGTGCGGCGCCCTGAGCGGCCGGAGCCGGCAGCCGCTCCGTAGAGGTGAAGAGCTCCGGCTCGGCATCGGCGAGGGGAGAGAGGACCGCGTCGACCACTCCCTGGACAGCCCCATAAATCATGCTTACAAACGCGTCGCCAAGTAGCGCCTGCTGGTCGAGCGACTGCTGATCCCGGCATAGCACCGAGCTTCGCGCGACGGGCGGTGGCGGCCGTGCAACCAGTGGCGGGCGAATCAGCATTGGAGATGGACACGCAACAACGCAGTCTTCCGGCGCGCCGGAAGAAGAATGGGTGCGGCCGCCAGCAGGACAGGCGCCTGAGGAGAGTGACGCGAGAGGAAGAATTTTACATCCGAAGTGTTCTCGAGGTTCTCGAGGTGGATATGCTTTGGCCGCGTTGGGTAGCGAGGATTGGTGTAACCCGAGCCACGGAGGCGTGTTTTCTGACGGCCGACCGTCAGTGCACGGAGTTGCCCCTTCTCCGACTGCCCCGGCTAGTTCCCATCCTAAGTGTTGTGCGAGAGGAAGAATTTTCGAAGCTCGCAAGACACGATTCACGCGACAGGCGAGGCGCGGGCGACGGCTTCCAGAAGCCGTCGCCCGCACCACAGGAGCAGTCACACCACCACAAGCAAACACACGCGCCCAGGAAGAAGAATTTCGGCACTCGAGCACTTGAGCACACTGGATAGGGTCGATTCCGCATGCCGCATGGTACGGGACCCCTCGATCGGCTCCCGTTCCCCTGGGTTGTCTGTTTTCTTTCTTTCTTTCTTTTCCCGTTCCCCTGTGTGCTGTGATCGTCCTTACAAGATCCTGCTCGTCGGTCTCTCTTTCGCTACGTGATACGTGTTCGACGTCGTCGAACAACGTTCGACCATGGCACTGTTCACAGCGCGCGCGGACGGCCGTTCTGCGACTCCCGCTCCGCTGGACTTTTGTAAAGCACGCTTGTGGCAAGTTACAGACGCTAGTATCGACCTCAGAGACCCAAACACTAATTAATAATTAAGGCTCAAAACATAGTCGAACAACCGTCGAACAAGCAGGTCGAACAACGAAAAGAGACTAGTGCGACCGCTAGACGGCGGTCTCCGCCGGCCCCAAGGCTGCCCAGTCCCAGTACCACACCGGCCACGTACACCGTGGCGCTGGAGTCGGTCAGTGAGGCACTAGACGGGCTACGGAACCATGCGCGCGCCGGCCGGACAGGCTGCGCGCAGGGGCCGCGCCGCCTCGATTTCGCACCTCCGCTCCGCGGCCGATTCGGCGGAGCGCGAGGAGCGCATGCAGCGCGAACGCGATGATCGCGAGGAGCGCCAGCTCAAGCGGGAGCAGAAGAACGCCGCAAGGAAGGTGGCCCGCGTGCAGACGGCGGCTACCGCCAAGGCGGCCCTGCTCCAGTGGCGCTTCTTGATCAAGCAGGACGACCCGATCGATGAGGACACCTTCGACATTACGCTGCTCGCAAGCTGCCCCCCGGAGCTGCGAGTGGACTCCATCGTCACGGCCGAGGATTGCGGCCGCCTCGAGCCGTACCTGCGCGAATGGTTCGAGATTCCCACCTCTGTCAAGATCGGCCTGCAGGGCAAGGTGCTGTTCAGCGGCAAGCAGGCGCTCTTCTTCCAGGTCCGCGACCAGCCCACGCTGTCCACCGCGCGCTTTCAGATCGAGCGGCTGGGCCAGCTGCTTGTGGACGAGACGGAGGTCACGGTCGAGGTCGAGATCTGCGCTGTGGACGTGGGCAAGAAGCTCAAGGCCAAGTCCAAGCCGCGCACGCGCAAGCAGGAGGCCTCCCTCCACCACCGAGCTCGACGAGCTGAAAGGCTCCATCTACGGCGTGACGGCCTCGACGCGCAGCTACGTGACCGGCTCGTGGAAGCCCGCCTCGAGCGACATCATGCGGTCGGAGCCAAGTATTTTGAGGGCCGTGGCCTCACGGAGAAGGTGATGGGCAACGCCGCCTACCACCCGAGCCCCATGGTCCTCATCTGCCCCTTCGACACGTGCAAGAAGAGCCACCGCGGTGCTCAATGGCGTGAGCGCCGTGTCGCAGCTGTACTCGCACTGGAAGGGGAGGCACGCGAGCAACCCGATGGCGATCGCGCTCGAGAAGCGGTGGCGGCTGGCGCTTGACAACAAGCACAAGTCCAAGGAGTGGCTCGATGCGCAACCAGGCTGTGCGCTCTCTGCCTCACCCTGCGAGGAGGCCGATCGCCTCGGCGGCGAGGAGGCAGGCTACGAGCAGATCCGCCCCCACAAGCCCGATCCGACTGACTTCAAGCTGACCTTCGACCTCAACACTGAGGAGCACCGGGCGTGGAAGGCAGCCGTCGGCACCATCTAGGCGGTCGTAGTGAGGCGAGAGAGCACGGTGCCACAGGCGCGCGGCGAGAGAGGGGGGCGGGGCGCCCCGCCGCAGCGGCGGGGGTGGGGCGCTATCTGGCGCTATATTTGCGCTATATCTGTCTATCTCATTCGATCGCATTCGTTCTCATTCTATCTCGTGTCGATCTGACAAAAGAATCGTCCAGACTAGGGCTGCCAGTCCGCACTGTGTCGAAAAAAGAAAGAAAACGCTCATACAGCTAGGGCTGGGTCGATCGAGGATTAATTAAAATCCCTCTGTGGTGGCGGCAGCCGGCTGCCGTCCTCCCATCCCTCCCTTGGATTTTCTGTTTTCTTTCTTCTCTTCTTCGAAAGAAAGAAAGAAAGAAAACAGACAACCCAAGGGAGGGATGGGAGGACGGCACGCCGCCACCACACAGGGATTTTAAGGAGAGGTGTGTGGTGCGCTATCCGTCGCCCACCCTAGGGAGTCTGCCTCTTCCTATCTCTCTTCGCAGTCTCTCGCCGATTCTCGCTGCAACCTTCATGCCACCTCGCGGCCGTCCCACTCTCGTCGTCGATCAAGGACAGAGGTCGAGGCTTTTCTTTAAATTCTCACCCCCGGCGTGAGCGTCGCAGCGTGAGCGTCGTCCCCGTGAGCGTCGTCCCGGCAGCAGTGCCAACCAGCATGCAGCGCGCGCAGCAGAATGAGCTCGAGGCGATCACCGACATGTTCAACAAGTGCGCGCTCCCTCCTCGCGTCGCGCGCGTTGCCGCTTGCCGCCGGCGCTGCCTGCTGCGCGCCCGCACACCGTGCACCATGCCGCGGCCCGCTTTCAGCGGAAGTCCCGCCGTATCGCAGGATGACTGAGCAGTGCTTCAAAAAGTGCGTGGCGACGTACAAAGAGGAGGCGCTCAGCGTCGGCGAGGCGACGTGCGTGGACAGATGCGTGCACAAGTACATGACGGTACATGGGAAGGTGCAGGAAATTCTGGGGCAGCAGGCGGCGCAGGCGCAAGCCGCACAGGCGGCGATGGGCGCGATGGGCTGATACTCCACTTCCCACTATTTTGAGTCGCGGTTGCTCCGCTCTCATCAACATCATCTAAACGCGCGCTCTCGACGCTCGAGTCTCTCGGACGTCCCGGGGATTGGCGATCGTGTTGTCGGCCCCGCGTTGGTCTCGGTCCTCTTACAAGTATATGAACTCTTCCCAAATACTCTGGGACCAGCCAGCACAGGGCCCGAGCGACGAGGGGACACGCCGCATGGGGAGTCGCGCCAAAAACCCCTCGTCCGTCGTCGCCTCCGCTCAGCGCATCTCCGCCAGGCTAACTCCGCCCCAGTCAAGGGGCCTCTCGGTGAAGAACTCGGTCTGTCCACGGCTCTTGCGGACAAAGAGGCTCACCGGCGCGGGCTCGTCCTCCACGAGCGCCGTCAGGCTCACCGGCGCGAGTAGGTCCACGCGGCGCACCATCGCGACTGGCGGCTGCTGCCTGATGCCGAGAGTTGCGTGCCTCTCGCGCGTGCGCTTGGTGAGCTGGTCGTTCGGGCCGATGAGCGTGAAGGCGCGGTGCTTGAGGGGACCGGGAGTGGAGGGCGCCTCCGCGACGGGCGATAGGAGGCCGCAGATCTCGCCCGTGGAGGAGAAGGGCGTGAGCAGCAGCTCGAGCTCAACCTTGCCCTCGAGCTGCTGCATGAATAGCTGCTCTGTAGCAGCCGAGCCGAGGAGCATAAAGGCGTACGCCCGGACGGCCTTGTCGTAGGCCAGATAGCAGAGCGCTCCTGCTGCCAAGAGCACTCCGCCGGTCACGAGCAGTCCTGCCCCTGATGCGTTGGACGGCCCAGCCTCTTGCTCGAGCGCCGCCACAAGCGAGTGCGACGGATTGCGCGGGCGCGTGCTGCTGCTCAAGGAACGAGCGAGAGGGAAGCGGACCGAGGGACTGCAAATGAGAGGGAAGCGGATCGTGGGACTGCAAATGAGAGGGAAGCGGACCAACGGACTGCAAATGCGTGAACGCGAGCGCGTCAAGCCGTGCCGCAGCATCACCAGCCCAATTCGCCGTCGCCGAAGCAGAGACAAGAGAACAGAGACGACGAGTCACCGCCCGATTGCAAGACTGCGATTGCCCAGCCAGTTGGCAGTCAGAATCAGAGTCAAGAGTGAGGAGTGGGACAAAAAACTCTCCCGGGCGCCGGCTGGCTGGCTCAAAAAAGCTTGTGTGTGGGTCCTCCCGCGTATCTAGATACACCACCAAGAAATTTTCGTCCCTTCCCGCTCTTTTATAGACACGTCCGAGAAAGGTCAACAAACGGCGAACGTGGGCAGTGCATGCAGCCGCGGCTGGTGCTTTCGTGTGTTGCGTTCGTGAGTGCATCATTCTCGATGGCGGAAATGGCATCCAGCTTTGAGAGCATCAAGCACAAGTTAGTCGGCGGGCCTTACGCAGGGGCAGGAGGCATGGCCATCGGGGCCGGTTCGGTGGGCGTCGAGGAGTTTGCTGATGATGCGGAGGCCATCAGTGCCATCCGAATGTTTCCGGATGTGATGCGGTCGTTCGGAGGGCTGGGGCCGGGCGCAACGGACGCTGAGGTCGCGGCAATCTTCCTCCCGGCGCTGAAGGTGATGCTGCCACATGGAGGCTACTTTCATGATACGCTCTACGGCATCCGAGTCACAGATGAGAACACGGTGACGATGCAGACCGGCGACATGCAGCTCACTGCCCCTCGCAACGGTCATCCTTGGGGCGTTCCCAAGGCGGGCAGCCCCGTGCGCACGACAATGCGCGTCCTTCCCGACAAGGTCGAGATGGATCTGCATGGTGTAGAGAAGTGGGCGGGGCCGGATGATTGGTATCGGGTCGCGGGCAAGAGAGCCCTAGCCCTGGGGGTGCGCGTTCGTCCTGCGTGAGTTTTTGCGTCCTCGAATTCTTCTCTGTGCCATTTGTAGTGCCAGTCCGAGCCAGTCTGCTGTGAGAGGGGCTTTCATAGTAAAATTCTTCTTTGCCTGTGGCCAAGTGCGCGCCCCCGTCGCGCTCCGCGAGATCCGCGGCTACCAGAAGTCGACTTAGCTCGTGATAAGCAAGCTGCACTTCCAGCGCCTGGTGCGCGAGATCCGCCGTTAGCGGATGCCGCTTGCCGCCTCGACTCCGCTGCTGGACGACTTTCTCGTCGTCGCGCTACGCGGCAAGGAGCTCGAGCTGCTTTACAGCTTCACCGGCGGCACCGGCGAAGCCGCCGCCCGCACCTCCGCCGTGAAGCAGTTCTGCTTCCCCGACGTGGAGGACACGACTTCCCTGTCGCTGCAGTCCGAGTCCTTCACGCTGACCCTGACCGAGGACGACGGCTCTCGCTGCTTCGGCTTCTCACGCCGGCTGGCCAGCCTCGGCGACCTGCACCGCCCCGTCTGCCTGTGCGTGCTCTCGCGCCGGCCGTGGTTCTCGCTCTTCATGCACATGCTGGACATTGCACAGCGAGCGGGCGAGCGGGCTGAGCACGACTGCATCGGTGGCTTCATCCCCGCCTTTGTCGCCGCGGCCACCGCCGCCCGGCTCCCGCCTCCGGGCGGAGCGCTGGCCGTGTCTGCCGGAGACTTCGGCAGCCACCGCCTGTACGCGCCTTACGACGATGAGCGACCGACGGGCGTCTCATTCGAGCCGCTGCTCTCCGCGCTCGGGGTGCCAAACACGGTGCGGCTCCTTGGCGCCCTGCTGCTCGAGCAGCGAGTCATCTTCGTCGGCAGCCGGTGGGGTCACGTCTCCTCGTGCGCGCACGCGGCGCTCACGCTGCTTTACCCGCTCACCTGGCAGCACATCTTCATCCCCGTCCTTCCGACGGCGATGCTCTCTTACGCGTGTGCGCCGATGCCGTACGTGCTCGGTCTCCTCGCCCGCCACGCGCCCGCCCTCGCCAAGGAGCCTGTCGAGGAGGAGGTGCTCTACGTCCACCTCGAGACCGGCAAGATCGCGGGCGGCGCCGAGCCTTCCGATGAGGCGCCCTCGCTGCCGCGCCCCATCTCTCAGGCGCTGGAGCGGTCTCTCGGCGTGCACCTGCGCAACGGCAAGAAGAGTCGGCTCGACAACCAGGCCGTCGCCGACGCCGTGCTTAACTTGTGCATGGTGCAGCTGCTCGGCCACTATCGCCGCTGCCTCGCGCCGCCGCCGCCTCCCGCCGCTCCGCCCGCGCGCGAGAGACGCGACGGGCTCCATCCGCGCATGGACGACGAGGATCTCGTCTGTAGCGCACCCGCCCTCCTCGCGCGTCCCTCCCCTGAGCCGTCTCGGACCCTTCGCACAGGCCTTCTTCAGCGGCGCGCCGCAGTTCTCGCAGCCGTTCCTGCGCGCGATGCGCTCGTCGCAGCTGCTCGAGGCATCCGCACCGCCGCCCGCCCGCTTCCGCCCGATTTCCACGCAGCAGTCGCTCTCCACGCCAGCGAAGCCCCTGCCACCTCTGCGCCCTTTCTGCGGCTGCAGCCACCCGCCCCGCGCTCTCCTAGGCTCTCTCCCTTGCGCTCTGACCCCGCCGCTGTCCGCCGTCGCCCCTCTGGCAGGCGTTTGTCCGCGAGTACGCCGACATGTCGGACGAGAGCCGAAAGCACTCCGCCTTCGAGCGCGCGTGCGCCGCGCCGCTCGCCATGGTTGCCGACACGCGCCCCTCCGCACGCGGCGAGCTGCTCAGCCGCGCGGCGTCGGCGGCGGCCGCTGCGCGCGACAAGGCGGCGACGGCGACCAGCGCCGCAGAGCAGCGGTTCGGGCCCGCGCTTGCAAAGGCGGCCAAGGAGGCGACGGCGGCCGCGGCGGCGGCGCAGCAGTGGGCGGGCAAGGCGGCCAAGGAGGGGCGGGCGAGCGGCGGGAGATGGAGCGAGCACGGCAGCAGCGAGCGGCTGAGCCGGCAGGACAGCATGAGTGAGGGCAGCGACGCGGTTGGCTTGTCGCGAGGCTCGTCGTCGGAGCTGCCTCACTGGCTTGACCTCCGGCCCGGCACGGCCAACGGGCGCGGCGGCGCGGCGGCGAGGGAGGAGGGCTCCTGCGACGGCGGCGGCTCCTGCGGCGGCTCCCGGAGGGGGAGAGACGCATTCTGCTCGCCTCCCAACCCGCCGCTCGGGGCGGCGCCACCGAGGCAGCCCGCGTCGGCCGCGCGCAGTGGCGGTGTCGCCGCTTCCGCTGCCACCGCGGGGGACGTGGGGCTACCGGTCAGACAACAGGCGCTGGTGGCGGCGGCGACTGAGTGGCGAGGCCGGCTCTCTCTCTCGGTCAACGGCGCCTCCGACGCGCAGCCGCACTCCAGCCCACTCTCCGCCGCACCCGCACCCGCCGCCTCGACCGCAGCCGCATCGCCCGCGCCGCCCGCGCCGCCCGTGCCGCCGGCGCAGACCAGTTTCGAGGGGAGCCTCTTCGACTTCAATGACTTTGGCACGCCGGAGGCGAGCGCGGCCACAGCTCGAGCCTGCTCGCCGGCGCTGCAGCCGGCGCTGGTGGCGGTGGGCGCCGCCGCCTCACCCCTCGAGGAGCTCTTGGGCGCCATGACGCCCCTGTCGCTTGCACCGGCGCCTCCCACCGCCACTAGCCCTGGCCTTCCGGGCCTCGCCTTCCAGTCGCCTCTCAGCGGCTCACCGCCGCCGCCAGCAGCTGCGGCGGTGGCGGCGGCCACCCCGTCGCCAGCGATGGGGGGCGCGAGTGCCATCGCGACCCCGCCGACTAGGGGCGAGACGGGGCCTCCCCAGCCGCCGCCCTGCCCGACGCCACCGCCGTCGCTGGCCGACGACTTGATGGCGCGATCTCTGCAGGGGCTGGGCTCGCGCTGAGAGTCGTGGTGGGGGGGAGCGGAGGGGAGAGATGAAGTGCTGTGGGACGTTGGTTCGGTACAGCTTGTGAGGTGTCTGCATCCCGCGCTTGACACATTGTCCAGCTCTCTTATTCTCGGGGTCTTCCCGAGAACGCGCCTACGCGGAGCTTGCTTTTGCGCGCAGAACCAGTAGTGGTACGTAGGCCGCTGGCGAGATGTATTATTTCACCTTTCCCGCACCAGAAGCAGAACCTAGAGTCGTACGGCTTTACACGCAACACCAACAGGAACAGCTCCAACACGCAACATGACTCTCTCAGCCTAAGCCGTACTCTATAAGCTGCTGGTTAGCTGAGGGTTGCTCCTTGCTACCGTGCTGCTGCTGCTTCTGCTCTTGAGAAGAGCCGTACAGAGCAGCTGATGCACGGTGCAGAGGCCACTCTCAAGATACGCCAGCGCCTCAGTCAGCCCCGACAGAGCAGCCCGCGGCCGCGCGTCGCGAGCTGGAGCCAACGACTTTACCAGCTGGCTAAATCTTGATGCGGACTGAGGCTTAGAGCCAACGGAGTTGCCCGTGCCTCTCGTCGTCTCGCAAGTCATGCCACTTCTGGTCGGTGTCGTCGTATCGCACGAGATGCTTGCCGGTGATCGCAGAGAAGTCAGCCACCCTGCCTGCGTACCACTGCGGGCGCTCACGCGCGTCCCATAGCACACTGACGCGCGTACCCACAACGGCATACCCATACGACGCAGGTGGCGGCGCGGCCGGGCGCAATGTCTCCAGGTTGGCCGCCTTGATCGCCAACTTTTCGCCACTGTCGCACTCCACCCTCCACCGGCCCTGAGCCTCACCGTCCGCGTAGAGCCGCACGGCGACCCCTTCCAGCGAGTTGTACTTCTCCTGCTCCAGCCCGACGGTGCGCACGCGCGCCCCTGGCGCCACTCCAAAGAGCTGCTCACTCTCCGGCTCACTACGAACCGCTCGCGCCCTCTTGCGAGACGGGCGGGAGGTCTCGGCAGCGCTCGGTGGTGAGCTGCCCTCCGGCTTGACCTCTTGCTTGACTGCCGTTTCGATCTGCTGCACTGCCTCCTCAATCTCCCTCTTGATGACAGCGCTCTCACTGCCACTGCCGGGTGGCAAGCCTTCGGCGCCGCCGCCGCCGCCGCCGCCCTCCAGCGGTGGTCCCGTACCGGCGGGCAGTGGCGGGGCTGGTGGCGGGGGTGGCGGGGGTGCAGCGCCTTGGAGCGACGCGTCAGCCTCGCGGAACTTCTCCATCAGCGGGCCGAGATGCTCCTCGTTCCACCGCGCTGCGTCGCGCAGCATAGCGCCGGTGGTGCCGTTTGCAACGTTGGCCGCGAGCACGCTGCGATCGTGCATCCCGTCGACGTGTTCGTCAGCCCCGATGGTTGCCAACTTGTACCAGCCTCCGGGTGAATCAAACTGGTCGAGGAGCACCCGCACGTAGTTGACCATGCTTCCATCGAGCACGGGGAGGGCAGAGCCCCCCTTGAAGTGAACGTTCTTTGGGTTTGCGCTTGTCACCCTCACCGCGTGGCCGCCACAGCAACGAGGTCAAAATTGTAGCGGGGGTGGCTGCCAGGCAACTGCCCACTGTAGACGGTCTGCCATACCAGCTCCTCGTTGCCAAAGCCCTGCGCAAGGCCCGGCAAGCAAACCCACTTAGCTCCAGTCTGTGGCGTGAAGACGCCCGTCGGTGTCAGGACGCCGAAGAGCGGCGGCTTATCGGGGAACGTCGCGAGCGGCTTGGAGGTGCCCTTACCACGGTCGGGCACGTAATCAAAGACGATCCACGCCACAATCTCGCCTCCACGCCATTCGTCGCTCTCGAGGTTGGTGAAGCGGAGGAACCACGTGTCGGTCCGGTTTTCGTGCGGCACCACCATCACCTTGGTCGGATCGAGCACGCCCTGGGCGAGAGCATGCTGAACAGCGCGAAGCTGAGTAATGAGCTTCCGGTTTGGAACGGCCACAGTGCCATGCTGATCGAGCCTGGGCGACGAAGGGTGGGTGCCACCAGGCCCCGCCCGTTGTCTCTTTCCGTCCTTGCCCGTAAAAGGGCCATCCCAGACGGCCTCCCAGAAGGCGCTATCCATCGTGGCCTTAACCCGCAAAGCGCAAGCGCGCGCGCTGACTGTGGAGGTCAACCGAGATCACACACTAAACAGTTGCGGGTAACCCGTCCTTCACGTTTTCGCGCGCACCCGGGGGCCGGCCGGACGCCGGTGAAGCGGCCCCCACGCAAGCAGCCACATTTTATTCATCATTTCTGCTGTGTGTGGAAAATAAAAACAGACAGAAAGAGGAGAGCAGGTCCCCGCCCATCCATGCCCACCCACCCATGCGTGCGGTCTTTTGCAGCAGGATTATTTGTTGTGTGGTATCTGGGCAGTTTATCTTAGGACGGCGACCGCCGCCTCCACTCTGTGAACCACTTTTGAGCACTTTTGATGCCCTAACCTCAAAGTATATAGGATACAGCGAAGGAAGGGGGCTATCTCCGGACCGGGATAACCCGTCCATAGCTAAGCCTAATCGACTCCCCGGGGAAAGGCGGAGAGGAGGAGGAAGACAGCACAACCCCGGGGCGGGAAAGAGCAAATGCTCAGCCGGTGGGACAAAACCTAGGACCTAGGTAGGACAAAACACTGCGGCGCGGACAGACGAGTCGTCAGCAGAGACGAGAGAAGAGTCAAGAGAGTAGAGAGTGAGAGAGAGAGAGAGGCCACAAAACGTACCGGAGGAGGAGAGAATCGGGGAGAGACTTAGCTGAAAGCTCGACTCGACTCGCATGTCGACTCGACGCTGTCCCAATGGATAGGATTCGCCCCAGAGGCTTCCGTGTATGGACGCAGCTCGCCGGCCGGCGCGATCCGCGTGCGGGCTGCGGGGCGACGGCCGACAACACGCCCCCCGCGCCCCGGCCCGACTTCCCTCTCGCGCCGCTCCGCTCCGACTCGCGACTCGCGTAATCGATAGCTCGGCAGTCCGCGTTGCTTCGCGCCGGGGCCGACTCCCAGTATCTCCTCACTCCTGATCCGTAACGCCAACCTGCTACCTGGTGATATCTAGGGCTAGTTCCAATTCACCCTGACACGCTAACCTTGAAAACGTCCAACGGAGGCCGAGCTCCGTGTTGCTCCCAGCGCCCTCCCCCGCGCTCCCTGCGGCCATGGCCGATGATCCTAGTATGAGAGGTCATCTGGCTACCGCGAGAGCGACCCAACTCGTCGACACCGTCCGATGATGGTGCCGCAAAGTCAGCCTCCGGAGGCTATCGCGGGGTCGAGCCGGCAGTAGCCGTGACATGTGGTTCCACCACCCCTCGCAGGCTTTGCCTCTGACCGCCACCGTTCCCAGGCTGCCTAATGGGATGGAAAGGAAGGCTGGGCGAGCGTATAGAAGCGTGCTCGACCTTGTCGTGGCAGCCTGCACGGCAGCGCTGGCAGGCGCGATGAGCGTCGTGCCACCTGACCCGAGACGGGTCGCAGGCGTCGTACCCTGCGCGTCGAGGCCGTGTACTTGATCGTTGATGTGCTCTGCACGGGCGAGTCACGTCGGCGTCAAAGGAGCGACGTGCGACCTGTCAGAGCTTGATCTCCGATCTCAGCGGCGTCGAGTCGTCTCCGGCGGACAATTTTGTACCTCCCCAGGACGCGCAGAGGGAGCCGCGACCCCGCCGAGTGGACGGGCGCACACACACCCCGGCGCCCGCGCTCGACCGCTAGAGCTGTTTAACATTAATTTTGGGCCTAACAGTTGCGCTAGTGTTGGCTGAAATCCTTAACGTTGTTCAAGTGTTCACCCCAGCCCATGCTGTTACTGTTTGTTACTGTTGTTCAGCGGCCAGCAAGCAGAAAATGGCAAAAACCCCGGGTAAAACCCGAAAATACCTGGGGTTTCCCGGGTATTTTCGGGTATTACCCGCACTGGACGCTGGAGATCGTCGTGGGTCACTGCCAGGCCTTCCTTATTGTTGTTCAGCCGGCCTAACGTTAGCTACTGTTGTTGGGGAGCCCCACTGTTGTTCTGTTGTTACTGTTAACACTAGCAACACTGTTCAGCTCCCAACGTTAAACAGCTCTATCGACCGCGCCCCCTGCACGCGCCTCTGCTGGTGTGCGCCCATCTACTCGGCGGGGTCGGAGCTGCCTCTGGAAGGCACCGAGAGGTACAAAATGGCGCAAATGAGCTGTGCCACTGTGAAATGGAACTAGCCTAGAGCAACATGTGCGCGGGCGCTATACTTTGTAGAATCAAATAGTTTCTTTTTGCCCCCGGCGCATCGCCAACAGCTGGCGAAGCGCCCACAAGTGCCCTCGCGCGATTCCCTCCCCCACCTCGTTCGGGTAGACTCCACGCAGCGACGCCAGCGGCACCGCCGGCCCGCCGCCTCCGCCCATGACGCGAGCTCGCTCGTAGCCCGCGGGGCTGCCGTCGGCGTCGCGCACAAGGCCTGCCGCCTCCGCCAGTGGCACCTGCGGGTCGGTCGATGGGCCACTCAGTCCGAGTGAAGCGCCGGCCGCTCTCCGCGCGGCGCTTGGCCACCCACACGGCGCAGTCGCACTCCTCGGGCTGCAGGACGAGCGGCGGCGGCTCGCCCACCCGCACCGGCACAAAGGCAACCTATAACCACGATAGCACCTTCGGGTGCTTGCGGGTGCGTCCGCCGGAAGTCGCAGCCGAGGCGCGCCAAAAAGTGGCTCACGCGGCCGCCCGCCGCCCGCGCTTCGCGCCACCGATCGCGGCTGACCGGGAAGCATGACTCCCACAGGCAGGCCGCCGCCGCCTCGCCGCCGCCGCTGCCGCCGCCGCCCTCGGCCACAGCCAGCCCCGTCTCCTCGTGAAGCTCCCTCAGCGCCGCCGCCGCGGCCGTCGCGTCCGACACGTCGACGGACCCGCCCGGCATCACCCACGCGCCCGGAAATGAGCGCATGCTCTGCGGCCGGCGCGTCAGCAGCACCCGCTCGTCGGCGTCAATGGCTACCGCCACCGCACCCAGCCGCACCTCGCGAGGCGGCAGCGGGTCAAGCGCCGCGTCAGCGAGGATCGGGCAGCCCAGCCCTTCGTCGGTGGCGGCCTGGTGGCCGAGCGGCAGCAGGGGGCCGTCGCCCACTCCGGGCGGAGAGAGCTGCGCAGTCAGCCTGCCGCCGTGATCCCGCACCCACGCGCAGCGGACGGGTGCGGTCGCGCAGGCGATGGAGAGGTCGGGCAGCGGCGCGAGGCCGAGCGCGGCGACGAGGCAGGGCGACGAGCAGGCGGCACCGCGGAGGGTGGCCATATCGTGTGAGTCAGACGCACTTTGCCTTCGGGGGCAAGTGGCTAGGGTGGGCGTGCTTTCACAGCCTCACGAGAGTAAAGAAAATCCGCAACGTTGAGGGATTGTGGAGGATTGCACGACGTCACATTCTGTGAACGGTAAGTCCCCCCCATCCCCAGGGCCTCCAGGGCTCGCACCTCAACCTCTCACAGGCCAGCGCACAGCGCCATAGGACGTATTTTTCTCAATAACAAGGCTGTGAATTCATTCCGAACGGCGGTGCGGCAGGTTCGCTAGCCGATCCTCCACTTGACGCGGCGGCGATAAGCCGTCGCGATGCTATTCCTAGCGGCCTTCGTCGCGCCCGCCCTCGAGGCGCTGCTCGGTCGCGGCCCGCCGGCAGTCGCCCGCGCCCCGCTGCACGGGCTCGCTCCTCCGAGAGCTGTCGCGCCGCCGCACCTCTTTGCGACAACGGCCGACAGCCTTACTTTCGAGGCTGCCTCCCTCTGCGCGAGCTCAGCGGGGCCGGGCACCTTTGAGAGCCCGGACGCGCTGGAGGATGCGCTGCGTCGGCACGGGGTCGACACCTCGCGCTGGGACAGCGGCGCCTACAAGTCTTGCCGCCGGCTGTGGGAGGAAGTCGAGGCGGGCGAGTCGCTCCTCCGGTTCGCGGGATCGACGGTGGTGCGGGTGGTCAACGTGGTCAAGGTGGTGATCCGGCGGCCGCTCGACGACGGCATGCGCCTCTACGAGGCGGCGCAGCGCTTGCCGAACGGCCGCGTCCGCACGCGCGGCCTGCCTCTGTCGGAGAAGCTGCACTACCAGGAGCCTCTCCTGTCGGCGGCACACCGCGGGGTGGCGGAGGAGCTGGGCGGGCTGGGGGTGGGGTCGGCGGGCGCGGTGCAGGTGGACCTCTCGTCGCTGCGCCAGTGGCGAGAGGCCCGGTCCTCGTACTCGTACCCGACCCTCCTCTCGCACTACAACCTGCACCAGCTCGACGCGACGGTGCAGGGGCTCCCCTCGGGGTCCTTCCAGACGTCGGAGCGCGAGGCGGCGGGCCGGCTGCTGCACCTGTGGGAGTGGCGGCGGCAGCGGCCAGAGACCGCCTTCAACGACCTCACCACCGTCCTCTGGGCCATGTAAACGCGCTGCCGCCCCCTTCCATATGCTTGTTTGCGTCCGACGCCGCCTCCGCTGCCGCGCTTGCAAATGTAGACTTGCTTCCCTCGGCTGCGCGCGCGCGTCTCGCTGTGGGCGCCTGCCGGTGTGTCGCGCGGCGCGCCCGAGAGCGACTGAGCCTCGGACTCGACGCGCCGTCGCACCTATCTCGCAGAGTACCGTATTGTGTGTGTATGTCTTGTCCGTGCTGTGCTCTCGTCCACAACATCGCGGTGTGTGCAGTGTAGTTGTGCGCTGTGTTTGCACCTGTACCTTTTCGCGACATGTAACGAGTCTGAAAACTGCAACATTTAAAGCCGCAGCGCACACACCGCGATGCGCGCGCGCGCCGCGCCCAGTGCTCGAACTCTTTACCGGTATGGGAGTTTTTGGCTAATCAAACCCTAGGCCTGCACTAATCAAAAAGTGGTATGGGATACCACCTGCCTCACGGAAACCAAAGCGAGTCCGAGTGCATTTTTGCGGCTAAATCGGCGAAATCGGCAAAATACCGGTATTTTGCGGGTATGTGTGTAACTGTAGAGAGAACTCGGTTTGGGGCAGAGTGGGAGAACTTTTCGGCGGTCGTGGAGGTCGTGGAGGTCGTTGAGTGGCGAGTCACGCTCGTGCGGACAGCATCGATGCCGTCGCCGGACGCGGCGGCGAGGCACACGGGCGCCGGCGTGGCGCGTCGGCAGGCCCACCACGAGCGGATGCGCGACGAGCGCGCTCGGGAAGCGGCCGCGGGCGAGGCGGAGCTTCCGCCGGAGGACAACGCGGTCGAGATGGCGAGCGCCGTCCACGTGCTGGACAGCGTGCGGGAGGTGGGCCCGAACTACACCCTGCTGCGCAGCAAGGAGACGAAGGCGAAGCGGCGGAAGCGAAAGCGCGAGGATGCCAGGGCGGCGCTCGACGGCCACACTGTCCTGTCCACCGGATCGCGCCTCGAGATCTTCTGCGACAGCGAGCGGTGGTACCCTGCGACCGTCATGGCGCGGGAGGAGGACGGGGACGGACGGATCGTGCACGAGGTCGAGTACGACTGCTACCCGGATCGGCGGTGGTGGCACATGCTGGACGACGAGCGGTGGCGCGCCGTCCCAGAGCAGGCCGGCGCGGGCGCAGGCGGCGCTGCCGCAGACGGGGATGGGGATGCGGCGATGGACCGCGCGGACGGCGAGCAGGGTGCCCGTGCCGCGGGCGACGCCGAGGCGGCCGAGGTGCGGCCGGCGCCGCCTCCTGTGCGCCGGGGTGTGCGGCGCAGCGCGCTGGCGGACGCCCTCGAGGCGGAGGATGACGATACCGGGGTTGACGCCGTACTCGAGACGGAGCTGCAGAAAGTACGCCGCCGAGCGTGCCACCGAAGGCGTCCCGTCGGAGGTGATGGAGTGTGAGACCTGAGGCTGCGGAGGTGACGCCTGAGGTATCGGCCCGTGCACAGCGACTCAGCCGGCGACCGCCACGGGCTCAGACGAGACTTGTCGACGCGTTCCGGCTCAGCTTCACCGTGGTCATCGGGCGTCTGTCGACGTCAGGACCACCCATACAGCTCGCGGGTTTGAGGTCGCAAGAGCCAAGATGGTGGCGTTTGGACATCCCAACCATCACACAAGACAGCCTGTAGGTGATGGCGGGACGGCGCAGTGTTTTTGGCACTCGGCAGTAGGCACCCGCGGCACGGCCCCGCTGTCGGCTCTCGCGGGCTGCGGAACCGGCCCCAGAAGGGGACGGTCCGGGCGAGTGTGGCAGCTCCTGCGCTAGTATGGGCACCCTCATCACAACACTACTGATCCTGGTCATTAGAGCTGCCAGGGATAGCGTCAGAAGCCGGTAGGAGTCAAAACCCCTCATATTTGAGACATCGTGTCCCATATAGTTACTCGTGCAACAACCCGATAGACCAGCGCACGACACCCAGGGAGCGACTGCAGCTCTGAGTGTGAGGAAAGTGGGAGGTGCGCGCGGAGCGCGGGCGGGTCGATGGCGGAGCGCGGATCGCGGTGCACAGCTGTGCCACCTCACAACACACCCTATAGCACACACTTCACCACCCCCAGTCGACGGAGGACGGACTGGGGACTGCCAGTCCACCCCCGCATTGCAGTTTGCACCCCGCAGCGCCGCACGGCTCCAATCCCGGCGCGGGCGGGGCGGGCGGGGCGGCCCCAGCCCAATCTCAACAACCCGCCGCATGATGCGGCATCTCAATGTTGTAACTAGGAGATGTAGTGCGAACATACTGCAGTGCTCTGCCTCTGCAAGGGTCCAAACATAACGGTCCAGCGCCTTTTCCCTCATTCCACCACGCTTGCAGCACGCATGCACGACGAGGAGAAGCTTGCAACTCAGTCCAGCTTAAGCTCGCCTATGGGCTCGCTGGAAGGCGAGTCGTCCGTTGCCGACTTGGCTGTCCTAGCGCGCTTCCCGTCTGGATCGTCAAACACAGCTGTGCCATCCTCAATGAGGCAGTCCCCACACCGATGCTGCCAACGGGCACTCCGTGGTGCGACTCAGCGCGCCTCACAGACTGCTCGGAGAATGGGGCCGACCCATCTGCCCAGCGAAAGCCCTTCAAGCCACATTCCGCTCCCAGAGGACACTTGTAAATTGGCGGCCGAGATTTTGTGGCAGGCCATTCTTGACGGTCCTTGGCCCGTCCATGGGCGTCTTGTGGACGGGGCAGATGAAATCGTCGCGTGTCCTCTTTGTCTTAGGAGGCGTCTGGGGGTTGGCACCCTCCACGGCCTCGCAGTACGCCAGCCACGCGGTCACCTTGGCTGAGGGCTGCACAAGGGAGCGAGCCCACTCGAGGTAGGATGGCTCGCGCGTCCGGGCCTGCTCGTAGGTGAGAGACGAGTGCTTGCCCCGAGCATCTCGCTAGCAAGTGCGTCAGACATCGATCCTGGCAGTCTCTCGCAACCACAGGCACACTGACACAGGGGTGGCAGGGGCGGCGGCAGGAGTCTCCCACGTATACTATGCGGGCCTCGCTAGAGGTGCGTCCTGTGTGTGTCCTCGTCCTTGAGGGGGAAGGGGAAGGGGCTGTGTGTCTGTGCATGCATGCATGTGTGTGTGTGTGTGTGTGTGTGTGTGTGTGTGTGTGTGTGTGTGTGTGCGTGCGTGTGTGCGTGTGTGGGCGCTGTGCGAGCCGCCCTGAACGCCACGAGCGCGCCGCGAGCGCAGTCCAGAGCTTCGGGCTCGACGTGTGAATTTCTTTTTCGAGTATTTATTCCTCGAACGGGACAACAATATCCTCGAGGACTAGTCATTGTTGAAGAAATCGCAGCGCCCTTCTCTGCGCACAAACTGTGCGATATATCTGTTCTCTGTTCGACCGTCCGTGCCTGCGATCTGGGGGCACTGGGGGCGGGGGGACGGGGTTGTGCTTTTCGTTGTGCCGAAGGTGCTAGGTGGTTTCTTCTTAATAACACTTCAACACGGTATTACTCTGAGGCTAGCGAGCTGGTCCCATCCCGCCCCGGCGCTGCCGCACCCACCAGCTGGTCGAGGCCTTCGTCCAGCCGGGACTCATACTTGATGCGTCGCTCCCAAAATAGCGCCGAGTCGAGCCGGAAGAGGCCAGCCTCCTTGACCGCGGTCCGTGTCTCTCGCGAGAACGCGAGGGGGCGACCATCGCTGTCGAACTTTTCCCCAAACATCTTCAGCAGAGAGACGACCGACTCCCATCCCGGTGACTCGCGCACCTCGTCGGAGCCATAGAGCCGCACCAGCGGCTGCAGTGCCTCCTTCACCTGGAGCTGCCAGTCCTCGAGGAGCGTCCCAAACTTCGCGTCGAGGATGAAGGCGTCATACGCCCGCCCCCTCTCGCTCATCCAGCCGATGCAATCGAGCAGAGCGTCGTGAATCCAGGCGGCATGCGCCTTTTCCTCGCTCGCGTGCTCCGCCTCGCAGCACGAGACAATATCAAAGTCGTCCTCCCAGAGGCGACGGAACATCGGGTTCTCGACGAGGGTGAGGATGGTACCCATCTTGATCTCTCTCATCTGCTCCGGCTCCATGTCCTTGTACAGCGCCTTGCGCACCTGGTCGATGATGAGGTGCACGTTGTCGTCCGTCATGCTGCACCCAACGAAGAGGCACTGCTTGTAGAGCAGCTCCTGCTGCACGACTCCGCGCAGTGCCCGCCCGTGGTCCTACAGCCAGCGCGGCGAGGGTTGAGGCGAACCCGGACTGCCTCTCGGGCAGGTGCAGCTGCAGGCTTGCATCGACCTCGAAACGCATGTAGTCCTGCCGCGTGAGGACAATGGAGGTGGGGCGCGAGACGCAGCCGTGCAGCTTCAGCACATGCAGCGGCTTCTTGTCGCGATCCTCCTCGCGGTCGAGCTTGTACGCCTCCCACGGGATGCGCAGACAGTGGCCGCCGGCCGATTGGCAGGCGTCCTCGTATAGGTCGTCATAATTGGTCGTGATGGCTGTCATCCGAAGCGTCGCAGCGATCGCATGCGCTGGAGTATATCTGCCCCTCTGCACACACCGCCTCACCTCCTCCTTGAACGTCTTCTCGCCGCCGATCCGATCGCGAATGAGCGACGCCTGGTCGAGGTAGTTGAGCCGGCTCAGTGAAGCCCGCTCCGCGTCGCTAAAGCCAGCGCGGCGGGAGAGCGTCTCTAGCAGACCCTCCCACGACGGCAGCCCCGAGGGGAAGCTTACGCCCGCGCCCAAGAAGAGCGCGAGCCGGTCCTCGGCCGCCGCCGAGGCCAAGTGCTGGCAGGTGCCAAGCTGTTCCTCCGAGAGCATCCAGAAGGGCCCCGCTCTGTCTGAAGGGCAGTGCTTTTCGCGCAGCACCTGCATTACCCGGAAGGCGCCCGAGTCGGTGGTGCACACGGCGCAATCGACGCCAAAGTCTCGCACGGCGTGGTACATCATCGGCAGCACCTCCTCTACGATGAGGCCCTCCTCCTTGATGGTGTCATTCTTGTCCATCAGCCCGACGCCTGGCAGAGGCAGACCCAACAGAGGCCTGGGCCGGCCAAGGCCACTGACCTGCCCCTTGAGCGCGCTGCCCGCCTCCTTGAGGAACGCGGCCACGACGGCAACCACTTTGGACTTGATTGTCGCCTCGCTCTCACCACCATAATGCTCAGCGGCAATCTTCCCGCGATACTGTCGTATCGATCCGACGCCGTCACGGCCACCAAATCCACGGAGCATCGTCAGCTTCAGCCCGTCTTGACCGCTATCCTGCGCGTCGTGAGGGAGGAGGAACGCATCCGCGGCAAAGCCGGTGATGGAACAATGCAAAATGAAAACGTGGCCTATCTCGGATGGTTGCGGCAACGAGCCACTTGTACTCGTGCCACCCTCTTGCGAGAAAGGCGGTGGCGGCGGCGGCAGGCGCGGCGATGGAGGCTCCATCTCCCTCAGTTGACGCTCCAGCTCACGACTGCGAGCCTCGGCCTCGTCACGCTCCTTTGTGACTCTCCTTAGTGCCGCCTTGGTCTCATTGTGTCTTCGAGAGAAGAGGTGCGACATGCTCTGGCACTGCGAGCAGCGCCCGGCAGTGCCGCGGACGCACGAGAGCAGCGCCCGGACGAACGTTTTTGTGATTCACGGATCCCCATCATCCGGCCCGCTGGGTGCGCTTCTCAGCTCCCCGGCCCTGGATGTGAGGTTACCGACTGCACTCCAAGTGCTCCAAGGATGTCGCTTCATAAGGTCTTGACCGAACGCGGCGAGGTGCCCCCGAGACGCTTGTCGGACTTTAGCCCGATTGTGGAGGAAAGTGCAGTTTTTTGAAGAGCGTTTCGAGGTCACCGAGGCCCTGACACACGACGAACAACGCGACTGCCACGACGGTCTGAATGAATGCGAGTGGGCAGTGGGTAGCACATTCCTTCTGTCCGTCCGGGCACCGACCGCCCGTCCGTCCGTGCTCCGTCCGGTGGTGTGCTGTGTGGGGGGCCATGTGTGTGTCCTGCGCCTTGGCCACTGCAGCGTGGACCGTCAATGGAGTATGCGCACCCCGTCGATCCCTTCTCCCTCCGGCGGCACAACTGTCCGATTGCCGCCTCGCCACTCCCGCTCCCCACAGAGACCGCCCTCGTGCCCCGCGTGTCCACCCGCGACGCTGCGCGGTCTCGCTCAGCCGACGACCGTCATGTCACCCGCCTTGCTGAGGCGCACGATGTGGTCCGCGAAGCGCATGAACTGCGCGCGGTGGCTCACGGCAACCACCTGCGTCGTGCGCGAGAGCTCCTTGATGAGCGACGCCACGCGGATCGTGTTTGCCTCATCGAGCGCCGCGTCCACTTCGTCGAGCAGGATGAAGAGCGACGGGCGGTGGTGCGCCACGGCCAGCAGGAGGGAGAGCTTGAGCAGCGTCCGCTGGCCGCCGCTCAGCTCCTCCAGCCCCGAGCGCCAGCCTCCAGCCGCCTCGCCGCCCTCTCCCGCCTCCGCCGGCTCGGAGACGGCCGCGGCGCGCGAGCGGATGAGGAACCTCACGCCCGACGCCTCGGGGTTGGCTGGGTCGGCGCACACCATGTCCACCTCCATCGCCGGCACCGCCTCGGCAAAGATGAGGCGCGTCTTGTCTCGGATCTTTGCAAAGGCTGCCGCGTTGGCGCGCTGCACGCGGCCGCGCATCTGCTCGATTCCGCTGAGCAAGTTCTCGATCGACGCGGCCGTGACCGCCTCCTTGCGCTTGCACTCCTCGAGCCTCGCAAGCCGCGACGAGGCCGTGCCGTGGAGCCGCTTCCGCAGCGACGCGCGCGAGCCGTGCTGCTGCTCGATCTCAGCGCGTCTGCGCTGGCGCGTTCGCGCCTCTGCGCGGCTGTGGTCGAGGAGGCGCCTCAGCCGCGCCGCGGCCCCGCCACCGTTGCCCGGGCCCGACTTGGATCCGTGCTTGGCTCCAGCGGCGCTGCTTCCGGCTCCGTTGGTGCCGTCAGCGTTCTGGGACGGCTCCACCTCCATCGGCTCCGCGGCATCTTCGTTTGGGTCGTTGTCGCCCTCGCCCACGCCCGCGTCCTCGCCCTCGCCCTCGCTCCCGCAGCTGTCATCACTGGCCTCGGCAGCCTCGGCCGCGAACGAGAGCCCCTCCGCGAGTGCCGCCCCCGCCGCCTCCCTCCGCGACTCGAGCACCAGGGCGCGCGACCGCGCCGCCGCCTCGGCGGCGTGCGCCTCCCGCCCCACCTGTCGCCGGCGCGCCTGCATCGCCTCGAGAGCGGCCCGGCACGCGAGCACCGCCCCGCTCGCCGAAGCGACCTCCTCCGCCGCCTCCGCCTCGGCGTGCTCGTGCCGCTCGAGGTCTCGCAGCGACGCTGCGAGTGCCGAGGCGTGCCCCTCCGAGCTCAGCCGCAGCTCCGCGGCCTCGTCTTCCGCGAGCACGAGCGGGCCCGCCGATTGCAGCTCCACTTGCCGCTGCTCCGCCGCGCGCAACCGCCCCTCGATCTCCTCCGCCCTCGCCCTCGCCGCGAGCGCCCGGTCCTGCGGCTCGCGGCCCGCCCGGCCGCCAGACGGGTTGCTTGCGGCCGCTGCCCGGGCCCTGTCGGAGAGCGCCGCCGCCTCGGCCGCCCGCTCATGCTGCGCGAGGCACGCGAAGCGCGACGCCTCGACGAGGCCGTCCAGTTGTGCGAGCCGCCTCACCGCCCACTCCTCGCTCGAGGAGGCACGCGCCTCTGCGGCCAGCGCCTCCTCGAGCGACGTGAGCGCCTCGCGCGCGGCAGCCGCGCCGACCGACGCCTGCCGCGCCGCCTCTGAGGCTAGTTGCTGCTCGAGCATGAGCCGAAAGGAGCGAGACTCGCCGCGGTGTCCGCCCGACACGCGGCCGCGCTCGTGCACGGTGCCGTCGGTCGTGACGCAAGGCAGGGTGGAGCACGCGATGACCTGGGCGGCCGTCGCGTCGCTGTCGACGATGACGTGCCCGCCCAGCGCCTGCCTCACAGCGGGTGCAACACGCTCCGGGAAGCGCAGCAGCTCCCGCGGCGCGACGACCCGCGCACCAAAGCGCGCAGAGAGCGCGGCGTGCTCCGCCGAGTGGTCGCGGCTCCGCAGCCGGTCGAGGGGCCACACGCGCACTTGCCCGCCCCGGCGTCGCGCCTCGTCGAGCAGCGGGAGCGCCTCGGCGGCGGTGTCGACGAGCCGCACGCCGAGGTGGTGCGAGGCGATGCAGTGCAGCGCTGCGAGGCAGCCTTCCAGCCGCGGCTCCTCCTCCGCGAGCGCGACGGCAGAGCAGAGCGTCTCGCAGCCGGCCGGCGCGTACTGCGCAAGCCGGTTGCGTGCGGCGTGCGCCTTCTCCTCGGCGGTGGCCAGGCGCGCCTCGGCCTCCGCCAGCGCGCTGCGCCGCACCTCCACCGCGACCTCTCGCGAGGTTGCATTGTCTCTCTCCGCGGCGCTGGCCGACTCGGCGGTGCGCTTGGCGGAGGCGCTCGCCTCGCGCTGGCGCGACAGCTCTGTGGTCGCACCTCGCTGCTGCGCGAGCAGCTGACTCAGCCGTCCGTCCGCCTCCCTTGCGGCTGCGGCAGCCACCTCGTGCCTGCCGCGCGCCTCGTCCGCGTCGGCCGCCGTCACGGCGGGCGAGCTGCTGCCACGCTCGCCCGCAGCGGCCTCTTGCTGCGCCCGCTGGGCGACGGCCAGCTCTCCGCGCAGCCTCGAGATGGCGACGGCCGTCGCGTGGCACTCGGCGCCGGCGCGGCCGCTCTCCTCGAGGAGCGAGCGCAGCTCCGCCTCGCACACCTCGCGCTGAACGACGGCGTCCACGGCGGCGGCCTCCGAGGCGAGGCCGCTGTCGCGCGCGGCGGTGACCGAGCGGCGCGCCGCCGACAGCGCCGCCGACGCCTCCTTGAGCCGCGCCTCGCTCTGCGCCTTGTCCGAGTCGATGCTCGCCAGCTCGAGGCTGGCCCCTCCCGCCTCCTGCCTCGCCTCCTCGCCCGCCGCGGCGATCTCGCGGGAGAGCTCGTCGCGCTCCGCCTTCAGCGCCCCGCAGAGCCGCCCCACCTCCTCGCGCTGCCTGCCGCTCGCCGCGCGCTCCCGCGCCGTGAGCGCACGAAGCTCGGCCAGCGCCTCGCTGGCGGCGCGCTCCTTGGAGCGAGCGGCGTCCAGGGTGGCGAGCGTCTGTCTCACGCTCTCGAGCGTGGCGCGCTCCCTCGCGAGCTTGGTCTCCGCGGTGGAGGCCGCCGCGTTGAAGCGAGAGGCCCCGCTCGCGCTCAGAACCATCTTGGCCGCCTAGAGAGCGGCACAGGAGCCGTCACCGCGACACCCGGCCCGCGTGTGCCATCGCACCGAGCGGGAACCTCGGCGCCGCTGAGGGCGGCTCCCGCGACGCCCTGCCGCACGAAGAAGGACGCGTCCGTGTCGAGGCCCGCAGCGCTGAGTGCGTCCCGGGCCTGCTGCAGCGTCGCGACGCGCCCATCGACGCTGAGAGTCCGCGCGCCGTCCTCGCGTATGCGCGCGAGGAGCGTCAGGCTGTCGCCGCCGCCGCCACCGCCGCTGGCAGAGGAGGCGGCGGCGGTGCTGCTGAGCTGCAGGCGTACCATCGGGGGGCCTCGACGGCCGCGGTGAGCGAGGTCCGACCACGCCCGGGTCTTGAGCGCCGCTGAGTCCTGCGCGAGCGCAAAGAGGAGGCTGTCGATGACGTTGGACTTGCCGCTGCCGTTCGGCCCGACGATGACGTTGAGGCCCGGCTTCAGGCCGATTTTGACCTCGTCGCCAAACGAGCGGAAGTGCTGGACGGAGACCTGCTCCATTTGGCTGTGAGACGCTGTTTGTTCCAGAATTTTTATGTGTTTCCGGCCCTGCTACCCCTGCTAGGCACGGGACTGGCGAGCAAAGAGAAAGCATGCACGCACATCCAGTCGAGAACACACAGACAGGCAGCGTTTCGATCACAGACAGAGTCGAGAACGGACAGTCAGAGACGACAGTCAGAGAGATGTGGCCCAACACTGGGTGGGGGTCCCAGCAGGAAGGCGAATCGTGCGATTACGGCCTCTCTATACGCGCGCGTCGGGGTGAGCTCTAGCTCGCGTCTTCACGCAAAAACACATCGGCCCACCCCCGGGCCCAGGTCACGCAAAAACACCGCACGGCCCTCGAGTAAGCAGCTACCTTAGCACAGATCAGTCCCAGCCAGTCACGATAAGGACAAAGGAGGGGGCGAAACGAACTCAGCTCTGATCACGCGCGATTCCGTCTCACTGCGCCTCCTGCCACGCTCGGATCATCCGGCGGAGCGAGTGGTTGGGGAAGAGCCCCGTGTACTCGAGCGCCTCGCCCGTCAGCGGGCTCGTCGACTTGGTCGTGAGCCAGCGCTCGATCGCCGACCGCTCGTACGACTGCCCGTCGGCCGCCATCACCGGGTCGGCCATGACCTCCGTCGTGATGGGGCATAGGAAGTCGTCGGGCGGCTCAGCTGACGCGTCCGACTCGCGCAGCTCGCCCGTGTGCGGCTCGGCGACACGCGCCTGCTCCTCCACCGCCCGCCTCTCCTCCAGCCTCGCGCTCTCCTCGAGCGCCGCCGCCAGCTCCACCTCCTCTGCCGCAGCCACTGTATCGTCCTCGTCCTCCGCCTCTGCAGCCTCCTCTTGCGCCTGAGACGGCCCAGCTGCGCCCTGACCCTTCTTCTTCTTCTGCTTCTTCTTTTTGCCCTTCTTGGATGTCTTGCTCTCATCGGCCTGCGCCGCCTGTGCCTCCGCCTCTTCTTCCGCCAGCAGTGCGTCGGCATGCCGCGCCGCCTCCGCCTCCGCCACCGCCTCCGCCTCTGCCTTCACCGCCGCCAAGTGCTCCTCAAAGGTGCGCATGCACTCGGCGTTGCCCCTATTCTTGGCGAGCTGGATCGCGGTCTTGCCGCTCGCAGTGCGCAACGCTGTGTCTGCGCCCGCCCGAAGCAAACGGAGCATGGTGGCGGGGTGGTTTTGGTAGGCCGCATACATCAGCGCGGTCTGGCCGACGCTGTCTTGCTTGTTGACCTCTGCCCCGCGCTGCATCAGCATGTCGACCACCCGCTCGTGTCCGCTCATGGCGGCGCCCGTCAGCGCGGTGTTGCCTTTGCTGTTCTGATGGTTGATCTCCGCGCCGCCCCGCAGCAGCAGGTCGACCACCCGCTCGTGGCCGCTGTTAGCGGCGTACAGCAGCGCGGTGTTGCCGCTTTTGTGCTGCAAACCGACCTCCGCGTCGTGTAGCAGCAACGTCTCGACCACCTGCTCATGTCCCTTGCCGGCGGCCTCCATCAGCGCGGTGAAGCCAATGCTGCTCTGGTATTGTATCTTCGCGCCGCGCTGCACCAGGGTACCGACCAGCTGCGCGTGGCCGCTGCGAGCGGCAAGCATCAGCAGCGTGATGCCGAAGACTTGCGTCGCATTGACGTCCCCGCCGCTGCTGAGCCACGCCAGCACCGCTGCCTCGTCACCTTGGGCAACCGCGTGCACGATCTCGTCAGGGAGGCCGCCCTCTGCGCCACCCGCGCCGCCCTCGCCGACAGAAGAGACGGCGGCGCGGACGATGTCGTCGTACGCCTTCTTCCGCGCCACTTCTCGTTCAAGGAGGTGCTTCCGGACGACATCGACGCACGCGCGGTGGCCCTTCGCATTGGCATACTGCAGCGCGGACCTGCCGTCCGACAGAGAAGCGACGGGCAGTAGGCGGCTCATGATGGCGGGATGGTTGCAGCTGGCGGCGCATATCAGCGCGGTGTGGCCTTTGCTGTTCTGCTTGTTGATCGCTGCTCCACGCTGCAGCAGCAAGTCTACCACCTGCTCGTGGCCGGTGCCAGCGGCGAGCATCAGCGCGGTGACGCCGTCGCTGCTCTGCAGGTTGATCTCCGCGCCGCGCCGCAGCAGCAAGTCGACCACATGCTCGTGGCCGGTGCCAGCGGCGACGATCAGCGCGGTGTAGCCTTTGCTGCTGTCCTGCAGGTTGATCTCCGCGCCGCGCTGAAGCAGCAAATCGACCACCCGCCGGTTGCCTCTGGCAGCGGCACTCATCAGCGCGGTGACGCCGCTCCCGGTGGTCGCATTGACCTTCCCGCCGCTGTCGAGCCACGCCAGCAGCGCCGCCTCGTCGCCTCGCCCAGCCGCTGTCGCCGCCTCTTTGGGAAGTCTGCCCACTGAGCTCGAGGAGGCCGCAGCCCTCGATCCCGCCGCCGCCTCGCCCGAGGAAGCGCCGCCCGCGCCGCCCGCCGCCGCCTCGCCCGAGGAAGCGCCGCCCGCGCCGCCCGCCGCCGCCTCGCGCCGGCCCGCAGTCACTTCCTCCGCGATGTGCTGCCGGAAGGCCTCGACGCACGCTGCGTGGCCCTTCTCCTTGGCACACTGCAGCGCGGACCTGCCGTCCTCACAGCACAGCTTGGTATCCGCGCCCGCCCTCAACAAGTGGAGCACGATTCCAGGGTGGCCGTTGCCGGCGGCGTTCATCAGCGCGGTCCAGCCGTCGCTGCTCTGCAGGTTGATCTCCGCTTTGTGCTGCAGCAGCAGGTCGATAGCCCGTTCGTGACCGTTCATGGCGGCGAGCATCAGCAGTGAGACGCCGCTCCCGGTGGTCGCATTGACCTTCCCGCCGCTGTCGAGCCACGCCCGCAACACCACCTCTCCTCCCCCAGCCGCGTCATTGACATCTTCCGGAGACAGCCTCTTGGCCAGCTCGGTAATGGACCGGAGTTGCAGGCTGCTAGGGTCAACCACTAACATTCTGGGCTCGCCATCGGCACCGGGCGACAGCTCAATGGGGAGGCGACCCGATTCGTTGGGCTCTCCGACGACGACCGCCAGGCGGCCGTTGAGGGCGGGCTCGGGCAGCGAGTGCAGCTCGACATAGTCGCCAACCGGCATTGACGACTGCACAACGCCCGTGTACGTTGCGCGATCCGCACTTTGGACCTACGCCCCGCACGCGTGCTTTCTTTTCACGAGAGGGCCCGGCAGAGGATTCCGACGTTTCTTGCCGCTTGTGTTAAGATCTAGTGCCATTTCCTCAGTAAATGGCCAGAAGACCGGCCCGCAAGTGCTCCGCAGCAGCCTCGCTGGGCCAGAAGATCGGCCCGCGAGGTGGGGTGCTAGTATGAGACCGACCCGTCGCAGTTCTCTTGCTCCAAGCGCTTGCGCTTCGGCGGTTAGTGGTGCACTAACCTCCGAGACCTTTCGGGGCGCTCCTCATCCAAACCCTGTGAAAGAGTCGGAACGAAAATCCTTGTCGTGCCAGTGTGCTGTGAGAGAGGCTTGCACTTAAGAATTCTTTCGCGTGCCCGGCGTAAAATTCTTTCTGGTTCGTGCCGCCTTGGCCGGGAGCGCCCCTCTCTCTTAACGCGCGCGCGGAGGCATCCACATGCACGCCGGCCGCGAGAAGCGCTCCAAGCCCGTCAAGAAGAAGGCGCGCGCGGTCGCGGATGAGGAGCCTGAGCTGGTCGGCCCGAGCAAGCGCGACCGCTTCCTCAAAAAGAGCGGCCGCAACAAGTCGGACCTCGACGAGTCATGGCCGAGCCCGCAGCCGTCTCGGCCGGACGAGGAGGGAGAGGCGAGTAGCGCAGTGCCGCGCAGCCAGCGGCGGGGTGGGATGGCCGCCGCAGTCCACGTCGGCACAGAGGTGTTCATGGGCTGGGAGGAGGTGCTCGGCTCGCGCGAGTTGCTGCGGCGGCGGCTCGTCGCCATCTCCGCTGTGCACGGCTGGGAGGCCCGTTCGGGCCGCAAGACCTTCCTCGGCGGCATCGCGCCCGGAGCGCTGATCGAGAGCCTGCGGTCCGAGGTGGCGGAGCTCGACGCTGCGGCGGAGCTCGCCTCCAAGGCAGAGGTGCTGCTCGAGCTGAGGCAAGCGCGCGCTGCCCTCGAGGCGCTGTCGGAGGAGCGCGAGCAGGCGGCGGACGACCTGGCGGCGCTGCGGGACGAACACTTTGAGGTGTGTCGTCGCGTGCTCTTCTCGCACAGCGCGCCGCACCCCGCAGCTAAACGATTCGTGCCCGCTTCACCAAGTGCCGCCTCTCCGCCTCCCGCGGCAGGTCCGCGACCTCCTCGGGCGGCAGGGCGACGAGCTTGAGAAGCTGCGCACCCTCGTGCGCGCCGCGCAGCCGACGGGAGACGCCAGTGCGGGGGCGGCGGCCGGCGGCGCCAGCGGCGAGGCTGAGGCCGCCTCCGCTGCTTTGCCTGGCGCGGCGGGCGCGGCTCCGTTCCAAGCGGTGCTCTCTCGGGAGGACCTGCCGGGGGGGCGGCGCTGTGTGGAGGCGCTCGCGCGGCTCAAGCTGCCGGACGAGGCGTCGATGGCGCCGCGTGAGCTGGCTTGCTGGCACGAAAACAAGCGGACGATCGAAAACAGCCTCAAGACGCTCTCGGGCCAGATCTACTCGGCGCGCGCGCGCATCGTATACGAGATCATCCAGAACGCGGACGACTGCTCGTACGACGCCGAGAGCGGCGAGCGGCCGCAGCTGCACATCGAGTGCAGCGATGAGGCTCTCTGCAGCTGGCACAACGAGTGAGTTGCCGCGATACACTGATCAGTACATAGGAGGGGAGGTCCACCAAGCCACTGACGGCGGCTCCGGCTCGCAACTCGTAGGCGCGGCTTCCAGCCCAAGGACCTGTACGCCATGTGCCAGGTCGGCGAGTCGAGCAAGCCGGCCGGCAGCGGCAAGATTGGCCGCAAGGGCATCGGCTTCAAGTCCGTCTTTCAGATCTCGGACGCGCCGATGCTCGTCTCTCCGCCGTTCCAGTTCTGCTTCGACACCGTCGCGCGCGGCATCTTTGGCTACATCGTGCCCTCGTGGGTCGACGCGCCCGCCGACTTCGTGCCACCTCGCCTCCGGCCCCTCCTCTGCGGCCTCGTCGGCGGCGCAGGGAGCGGCGGCGCGGTCGGCCGCACCGGCACGCTGCTCGTCTGCCCGTTTGCGCCGTCGGCGGAGCGGAACTTGCTGCGCGGCCTGCAATTCGACGGGCTCGCCCTCGCCTTCCTCAAGAACCTCAAGCAGATCCGGCTCGTCTCAACCGGCGGCGGCGGTTCGGCGCAGTCGAGCAGCGGCGGCGCGGCGGCGGGCGGCCGCGGCGGAGGGGAGGAGTCGCGCCCTGACGGCCCCTCTTCGCACGAGTACCGCGTCGAGCGCGCGACAGTGTCGGAGGAGATCGAGCCGATGGCGGGCGGCTTTGGCGGCGTGCTCAAGGGCATCGGCGTGCGCAGCCACACGCTGTGCACGTGCACGATCATCGAGAGCGCGCAGAGCGCTTCGGGTGCAGTCCGCGAGACACGAAAGCACTTCCGGCTTCACTCGTACTCCGTGCTCAAGTACAAGGCGGACGCCGACAGGGCGGGCGCCGCGGCCGCGGCCGCGACGACGACCGTCTGCCTTGCCTTCCCGGTCGGCAGCGACCAGACGCCGCGCCGGTCCGACGAGGGCGAGCTGGTCTTCGCCTACTTGCCCGTCACGGCGGCCGGGTTCGGGTTTGCGATCCAGGCCGACTTCGAGCTCGTCGCCTCGCGGCAGGACGTCTCGGAGCACAGCGGGAACCACGTCCTCCTCGGCCGGATCCCGGGGCTGTTTGTGCACGCCGTGCTGTCCGACCCGGCCCTCGGCGAGGACGCCTTCCCGTGCTACCTGCCCGATTTAACCGCCATCCGCAAGGATCGGAGCGGCGGCGGCAGAAAGTGGTGCACGCTAGCGTCGGCGCTGCACCGCGCGACGGAGTCTTTCATGACGGTGCGCACCGAGGACGACGACCGCGTGCGGAGGCGGCACGCCGTGCTGCGGCCGCGCCACCTCTCTTGCGCCCTCGTCCCGAACGGCGTGCTCAAGGCGGTCAGCGACAAGTCATTCGCCCACGCCGACGCGGAGGTGGACCTCGTGGGCTGCCTCGAGGCGTGCCCGGTCGGCGTCGTCCTCGACTGCCTCCGGAAGGTCTTCCAGGAGATTGAGGAGGCGCAGCCCGAGAGGACGGCGGAGGCGCTGCCACAGGCGTGGCGCTACCTCTCCGCCGAGTACGCCGCGGCAAGGGAGCAGCGACAAGGCGCAGCCGGGCAGAACGAGGAGGAGGGCGGTGCGCTCGGGGCGATCGTGGAGGCACTCGTCGGTGGGACAGACCCCTCCTCGCCGCCGCCGCTGCGCATCTTCCCCGTGCGGGGCTCGTCGACGCTGCGGCTCCACTCGGAGCACGGCGCCCCCCTCTGCTGGGGCCTCTCCCCCTCACTGACGCAGCACGGCGCCTCCCTCCTCCGCCTCGCCGACCGGATCGTGCCGCAGCTCGACTTGGAGCGCATCCGCGGAGCTCGCACGGCAGACGGCGGAGACGTCGTCGACGTCGACGCCGTCGAGGCGCTGATGCGCCGCTTGCGCGTCCGCGAGGCGACGCACGCCGAGCTCGAGCAGCAGCTCAAGACGTGCTTCCGCTTCGGGCTCGCCGTCACGGTGGAGCCCGACCTGTGGTGGGACGCGTACAAGTACGCCGAGTCGCTCGGCCACGCGCGCGGGCTCGCCGACTTTGTCGACGGCGCCGCGGTCGCGCTGCCCGTCTCCGACTCGCGTGTCGTCTCGTCGCGCGACGTGCGGCGGCTCTCCGTGTCGCTACCTTGCTTACTGGGGCTCCGCCGCAAGCACTCGTCGAGCGCAAAGTCGACGCTCGCGCTCCCGCCCTCGGCGGCGGCCGCGTGGGGTGGCCTGCTTCGCTGGGAGCTCGCGATGGCGACCGCCTTCGGCGTCACCTTCCCGCAGGCGGACGCCGAGCGCATGCCGCTCGAGTCGCTTTCGTCGCTTGCGCACGAGCTCATCGACGCCGTGGTGGACGCGCGGTGCCAAGGAGACCTCGCGGCGCTGAGCGCGCTGAGCCGCCTCCTCGAGGTGTACGAGGAGCGGCTGGGAGGCTTTCTGGCCAACCTAAAGCGCGCTATGTGCACGTCCTACTACCCGGAGAGGAGCTTGCTCGAGCCGAGGGCCGCCGATTGGCGCGGGCGCGGGCGGCTGCCCTTCGACGCCACGTGCTCGCCCCGCTACATCGAAGAGCTGATGGCCTTCGCGATGGTGGCCGACGACGCCTCGAGTGATCTACTCGAGACGCGGCTGACGCTGCTGCGGCTGCAGGAGGAGCGAGGCGAGCCGGGCGAGGGGTATGAGAGCGCGGCGGAGGAGCTGGGCAGCGACGAGGAGGAGGGGCAGGCGACGAAGGCGGGCGACGCCGCGTCCAGCGCAGAAGGAGCGGAAACGACCGAGGTGGAGGATGAGGCTGCCCCGACGACGGCAGATGAGGGCGCGGTCGACGAGGCGGTCTGGAGCGTCCTGCACCATTTGCTGGGGTTTCGGCACGTCTTCGCGCCGCGCGACAGCACTTGGGTGCTATATGGAGCGCTGCAACTCGAGGGTGACTCGAGGTCACACCCCGCCATTCACGCTTCCGGCACCCCTCTCGAGCCGCTCGTCACCAGCCTGGCGAGGGCCGCGTTGACGGCCCCGTCGACGTCCGACGCAAGCAGCGGCGCGGGCGGTTGCGCTCCGACCCTCTGGCCGTGCATCTGCTGCGCTGGCGGCGTGTGGGTGGGCTCCGAGTTTGTGTTGTTGCGACAGTGTGTGTGGGATGTCAGTGACCTCGTCGTGTGGGGGGCACTCCAGCGGGTCGGCTGCCGTGACGGTCGCATCGTTGAGCTGCGCCGCGCCCTCTCTTCGTTCCTGCACGAGGCGCACCCGCAGCAGGAGCTGTGGGAGGAGCACGGGATGCTCGCGCCGAGGGACGTCCTCGCCCACCTCGGCGAGTGCTGCATGCATGGCCGGAGCTCACAACCGCCTCTGCCCTACCCGGCCGCGATCGACATGATGCTCGGCGAGGTGTTGCCGTGGCTGCTCGCGCGCGATGGCACCTCCGATGACGACTCTGACTCCGTCACGACGCAACTCGAAGAACCGTTCGACGACGAGGAGGGCGACTCACAAGCGGCATCTGACGAGTCATCGATCGGCTCTTCCTGCTCGGCCTTGGGAGTCTCGGAAGCTGCCGGCCGAGAGCGGCCCGTCTACGCTGCCTCGGAGGAGAGCATCGCCTGCTACTCCGCCGTCCTCGCCTCGTCGTCGGCCGCGTCTCGATCTAAGGCGTGGGCCGTGCCAGTGCCGACCGCCGCGGGGACCCGCCAAAAGGTGGTCCTGACTGCTAAGGAGGGGCGAGCCGCTCGGTCGGAGGAGCGGCTGCTCGTGCTGCCCGACGCGGCGCATTGGCCCGTGGCAACGGCGCACGTGCTGCAACACTTTGCGGCCGACTGCCTCCATCCGACTTTGGCGCCGACCTTTGCGTTCATGCTCATGGCGGGCCGGAGGGGCGGCCTCGAGACGCCGTGCGCGCGCATCCAGCGCAGCTTTCACCGGTCTCTCCGCTTGGCTGCCCAGGGCGGGGAGGACGAGGTTTGGGCGCTGGTCACGGAGCTGTACGAGCGGCCTGCAGCCTCAGCCGCCCCTTCGATCCGCGCCATCCCCGCCCTCTTCTCGCCCAACGACCACTGGGAGGTGCTTCTCTGGGCGGCCATCACCTGCGCGACGGAGTGGCACCGCGCCCTAGAAGCGGACTACGTATTCATGTCTTCCAACTAGCGCTTGAGAGGAAACGTATTCAGCTGTATTCAGCCGTACTGCGCTGTTTCCCCTGTATTCGTAGCCCTTGCATGCACGCGGTGCCCGGATTACACTGCACGATACCGTGCTCCCGCCCTGACGTCGGTGTGTGCACACTGTAGGCACCGCACGCAGTCGAGCGACGCGATGGAGGACGCGAGCCGGTACCACGAGACTTTGTCGCGCACGCGCCGGCTCGTGCCCTTTGTCGAGCGCTTGCTCGGTGGCGGAGAGCGCTGGTCCTTCCTGGATGAGCGCGACCGCGAGCCCGAAAGCGCGGCGGCCCCCGAGCCCCTGGCCTCCGACGAGTCCTTCCCCGGCGGCCGGAACCGCCCGGCAGGTGACGAATGGAGATTCCCCGCCGAGCCATCCTCCGAGTCAGGAGGCGGTAGCAGCAGCAGCACGCCGCCTCCGCTCGCGGCGGAAGCAAGCCCTCCTGCCGCCCCCCGTCCCGCCGTGCTCCTCCTCGGCACGCTCTTCGGGTACGACCTCTTCGGCACCTAACTACTAATTAACTACTAATTAACTACTAATTAACTACTAATTAACTATAGGTACGACCTCTTCGGCAGCTTGCGCGGCTTGGAGCTGCGCGGCTCTCCGCCCACTTCGACCGCTTTTGTGCCCTCGCGCATCCTCGCGTCCGCATGCGCGGTGCGCCGGCGCCTGCGCGCCGGCGACGTCCTGCGCGGCCCAAGCTCCGCGTCTCCCAGGCTCAGCCGCGGAGGCTCGAGCTTTCCCGAGGCGTTCGAGCGCGAGTCGCTCATCCTTCTCTGGGAGTGGTTCTGCCTCGAGGTGGCGGGCGCCGCTCCGCCGGCCGTGCTGTGGGCGACGGTCCAAGAGACGATCGGCGAGCGGACGAGGCCGCGCATCCGGACGGCGATGGCGGCGCTGCAGCGCGGCGTGGCGCGCGGCTCGCTCGAGGAGGCGTTGCTCGACTCGGTGCGCACGCACACGCAGATCGAGAGCCTCATGGAGGAGATGGACGCGCGCGACGAGGCGCGGAATGCCGCGCGCGAGCGCGAAAGGCGTGCGCGCAACGCCGAGCGCGAGGCGCGCCTCCGCGAGGCGCGCCTCCGCGAGGCGCAGAGGCAGCTCGAGAGACGCGAGCAGCAGCAGCTCGAGCGCGATCGCGAGGCGGAGCGCCAGGACGCCCGCCGCGCCGAGCGGATGGCGAGGGCGAGGGGAGCCCCCGACGACCAGCCGCCGCCGCAGCAGCCGGCGGGCGAGGAGCCGCTGCTTCCGCGAGCGTCGGGCTCGCGCGAGCAGCGGGTGCAGGAGGAGCGGGCGAGGCAGGGCCTGCTGACGCCAGACGAGCAGCGGCAGGCGCAGCAGGAGGCGGCGAGGCTGCGCCGGCTGGTCGATGCGCAGCGCTCGGAGATCGAGCGGATGCGCGCGGAGCAGGAGGCGGAGGCGGAGCACCGACAGCACGACGCGGCGGTCGCGACAGCGGCGCTCGAGAACCTCGGCGTCGCGGGCACGTTTCGGCGGATGCTCTTTGCCGGCGGCGGCTTTGGCGGCGGTTTCGGCGGCGGCGAGGGCGGCGGGGCGCCGGCGGTGCAGCGTCGGCCGGCGACCCTCCGCGAGTCGGAGGTCAAGGCGAAGCTGGCCCGCTTCCTCGCCGGCATGCGCGCCCTTGAGCGCCAGCGGGCCGCGAGCGCGCAGCCGCCGCTGCCGCCAATCATGAACCAGTTCATCGTATGGGCGGGCGACTTGCTTGCGGGCGGCGGCCGTGGCGAGGGAGTCCAGGACGCGGCCGGCGTCGAGGCGGCGGCGCGGCGGTACGTGGGCGGCGCCGCCGGTGCGTCGGGCACCGCGTCGGCGTGGGCGAGCGCCAGCGTTGACGACAGCGACGGCGACGAGGATGACTGCTGCATCTGCCAGGAGGGCCTGTCCGACTCCAAGGCGAACGACGAGTACGGAGAGCCGCTCGAGACTGGCTGCGGCCACCGCTTTCACGTGGTGTGCCTCGCACGCCACCTAGAGGCGTCGACCAGCAGCGGGCAAGAGCCCGTCTGCCCGATGTGCCGATCCAGCAGCTTGTCGGTTTCCTTTCGGCCACTCACTCGGCCGGTGGGATGAGCGCATACATGAGGCGCGGGCGGGGGAAAAGGGAGGCACTTGTGTCGTTCACTGTACCTTATCTCCTCACAGATCAATGAGCTGTTGCTGACACAAAGACGTCGTCGCGTTACCACATAAACCGCGCGACGCTGCCGTCCACCCACTGGTACGGCCGGTAGAGGAAGAGGCCGATCGCCGCGGCATTGACGGCCGCGAAGAGGAGCAGCGGCGGGAGCCACTCGCGCGGGCGGCGCAACGGCGGCGCGTGCAGCCGCAGCAGCAGGACGGGGAGGGTGAGATAGCGCGGCTCGATCAGCGGCGTCGGCACCAGCACGAGCGCGGCGCAGCAGCAGAGGAAGAGGGCGCGCAGCGCGCCGTGCGTTCGCCAGAGGGGCGGGTAGAGCAGCCAGCCGCCGAGGAGGTAGGCGGGGAGGAGGGCGTACCGCGCTGCCCAGTGCCTGCCCAGCACGTGCCTCCACACGTAGAAGGTGACGTGCCGGTTGTCGGCGAGCAGGAAGGGGTGGCAGTGTGTCAGGCGCGCACACGCGGCGGCGAGGCAAGCGCTGCCGAGCGCGAGGGCCGGCGCGGCGCGCGCCGCCGCCGCCGCGCCACGCAGCGTCGGGAGGAGGGACGCCGTGAGCCGCTCCGCGCAGAAGGGGGCGGAGGCGAGGCCGGTGAGATACAGGAGCTGCGCGCCGTGGAGCGTGGGGCGGTGGTGCGCTGCGTCGCCGACGACGACGCCGCCGTTGCGCACGACGAAGGCGGCGAAGCCGGAGAGAAGCGACAGCACGGGCAGATGGCGCGCGCAGAGGTGCGGCAGCTTGCGGGGCAGAGCCAGCAGCAGCGCGCCGCTCGCGGGGAGCAGGCGCGTCTCGGCCGGGTCGATGGACCGCCCGTCGGCCAGCTGCGTGAGGGAGGCGGAGATGACGCCGTGCATGAGCCAGACGGCGTTCGTCTGGCGGATGGAGAGGGCGAGGGCCGCAGCTCCGCCCACGCCGAGCGGGCCGGTCGCGAGGCGGAGGAGGAGGCCGCCGCCGCCGCCGCTGCTGCCGAAGCCACCGCTGCTGCTTTGCGCTCCGGCGGATGCAACCTGCTGCGAGAGGAGGACGAGGAAGAGGAGCACACTGGCTGTCGCGGCCGAGTCGGTGTAATAGAGGAAGTGGAAGAAGAAGTGAGTCGGCAGCAATGATAGCACCGCGCTGTTGGCGAGCGCGTCGGTCGTCGAGAGGGAAGGGTAGAGCAAGCGCAGCTGCGCGAGCAGCAGCGGCGGCGTGGCGAGCGCCGGGATCAGGTTGACCGTGCGAAGCAGCGGCAGCTCACAGCCGGGTGCCCACCCACGCACCAGTAGCGCCGTCGCCGCGTACAGCCCGGGGAATGTCGTGATCTTCTCGTCCCACTCGGTCCAATTTCCGGCGCAGTACGACTGCGTCTGACGCACGTGGAAGGGCTCATCCATGTATGGCTCGCGGACCTCGTCGTTGAAGGCGCGGTACAGAGCGGCGAGCAGGGCCGCGTAGAGCGCGAAGAGAGCTGAGCTGCCGATAAATGCCGGTGGCGGCGGCGGCGGCGGCGGCGGCGGCGGGAGCGGCGGCGGCGGCGGCGGCGCCTGCTGCGGAGGTGCTTGCGGCACTGCACCGAGCTTACCCGAAAGCCGCTCCGCGAGCTCGTTGGCTCGCTTGATCTTGCGAGCGATCTCCTCTTGGTCCATTGTGTGCCGGGCGTCGGCGCCCCACACGGCCTGGGCGTTCACGCCGCCACATCTGGATTGGGCTCAAGCGGGGGGAGGCGTCAATATGCAGCGCGCACACCATGGATGGAGGCGGCGCGCGTTCCGCCCCAAAAGCCAGAATGCCGTCCGTCCTGGGGGGGCGGGGGCCTAGCCCTAGGTAGAACTCACAGAACTCACAGAAAAGTCAGCGGTTACTCGAGTACTCACCCGTCACGTGTTCTGATCTCATTGCTTGGGTGAGTGAGTGAGGCATGACGGGGCGCTCATACACAATAAATAGATGGTATATGTAGAGGCCCGGGACGCGGGCGGGTGTGAAGGAAATCACTGTGGGGTGAGTGACAGAGTGAGCCAGCACTACAACATGTCCGAGACACCTATTGGGAGAGAGAGAGAGAGGTCCTATTGGCGACGTGGAAAATACTGTATTGAACCGCACCGCCACGTACAGTAGTCGTGCTTTAGGAGGAGACGCTTCCTTTGTCCGTGACACCTATTGGCGACGTGGAAAATACTGTATTCAACCGCACCGCCAAACAAAACAAATGACGTGTGAGTGTTAGAGTTGTTTGGTATTGCTAAAAATCTCTCTCACCGCCACGTACAGTAGTGCTTTTTATAGGAGGAAACGCTTCCTTCCTTTGTCCGTGACACCCATTGGCGCCGCGCTTGCGATCTCGCGTTGTACTGCTACCACACACACACACACACACACACACACACACACAGACGCGCGCGCGTTATGCCCTCCCCGATGGACAACGAGACGGCCATCGCCATTGCGGACGACGCCAACCTGCCGCAATCGGACGACAACCCGTCACCAGCCAAGGGCAACCCACCGGCTGTCGAGGCAATCGCACCCACGCCTCGAGCCCACCCACCGGCCCACCCTTGCTCCTCTGCACATCAAACGTCCATCGATCCCCGCCGATCAAAGCCTTTCTCCTGAACGTGTACAAGACCTCCACGCACGCCCACCCATCCTCTCCACTGCACTGCAACCAAGCCCATTCCGCACCGCCTCGCCCGCCACCTCCCGTCTCCCCTTCCCATTGACCTGCAAGGCGGTTGACTTCTCGCTCTGCAAGCCACGCGCAAAGGGTGTCCGATCGAGCGACCCGGAGCCCGCCGAGGGCGCCGGTGCGGAGGGCGGGAAGGTCGAGTCGGTCAGCTTTTACGGATGCAGCGGGTCGCTGCGCGCCCCCTTCAAAGCCTCCCGCTCCGAGGGCGCTCCGGAGGGTAAGGTGCTGCGACTACCCCCGAAGGGTCTACCTTGCCACCCGGGAGCTCAGGCATTACCGCTCCGCTTGCGCAGGTGCGCAAGGTGCGCGACCCGGCCAAGGCCATCCTCTCTGCGGTAACCGTGCGAAAGCTTGGCGTCGCCGAGCTCGACACCGTCTTCCTCGCCGCCGGCCGGATTGCCAACCACGCCGTCGTGCTGAACAACACGATGGTCTCCCTGGTGGAGGGCTTGAAGGAGAGCGTCGCGACGTGTATGGGCGCCTTCCAGCTCAAGCCGCTCCTCACGCAGGCCGGGCCTGCGTTTGCCGTGACCACGCTCTCCGACAGCAGCGGCACCGCCATGCTCGTCGCCCAGTGCACGCCGGCCCGTGGGCTGGTGGTGTGCGACCAGGCCCTCTATGACGACGCGACAAAGGTCAACGACGAGGTGAAGGCGTCGCTCAAGACTGCCTCGGAGGCGCTGGTCGGTTGACCACAGCCGTCACGGAGGCCAACGAGGCCGGCTGCGGCATCTCGTACGAGGTTGCTCAAGGCAGCCTCGGGCTTAAGCTTCCGCCGGTCATTGAGGAGGCGCCGAAGGAGGAGGCGCCGAAGAAGGAGCCGAAGATTCAGAAGGGCCTCGTGTCCAAGTCGGTGTCGAAGAGCCTGAGCGCGGTGTCAAAGGGGGCGGCGCTGGCGGTGTCCAAGGCGAAGAAGATCGCGGCCAAGTCTGGCGAGGAGGACGAGAGCGGGGACGGCGGCGCCGGCGCGGGGGAGGGCATCGAAGAGACGGGCGAGGGCGACCGCGCGGGCTGCGCCGAGGCCGAGGCTGCTGAGACGATCGAGGGAGACGAGGAGACCGCCGAGGGAGCGGAGGGCGCGGCCGAGACTACGGAGCCGAAGAAGAAGGAGGGCCGCGTGGTCAAGTCGGTGTCCGTGGGTCTGGGCGCGGTGTCCAAGGGTGCGACATTGGCGGTGTCCAAGGCGAAGAAGCTGGCGGCAAAGCTCGGCGAGGGCGAGGGCGCGGGCGGCGCCGACGCAGGGGAGAGCATCGACGAGACGGGCGAGGACGAGATCGTCGAGGGAGCTAAGAAGGTTTCCTTTGGCGATCTTCTCGGTGAGGGCGTGGCCGAGGTGCCGGAGGACGAGGGCGACGATGACGTCCTGGACGGGTTCGAGCCCGACGAGCCGGCCGACGGGGCCGTTGCCGCCGCCGACGAGGCGGCGCTCACGGCGGCGGCAGCCACTGTCGCAATGCTGTCGAAGCGGCAGCAGTTTGAGAAGGCGAAGGAGGAGTCGGCGCTGCAGAAGGTTGCCTTTCGCGCGTGCACCACGTACTGCCAGGCGCTCTTCCGCCTGCGCCTCGCCCTCGTCTCTGCTCGCTTCGAGGGAGTGCTGCAGGGCGGTGTCCGCGCGGCGGTGGACGAGATTTGGGCTCGCGTGTCGGAGGCGTTCTCGGCCGCCGGCCGGCCCATTGACTGGCTCAAGGTGATCTCGCTCGACCTGCTCAAGCTGCTGGAGGGCAAGCTGGTCTTCAAGCTCAAGCTGAGCTTTGACCACCTGCAGATGGACGCGGCGCTGAAGAAGTGCCTCCATTTTCTGACGCGCAAGATGGTGAGGATGGTCGAGACGATCGCCGTCAAGTGCTACTGCCTCCTCAAGGAGTCGATCACCATGATTAAGCAGCTGACCGACCTCGTGGTGCCCCCTTAGCCTCTTTCGCCCCCACCCCCCTTGTCCCCGGCCCCCCCCAACAGCATCCCCCCACCAACACACACACACACACACACACACACACACACACACACACACACACACACACACACACACACACACACACACACACACACACACACACACACACACACACACACACACACAATACGCACACACACGCACACACTGATGGCGACCCCTTTGTCGCCCAGGCAAAGTACGTCAAGAGCCCCTCCGAGCTGCGACTCCTCGCCAAGGGCCTCGGCCCTCGGGACATATACCGGCTGCCGGGGCTGATGAAGGGCAACGCCGCCGCGTTCGCAAAGGCGACGGCCCACCGACTGCCATCCAAATTGAACTCGCTTCATTAAATCATGCGGCTTTCTATCAGGTGCCTAAGATCCTCAAGACGCTCTTTGGCACGATCAAGTGGACGTGCCTGGACATCAAGGGCGGGCTGACCGCGGCGCCCAAGCTGCTCAAGGGCCCGTCGTCCGCAGCCGTCAACGACAACGAGCAAGAGGTTGAGGTCGAGCTCGAGGTCGAGGAGTGACTCTTCTCGTCCATTCCGCCCCTCCCTCCCCGTCCGTCGGAAGGAGTTGTCGTCGGGAACGCCGGTCGTCCGACAAGTCAAACGGAGACTCGGAGACGCGGGGGCGGCGTCTGTCCACTCGCGCGGGCCGCCGCGGGTCCCGAGTAGCGCGCGCGGGCCCCCCGGCCCCGCGGGCGCCGCGCGCGCGCGGCGCCGCGGCGGGTGGCGTTTAACGATTAATGCGCAGCGGTGTGCCGTGTCCCGCGACACCGGGTTTTGGATCTATAATTACGAGTACTTCCCTGCCGCGACATTCCACACACATTTGTACTGTTCGCCAGATCCCCGTGGCCCCGCCCCCGCCTCCTCAGCGACGCCACATCTTCAAATTGCGGTCCTTGCCGCCCGACGCGACCCGCTCGCCGTCGGGCGACCAGTCGACCGAGTAGACCTCGTCAGCGTGGCCAGGCAGATCCTCCTTGAGCTTGCGGCTCTTGAGCTCCCACACCTTGACCGTCGAGTCCTTGGATCCCGACGCGAGTAGCCGCGAGTCGCCCGACCACGCCAGCTGGTACACAGCGCCCACGTGCCCGCGCAGCGCTGCGACAAACTTGCCCGTCCGCGCGGCCCACAGCCGGATGGCGCCGTCGAACGAGCCCGAGGCGAGCCACTGCCCGTCGGGTGAGAAGGTGACCGCGTTGACGAGCTGCACGTGCCTGAAGCGGAGATCGCAAGTTCGAGGGACGTGTCTCGAAAGTGTCGCGGCTGGCGAGCTGAGCGCGCCCGGTCAGCCGCGCGATCGGCTTCTTGCCCGCGGCGGGCGCCCACAGGAAGACCGTGAAGTCGTCCGAGCCAGAGGCGAGCAGCTCGGCGGTCCCTCGAGCCTCGGCGTACCGCTGCGCGGCACCGGCCTGTGGCCGGGGACGCGGCAGCGACGTGTGGCGGCGGGGCGGAGGTCGTGATTTAGGCGGCGGGCGAGCGGGTTGAGTGGAGGAGTGGCGTGGTGCAGTCGCCAAGAGGAGAGGCAGCAGAGGGGAAGCGAGGCAGGGGACACAGGCAGCAGTGCGGAGAGGGAGAGGCGCGCGCCTTTGCGGCCGCCTCGTCCGCCGGCGCGACGCCGCGGTGGTCGAAGGGGCCGCGCCGCAGCGCAAAGTCGGTCGAGGCGGAGAGGCAGTTAACCCAATGGCCGTGCCCCTCGAGCGAGCGCACCTGTCGCGAGCGGCGGCGGGGCCAGCGACTCAAGGGGGCTGCCACGCATGCCTCTGCCACGCATGCCTCTGCGGCGGCGGCGTGGGCGCACCAGCTTGCTCTCATCCGGCGCCCAAACCTTGACGGTCCGGTCCTGCGAGCCCGAGTACAAGAGCCCCTCGCCGCCCCAGCGCAGGCAGGTGACCGAGTTGGCGTGCCCGCAGAGCGTGCCGGCGCACCGCCCGCCCACGCGCTCCCACAGCCGGACCGTCCCGTCCTTGGAGGCGGAGGCGAGCCTACTCTCGGCCAATCTCGGAGCGATCTCGGGCCGTCCCCGTCCGGAGGGTGTGGGGCCCTCGGGGAGGTGTGGGCTGGTCGCCTGCAGCCGGCGGCGCCAGCCGAGTGGTACGGCTCCCATGCGAGGGCGTTGACCCACTTCTTGTGCGCGTCGATGACCTGCGGCCGGCGGGGGGCGAAGCACTCGAGGAGGGAGGGCGGGTGTGTGGGAGGGCGTCGTGGCGAGTGCGTGGGGCGAGGAGCGCGTGGTGGGGTGGGGAGAGGGAGGTGAGGTGAGGAGGAGGAGGAGGAGGGGGAGGAGGAGGGTGGAGGGGGTGAGCCTTGATCGGGTAGGATGGCTCGGCCGCCAGCCAGAGCGCGACCCGCCCATCCTTGCCGCCCGAAGCGATGTACTTGCCGCACGGCGACCACGCCACCGCGAGCACCCAGTCGCGGTGCGCCTGCAGCGGCAGGGGAGGCGCTCGAAGGGCGCCAGAGGAGGAGGGGCGGCGGCGCAGACGGCTCTCCGCCGCCGGCGCCTTGAGGGTCGCGCGCGGCGTCTCGGTCATCACGTCCCACAGGCGGACGCAGCAATCGCCCGAGCCGGTCGCGAGGGTGCGCCCGTCCGCCGAGAACTGCGCCGATAGAATCGCCTCCGAGTGGCCCGACAGCGTCGACGTGCAGCGCGTGACTGCGCGCACGCGAAAGATTGCTTGCGGCACGTACACGACCCGCAGAGTCTGCTCGGCCGAGGCGGAGCCGAGCGCCTCGCCGAGCGTGCCCGAGACCTCCTCCTCCGCCACGTAGAAGGCGTACGGGACACGATCCTCGTTGCCCAGCAGCTCGTTCAGGATGAGCTGCAGCTGCGGCGCCGTCGTGTCGGCCGGCACGTCGAGCTGCGGTCCCGTCCGCTCGCCCTCGGCGGTCTCGAACTGCGCGATGAGGGTGCCGCCCGCCGCTGGCGCGGCCGACTGGTTCGCAATGTCGCGCGGCGCCGCCGCCGTCACACCACGCCTGGTGCATGCTGCCTCGAGCTCCGCTCGTGTCCCGGTGGCAGGCGCGCCGTGCGAGGAGGCCAGCTGGCGGAGCTGCGATATGCTGAGCTGAGAGAGCGGCACCGGCGCGGCACCGGGAACGTACGACGACGGGGCCGCGGGAGGCTCCGTGGTCATCGCTCAATTCGGTGCGAGCGGGGGGAGAGGAGGAGGAGTCGTCGTGCCGTCGAGCGAGACAAGAAATCGTACCTGCCGCTGCCATCGGGTGCCACCAAATTCGTCCTCCCATCCCTCCCTTGGGTTGTCTGCTTTCTTTCTTTCTTTTTTTTCCACCAAATTCGCCGGTCGCTGTCTTTTTGTCGATCGCTTTTGTCAGTAGGAGGCCCGCGTGTCGCGATGCGCTCCCCGCCCCCGTTCTTCCGGTGTCCCTGATCGTCCTTCCTTCCAAGATCCTGCTCGTGCAGGTGGGGACCCTGTCCGTCTCCCCCACCCCTTGGATGGAATTCGGTCATTAACCTCACTCACGACACACCCAGGCGCCAGGGCCGGGGAGCAAGTGGCGTGTCCGATTTATTTATTATCTACCCCTAGAAGACGACACGCGATTCTTCTTGACGTCCTCCCCCGTTCGTTTTCTTTTTGACACACTGTGAGTTGTACCTGCCCAGCCCCTTTCCGTGTCGCGATGCGCTCCTCCCTCCCGTTTCCTGTGCCCCCTGCCTGGTCGTCCTTCCCGGATCCTGAGCACGTCGCTCGTCGGGTCTACGTGTCTGTTCGGTATCTCCTTCTTCGGGTCGATCCCTTTTGGTACCGCTCGCGTAGACGTTGGGCAGGACCGGGAGGTTGCAGACGAGGTTCTCGTTCTTCACCTTGAAGAGGATCGAGCCGTCCTTCTCGTCCGACTTCGTGCCCAGGAAGGAGTGGTATCCCTCCTGGATGGAGACCATGTTGCCGAAGTGCTTCTCCAAGAGGGGGGCGAAGTGCTCGATCTGGGCCGCGGTGTCGATGGCGCCGCGCGTGCGTATGGCGAGGAGGCCGTCTGAGTCCGTGGTCGCCTGGGTCTCGCGCGCCTCCGCCTGCTTGCCCCACACGGTGGCGTCGAGAGCGGCGAAGGTGATGGTGATGTTGTCTGGCGCTGGGAGCTGTAGGACGCCACCGCCGGTGTACTGCTCGAGGAAGGCGCGTGCCTCGCTCTCGCCGCTGAAGGCGACGCAGATGGCGCGCGACGTGCCGATGATGGGCACGCTGATCGCGCTTGCCTGCTGCGCCTCGCCGCCTGGTGTCTTCTTGATCAATTGGCGCACCTCGGTGACGAGCGCCGTCTTGTTCTGGATGTCCGGGATGTGCGAGCCGTCGCGCGCCGCGAGCGCGACGTGCAGCAGGCGCTTCGTGCCGCGGTCGGTGCCGGCGGCCGCCGCAGCGGCCATCTGTGCAGCGTCCACCATAATGGTGTCGCCTTCTTTGGCGTCGTCGTCGTTGACGCGCGCGCTCGCGAGCTCGCCGTCGACAGCCAGTCTGCTGTGGAGGCGTCAAAATTCTTTTTTCCCTCGTCGGCCGCCATCATGGGCGGCTGCTGCTCTTCTCAGGTGGATGGCGACGCCGGAGATCGCTCCGAAAGCCATCTCCTCGAGGACCCGCCGCGCCAGCCGTCGCCCGACTCGACGGCGTTGAGGGACCTGCCGCCTTCGCCCACCGTGTTGGAACGCTTGCCGCCGCGATCTCCCGGTCGCATGGATGACGCTGAGAGTTTGCATTTACGGCAACCGTCGCCACTGCCAGAGCACACCTCACCGCCGCAGCCCACACCACTGCCAGAGCAGACGTCGCCGCCGCAAGACGGACGCGAGGCGGGCACGCTCAAGCCAAAGTACATGACACTCGGCCAGCTGAAGCGCGCGCTGCGCCAGCGCGGCGAGCAGCCCGCCGAGGGGGCGAGCAAAGAGGCGCTGCAGGCGCAGCTGAGCGCGTTGCTAGGGCTCGACCCGTCGGGCTTCTCTGCGGCGGCGGCCGAGGCGGACCGGGCCGCCGTGCAGAAGAAGGAGGCGTTCGAGGCGCGGCGCGCGGCGGCCGAGCAGGCGCTGCAGGCCCAGGCGGCGACGAGGAAGCGCACGGAGGGGTCGCTCGAGCTCGCCGGCATACGAGTGGCGACGGGCGGCGGGGAGGTGGCCGGCGGCGAGAGCGCCCAGGAGGGCGAGCTGTGCGCCGTCACCATGAGCCGCCCAAAGGGCGGCGCGTCGCGCCGACCGCCGACCCGCAAGCCTCCCGGAGCGGCCCGGGAGGGCGGCGGGCTCAACGTAGGGTAGCGCTGGCAGGGAATCCACCGAGACGTAGACTCTCTTCGACCCGCCATTGTAGGAGGCACTTGGAGCACTTGGAGTGCAGTCGGTAACTCACATCCACCGGGCCGGGGGGCACTTGGTGTTGGAGCACATGGAGTGCACCCAGCGGGCCGGACGATTGGGATCGGGTTACGGGGTACCTCCCTGGTTCGCTCTTTATTAATGGTCTTTTGCTCGCCTGCCAAGCGCGCATGTCCCCTGGATGTGACACGGCACTCGGCACCGGCCACCGCACGGCAGGGCCGGCGGGCGCGCAGGGCGGGTGACGCTGTGACGGGGGTTTCGACATTCGAGATTCGACGCCTGACGGGCTGACGGCCGCGCTGTAGCCGCTTCTGATGTCTCTTCTTCGGCTGCGGCCTCGCCTCCGCTCCAGCTTCGACTGGTACCGCCTACTCGCCGAGAGCGTCGACGGCCCAGCCGAGGTCTCCCCGGCCGGGCGCTGAGGGAGGGTGTAGAGGATGTAGAGTGTAGAGCGCTGTAGAGCTGTAGAGCTGTAGAGTGCTGTAGAGCTGTAGAGCTCTACATCCGCCGCGGGACGAGGCGGGTGCGTTGTAGAGCGATGTAGAGGCGCTCTACAACGTGAAATATCTATAACAAACTCTACATCATAAGCGGCGAACGAGGCACGGTCGCTCTCCGACATGAGGCGCGTTGCACTTGCCAGTGCTGCCCTGGCCTTCTCTCTGCCCGCCCAATGGGTGGCAGATGCCTCTGCTGCTGTGGCATGCCTCACGGCTGCGACTGGCCGGCGCCTCGGCGCGTCAGCTCGGCTCGGCGTAGCGACAGTGGCCAGCGCAACTCGCCTGGACTCAACGCTCAGCCAGGAGCTCCCGCACGCGCTGGCGCGAGGCATGGCGCATGCAACGCGCAGCAATGCTTGCCTCGCCTCGCGCAAATGCGACCGTCCTCGCAGCCGACAGTCAACCGCCTGCTAAAGAAGAACTGCGACGAATGCGGCACCGGCGACGCATGGCAGGCTGGTCATGACGCAGTTATAGGGTGTTGTGTGCCGTCAGAGTGACTCTCTGTGTGTCAGTGATAGTCAGGGCCGTCCATCAGAGCTCTAGTAAGCTAGGAGACACCTCATTAGTGCGACTCGACCTCTTTGAGTCACTGCCTTCCCGGCGGTTTGGCTGTAGAGCCTCTACAACAAACTCTACAGCAAAATCGCGCTCTACATCGCTCTACAACGCACCCGCCTCGTCCCGCGGCGGGTGTAGAGCTCTACAGCTCTACAGCGCTCCAGAGCGCTCTACATCTCTACAGCTCTACAGCTCTACAGCGCTCTACACTCTACATCCTCTACACCCTCCCTCAGGCCGGGCGAGGGCGGCGGCGTTGTGGAACGCACCGCCGCACCTCCTCGACGGTGGCCGGCGGGTGGGCCAAGCTCTCTCCCTGCCTGGTCGATGAATCGCGCCCGCATCCGCGGTCTCTCTATCGTACCAATCGTACTCGCCTCGCCCCCCCTCTCGCTCGCTCGCAGACTCCTTCAACGAGCCAGGGGTGGTGTGGGCTTCCTGGCTGGTCGTAAATCATGCCCCCCCCAGACAGCCCGCCCGCCCGACGGACGGGAACGCCATCACCCTCGCCCAGGGATCTACAATGCTGTCTTTAAGGTCCGATGTGGGCACCGCCTGCGCTCGGCACCGCGGCGCGGGGCGGCACCGCCTCGGTACACAAACAGCTCACAGATCACACGAGCAAAGATCAGTCCGGGGATCTCAAAAGAGCTGGGTTGTGTGAGCAGCAGAACATCAACAACGCTGCTCGCAACATGCGTGTCGCGCACTCATTCATGACCGGTCTCAATGTCCCACCCCCCTGCGCGCGGGCCTTCTAGGCCCGCGCGGGGTAGTCTCCCCCCATCCCCAGGGCCTCCAGGGCTCGCACCTCAACCTCTCATAGACCAGCGCACAGCGCATCGAGGTATTTTCTTCCCAATAAAAGGCCGTGAAGAATGGACTGAAAAAAGTTTGGCCAAAAGGCCCCACATGGCTGACCCTTGGGCATGGCCTCTCTGGGTGTGAGCTGGGTCGGCCTCCTCCGGGTCTGCAACTCGCACGGCGGGTCCGCGTCCGAGCAAGCATCCGCGGCCCGTGGTTGTCCTCTCGCAGGGCGCGACCAACATGATGGTTTGGGGGGGAAAGCCGAATGGTTTGGGGGGGGAAAACCAAAGGGGAAGGTTGGCTCCTAGAGCTAAAGGTCGACATCTTCGGCTACGACAATGTGAACGTGATCTGGTCCTCACGGGGTTGATCCGTCTCCTCCAGATCGAGACGGACTCCATGCTGCATGGACGGCCGAGCAATATTTCTTCATTAATATTATTCATTGATGCTTTTTGCACGGCTGACCCCCCCCCCCCCTCGCCCATTCGCATTCCCTCCCCTCTCCCGCCACGCGCCCCGTCCGAGCCCTCTCCGCTCTTGCACAACAGGAATTTGGACAAATAATCAGATGGCTTCTAGGTGGAAGGGAAACGCAACTCGAAATAATGGGCTTGCCCATCCCGGAGTGGTTCGACTCCACGCAAACCCGGAAGGTGATGGGAGGAGCCGCGTGCGACCTGAGGCCCTGGAAGGAGGGTACTGCGCTGTAGCGCCCGGGTGATGCTGAACGAGCACCTCTTGTAGCTCGATCGGTCACACCGCCATCACCGCCGACGTTTCCCAGTGAGTGAGACGATGCTCGATGGAGAGGGAGGGGGGACGACACTGCTTTGGCAGCGTGCACCTCGATCCTGTACCGTGTTTGTTATGCCCCCCCCCCCCCCCCCCCCCAATGAACACACCAGCGAGGGAGGGCGAGACGGTCGAGGGGTCCCGTACCACGCGGAATCCACCCTATCCCACAGTGCTCAAGTGGGCAAGTGCTCAAGGCCGTGAAGACCCGCCTCACGCCCGAGTGCTGAGACGCGCTGGCTGGCGAACTGTTGAGCGCTGTCTGAGCGGTGGACACCGATATCGCAGGATCATGCCGAAACCTGAATACACCGTGTTCATCGGCACGTCCGCCCACACAGGACTTTGCGAGGCGCTCGTCGGCCTCGCAGCACGCCTCTCTCCTGCCGAGGCCGCAGCTCGGCTAGCTCGCGGGGACGACCCCAGAGCAAACCGCGTGCTGCACGTGTGCGTGGTGGACGGCCGCGTGGCTGGCTGCATATCTTCCACGCTGCAGCCGATGTGGACGCCCGCTGGGTGCGGGCACTGGGGCCTGCTGGTGGTCGCGCCCGCCATGCGTCGCAAGGGCATCGCTTGTGCGCTGGTGCACGCGGCAGAGGAGCGGCTGCGGGCTGGCGGCTGCAACGCGGTTCAGATCGAGTACGAATGGGCGCCTGGCTACGCGCATGGGCAAGTGCTTGAGGCCTGGTACGAAGGTCGGCTCCGATTCGAGCGTATCTCCGGCGCTTTCACGAGCCGTCTCTTTGGCCTGGTCATCGGCCACCACTCAAAGACCGAGTTCAGGCGGTGCCGAAAGAGCCTGTCTTCAGGTGGCGGCGCCACCGCTAGGACCGCGAGCACATCTGATGTCGCACTGCCGACCGCGGGTGTTGCCGTCTTGGTGATAGCGATCACAGCAGTCGCCGTCGCCTTTAGCTATAGCTTGCTGGGCGAGTGATGTGAAGTGTTGCGTGCGGCACTGGGGCCTCTAGCAATAATCCATAAACGAAAAGGCCAGGCTCTGGCCTTTGTGGCAAGATAGTACAAGCAGATATAGAGAGATGGGTACGAATAGCCTCCACGCTCCAGTCCTACGGCTCTTAAATAAATAAAGAAAACGGTCAAACTCTGAGACGAGATGGGATTTAGGGACGTGTGTCCCCGCCCGTTTAGGCCGCGCTATAGGATAAAAAGCCGCGAGCCCGCGAGCTCTCAAACTCGGACGAGGGGGTGTCACAGCTATATTCTATATACGAGCTACGAACAAGTTTTTGTTCACACCAGTCGACTCGCATCGGTTGCCTCCATGAACGGCGGAGCTATTCTCGCACACACACGGATACAGACAGTCGATGTATGTATGTATGTAGTAAGGTGAAGAACAGCCAGCTCGGACTGGACATCTTGTGCTTTTGTGAACAGCGTCGACTTCCATGGTTGTATCTTTTCCCCGGAGGCTATGGTGAACAGATTATAACCACACGTTACCAAGCCCACACACATCAACCCCGCACACAAATACACACACGCTCGACAACGCCGTCAGTGTGTAAGCTCCCTCAAAGCCTCTTGCTGCAGTCGGTCTGCGTAACCTCAGCAGCCGAAGACGCCCCCGCCTCCTTGTTGTCTCGCTCTTGCCGCTCTGTCGTGCTGTCGTCATGGATGACCACCTCGTGCAGCCCTCGGTCGGGATCGGGCACGCTGGAATGGTGCAGCAGCACTAGCTTTGCGGGCGATGGATCACTACCGAGCCATTTAATTCTAGGAGCGCAATGCCCATCGCCCACGCATCGCTCTGTGCCGCGGCTTGCGCTGCTCTGCGCGAGCCTGGCTTCGCGCTGCTTGATATCGAGGCGAGCGACGGGCGCGGCGCGCCGCTGCCAGGCGTGACCTACGTGGGTGAGACGCCTGAAGAGCGATCCGAGCTGATTGCACAGTTCGAGGACCCGTTCTTCCTCAGCATCATGGGTGGCCTCCTCACCGCCTCCTTCACTGTGCGAGACATGCTCGAGGGCATCCCTCAGCTGGGCACGCAGATCCCGCTCCTGCACGCCGCCATCGCAAACCAGGAGGAGGGTGAGGCAACGGAGCGCGGCGTTCCCAGCGATGTTGGTGGCAGCAGCGGCGATGGAGACAGCGGCGACGACGGCGGCGGCGGCAGCGGCGGCGGCAGCGGCGGCGGCAGCGGCAGCGGGGACGGCGGTAGCGGTGGCAGCGGCAGCGGCAGCAGCAGCAGCAGCAGCTGATTCTTCGACACCGAATGCTCGTATACATTCTCTGGGCGAGGGACTTTTGGCTGGCGGCCAGAACATGGCACGTGTCCAGCCAATGTTATAATTCGAGTGTGCCTTGCGGTGCAAGGCAGGGAGGGCATACACGTTTGGTTTGTGGCACTTGGTTGGTGCCAGCAGTCGTGCCATGCACATGACATCGACATGCCGCGTGGCCATCATCACATGCCTGGATGACATGCATGCCATGATGGCCTGTGACATCGATGTCATCTTCAAGGAGCAGTGACCAGTGTGCTTCACCCACTCCCAGCAACTATCCGACGTGGCCACGCCGAGTCTGACTGACACCCACACCTGACCGGGGAGCGAAGCTGACGCGGCGTGAGACTGTGACTGAGAGAGAGCCCGGCCGCCGGCGCGGTGGACCTCCTGTCGCGCCTCTAGCTCTCCACACCGCGTGGGCCGTGGGCCTCCAGGCTCCAGTTCGTTCCGTGCCGTTACCGTGGTCAGGCGGCGCAAAATAGTGTGTCGTCATTTTTTGGCGTCCGTTTAGAGCGCGGCCGGACGACGAGACCTGAGGACGAGGACGACGACGCTTCCACTGCTTCCCGGCGCGCACAGCGTGGTGTGTTCTGCATCTGGCCCGCGTGGGAGCGACAGTTGTCCCTCGTCCTCAACACGTCTGAGCCTCCACACATCGCTCTCGCGAAGCAGTCTAGTTGGCGATCAAGGCACGAGGGGCGGGCAAGCCCAGCCAGGCCGCCCCCCCCTCTTCCCCTCCAGCCCCGCACCCTCCGATGTACCCACCTCCTTCAACTCCTTCAAGCCGCGGCGTCCTCATAGTACCCGACTCCCTGCGGCCCGGCCTTGAAGACGAAGCCTGGCCTCGCGCCCGCGAAGGTGGGCGAGGGCTGAAACTCGCCGCCGCCCGCGCTGCAGCTCGCCGATGGCGCGCACGGCTGGCAGGAGGCGCCACCCGCGCCCGCCGCCGGCGGCCTCGCAGTCTCCCCGCGCAGCGCAGCGAGCCGCGCCTCCACTGCGGGGTCGAGATCGCCGCCGCCGCCGCCGCCGCCGCCGCCGCCCTCGCCGCGCAGCGCCTTGAGCCGCGCCTCCACGTCCGGGTCCACCGCCTGCTCCGCGCGCTTCTGCTTCTTGTCCGCCTTCTTCTTGGCGGCCCACGCCGTGTACGGGTCGGTCCACCAGACGGGGCCGCCGTCGATGCCATCGCCCGAGACGCAGGAGACGCAGCCCGTCGTGACGGAGGGCATGATCTGTCCGCCCCGCTGGGCCAGCGGCACCCGGCAGATCGAGGTGGTCCCGAAGTTGGTCGAGCCCTTTTGGATCGCCGCCATCGAGCAGAGGATCTCATAGCCGGGCTTGCGCCACTTGGAGATGAGCGCCGCGTCGACGATCTTCTCGCGCACGAGAAAGTCGTACAGGTCGCGCGAGATCTTCTGCTGCTTATAGTACAGGTCGTAGATGTACCGGTTGCGCTCCCAATGCAGGCGGTGAATCGGCCAGTTCGACTCGGCCTTGCGCTTGCCGTCGTGCGGGTCGTTGATCGCCTCGCGCATGCGGTCCTCGAACTCGAAGAGAGCCGCCTCGATCAGCGACCAGCCCTCGGGCTTCCGCTTGGACGCGAGCCGCACCCGGAGGCTCATGGCAGTGCCGAGAGAGCAGGTAAAAAGAATTCTGGAAAACCGGCTCTCAGGTAAAAAGAAAGCCGGTCGGCTAAAAAACGACGCACTCTCTCGCACCTATTAAAATCCCTGTGTGGTGGCGGCGTGCCGTCCTCCCATCCCTCGGTTGGGTTGTCCGGTTTCTTTCTTTCTTTTTCTCTCGCACCTGAGAGAGAGAGATTTTTGTTGTCGCACCTGTGTGTGTGTGTGTGTGTGTAAAACTTCTGTGATGCCATGCGTGACCTAGTAGTGTCCCCAGCTATGGGCGTGTCCACGTTGGAGCCAGGTGTGGTGTGGGCGCGAGAATAGCTCCGCCGTTCATGGAGGCAACCGATGCGAGTCGACTGGTGTGTGTCGTCGTGGTTTCGTATCAAGAATACTCACTCACTTGTCGCACCTGTGCCCCTGACCGTCCTTCCAAAATCCTGCTCGTGCAGGTGTGGACCCTGTCCTCCTCACCTATCCCTCATTTGGGTTAGCTGTTTTCTTTCTTTCTTTGCACTCTCTCGCATTATACAGGGCTCCAGGCCCCAAATGACGTGTGAGTGTTAGAGTTGTTTGGTATTGCTAAAAATCTCTCTCTCTTATACAAGGGACACTCTGTCATGTCATCTCGGGAGGACAAGACAGATCCACCGAGCATGGACAGCCTCAGAACTCGAACCCGAGCCCCGGCTCGCTCCCCGGATTAACATCGACGGCTAAGCTCAAAAGAAAAACGTGTGTGCCTTCGCTTGTTCCTATTAACAACGAAGTCTAGCTCAAAAGAAAAAATCCGCCGTGTCGTCTGGCAGACGGCAGGAGCGATGCTGCGGCGGAGGACGTGCTGCTTGGCCTTGCTGCTACTCGGCGCGGCGCTCACGGGGGCCGCCGCCGAGGAGGCTGCGGCGGAGGGCGCCGCCGGCGCCGAGGCCACGCCGACGCCTGACGCCGCCGCCGCCGAGGCGGAGCCCGAGGAGACCCAGATCGTGCTGAACTGCGACGACGCTGAGCTGCTCGAGCCGCTCACGACGTGGAGCCCGGACTGCGTGGCGCAGTGGGCGGAGAACATGGGGTACCCGCAGCTGAAGGCCGCCTTCCTGGGCAACAAGCTGACCGGGAAGGGCCTCGAGGCGCTCTCGCTCGAGACGCTCGAGAAGGAGTACGGCGTGGCGGACGAGCACGACCGGAAGACTCTCGCCTACACGGTCAAGGACATGCTGCGCAAGGACAACTACAGAGGCAACACTAACGACTGGCGCGCCGCGCCGCCGCCGACCCGCCGCCCGCACGCCTCCCTGGCGCGCCCCGTGCGATGCAGAGGCGAGCCTGTCGCTCGCACATGCGCAGGCAGAACTTCCTGCTGTGGCTCCTCCCAATGCTCGGCGTCGGCAAGTGGCTGTCAATGAAGTATGAGAAGCAGCTGGCCAAGCTGATGAAGAAGTACCGCAAGTGGCAGGAGGCGCGTGCGCCGCCCAAGCCGCTGAACTCGGAGCCGGTTCCGGAGGGAGAGACAAACGACTGGATCGACGGCGCGCCTCGCCCGCCGCTGCCGCCGCCGCCAGCTACCGCGCCAGCTACCGCGCGTGCGTGCGCGGGGCCGTGCTGACCTGCCGCCCATCCGCAGGCATCAACGCGGACGTCGGCACCGACAAGCCCAAATCGGTCAAGAAGCGCACCAAGAAGGCCACGTGAGCGCGTATGGGCGGAGGGGCGAGTTGTC